TACACTCCACTCCATTTCTGTATGTGCCTGCGTAGCAGTACACATTACACACTTAACCTCTCTTTCTTAGGCATCAGTATACTCTGCAGCTCACATTTTGCGCAACAATGCAGACTCTTCCTTACTCCCACCTCCACTCCTCTGTGCATCAGCAGCCCATCAATCTTCCACTAGCAAACAGAGAAATATCACTATCAGATTCTTTCAGGAGGGAGCAGAGGCTGGAGTAATGGCAGCTAAACAGCATGATTCACTCTGCACCTGGTTCCAAAATCCCAAAAACCACCCACCTCCACGTCTATGTTGGTGGCCTTTAAGGCTTTGAAATACCTCAGCAATCAGCCTCAGCACCTTGACCTCAAACTGTGTACTTCTCTAGGATTAATGCTGTAATATCCACTACCTTGTGCAGAGATCAATATTCCTCCTGTGGGCATTCATGACAACATAAGGCGTTTAACTTTGGATTTGACTTGGATGGTTTGCACAAAGCAAAACGTCTCTGAAAGCAGCTAGCTTCCCACGTGAAAACACAAAAACAAACAGGTGCACACACACACACTGCTAAGCTCAGCCAAAACCCTTGAGTCCTAAAATACCAAACTAACAACAGTGTGGACAGCATCTTAACACATGTCCCAGAGTTTTAGAAAAACACCTTCTGTCTCCACGCAAACTCCAGAATTGTGGTCTTGATGCGGCCTGGTTTAGCTGGCAGAGCCTGTAAATGAAGCTGACAGACGGCCACAGAGATGAATATGCGCTCTGCATCCCAAAAGTCATTAGGCAAACAGCTGAGGTAGCTACTGAGCACCGGGCAGTGTTCTCTCTCTTTCCCCACCAAGCACGACCACCAGGGAAGAGAAATATCGAAGCGCTCCCAAAAACCAATCAAGTTGGGGGGTTTTTTCTTCCTGGCAAGAAAACTGGAGCATTTGAAATTAGTGCCTTTGTATGTCTGTTTCTGTATGTTTGTGTGCCCATGTGCTCTGTAGTCTGTGCATAGGTTTGTGTATGTGTACATGCTTCAGAATAGTGTACCATGCTAGGTCAAATATATTTGATTAAAAACACCCAGGGTCAAAGTGTGCTTTAGTGTTTCCAAATTAATTTTGGTTTTATTTAATGCTGTGCCCTCATGAGGATGGACACATGAACACTGGTTATCAGCCCCAGGTTGTTTCTGATAAACACGGGTTAGACTATACAATAAATACATTATTACTTTTGCCCATAAAAAAAACTCTAAACCAGATGGAAACACTAATAAAATGAGCCAACCTTTTATTGCCTGTCTCATTAGGATTTTTATCCTGCTAAAGAGTTTTGTCATTTGTGTCTGCGTGTCACATTTGTTTCTGTTAAACCCCAGGATCACAGCCTATGGTGCAGCTGGCGGTCGAAGCGTATTGGCCATGAGCAGGTCACATGGTGTCTACATCACAGGAGACTTCCTGTTGAGGAAGGGAGAGCTGCTTTATATCCTGGTGGGACAGCAAGGAGAAGACGCGTGCCCCAATGTAAGTCTTTTTCAAATCACTGTAGTTCAGTAATCATCCCATTCAGCGTTCTGAATTAGGAGTCGAGCTTATTTTACTTTTCTAGACCAACATGTAGATGGAACAGTTTTCTAAATCCCTTACGTGTTTGTTGTCTAGAAATGATACCAGATGTAGGAAGATTTTAGCTGCTTATAAACTGTCCACTCTGTATGACTGTATATAGCAGTGGAAGGGAAATGTATTTATTTATTTGAGACTCATTCTTTGACATCGTCCAACACCATTATTAATGTAGCCCAAAAAAAATAAATGTCTGTGTTTTTTTTTTTAAGTTGTATTGTTAATACTATTTCTTATTCAAATTAAGAAAAAAAGGCTTTCCAGAAATATCAGAAATGCTCCCTTCATAACATCTCAGCCGGTTGGCTCGTAGGTGTTACAGAGTGGAGACTGAGAGACAACAGACTTGTATTGTAGTCTACATGTCACGGACAGACAGCGTGCTGTTGGTGGTTATTGAAGAGGAAGATGCACCAGCAGCTGAACAGCTAATTAGCTGTCCAGCCAGACGTTTGCAGTGCACTTTTCCTCGATGAATGTTTGGTTTAACAAGCTAAGGTGCAAGACAAGACGTGTGTTCATGTTTGTAAGTCTGATAAGGGCTGGTAAGCTCATGTGAATTGTTGTTCAAAGTCTTTGGCTCTTGTGTTGTGTAGCAGGCTGCTGTCTGGCTTAGTGTGTCTCCATGTATGTAGACGGATCCCTAACAGTATTAAATCAAATGAACGCAAAACTAGGTGGCGTCATCATGAAGCCCATAAAAGATAACTGTATCCCCTTTGGTTTTCTGATTTTTTCTCAAAGGATGACACATGAAAATTTACAGAACACATGCATGCTGTAGCAGACAAAAAATGCTGTTTAGTTTCAGTTGGATAACTTTAAATTAAAGGAATCTGGTACTCCTCCTCATGGACCCTGAGGTGGTCCCTGGGCCTCACTTAGGATACCCATGCTCTGAATCGTGACATTTTATGGCCACCAACGACTGTTTGAATCTGCCATCGAAGCTCGCGGTGATCTCCCCATTGTCTCTCTAAGCTTACTTGTGTTCTTTTGCCAGGGGTGGCTGTCATCCATTATGCTCTGGAGTTTCTTCACTGGCAGCAGCACAGTTTGCTTCGCCTCACAGTTCACAACGCTGAGACTAAAACCCTTACAATCCCTCTAGTTGCCAATGAAACCATCCAACATGCGGTTTTTATACATTTGACAAACCAAGCCTTGTCCTGTCACTGACAATAGAGAAAAAGGGAAAAAGGGGTTAGCTGCCAAAGTTCGGCACTTCTCATTTCAGTATATGTATGTTTTTTATTTTGTAGAGGAGGAAAATACCAAAAGATTCTAAAATGTTTGACAAAACACAGTAGTAAAGTGGATTCCTTTTTATGGTATTCACACATTGTTGGTTTGTGAGTTGTATAGGTATTTTTATGTCCTTATGATGCACAGTAATTAGGATAATGCATCATCAATGGGGGCATCCATCTCTCTGCCTATAGATATATTGATTTACACATTTACAAATCCATACACATTTATGAGACCATATTACAATTGTTCTCAGTCACCTTACTGTGTCAACATACTGTAGCAAAGACATCTACAGAATGTTGACACAGAAGTAACTTCTATGTAATATATCAGTCTTAATAATGTTCAGCTTAATTAATTAACTGGTTAGAGCAAGGAACAGTGACACCATAGTTAAGGTGTATGAAAAATCTGGTTAAAATAACACAACCTTCATGTAAAATGTTAATGTTTACATGGAAATAATAGTTTAAAGAAATTAATTATAAGATGAAGCTGATTTAGCCCTTCTCGTGTTACAGTGGTTATAGTGGGATTTGAGGCAGCTTGAGTGTCTGTTGTGTTCCTTGGTTTTCAAGAGGCAGAATGTGTAGCTTAGCAGGCAGGGTTCCTCACCACTGTCAGCCAATTATTAGTTTTTTAACACAGTGTGTCTTGTCTCAGTACAGGCAGCAGAGGGGCACTGGGCTGTTCCAAAGTGAGACTGAAGTCGTTTAAGGTTACTCTTATTTCCCCCTAGTTCTGACAGGGAGAGGGTCGCACTGAAAGTGATTTGTGCTGTGGAACAGTGTTTTTCTCACACCCAGCCTTCCCTCTGGTGAGGAAATGATACCCCTCTTGTCCTGACAAATACCCACTCTCTCCGTGCGTGTCTACCAATTTCTACCATGCGCACACACACACACACGCACACAAAACTTGTTTTTTTCTCTCTCAGACACAAACTCAACTTTTAAGTGAGAAGCTGCAAAGACATGACAGGCTGAGAGGGAGAACGAGTGAGGAAGGCTCTCCCAGAACATTCGAATGCACTGCCTTTTAGCCCCTGTACCTGTCAATCACAGTCACCAAAGTCCCGCCCCCTCCTCCCTCCCAGCACCTCTGTGCTTCGGTTCAGACAGATGAGGGAGTCGAGGGAGCGATGAGCGACTCTGAGTGTGTGTTTGTGTGTCTGAGTGAGGTTCAGAGAGAGTGAGGGGAGGAAACTCATGCCCTCTCACTCTCAGAGTAGGACTGGCTCCAGGCAGTTCAGCATGATAGCACACACAAGGCAGACACATCAATTCACAAAACCTCAGCTGTGGCAAAGTCTCTGCATCGAACATCATTTGCCAACAAAACCCCCTGTTCCATTTTTATAAAGAGGTTGTATTTCTGGGAAACCGAGTGGAACAACGACAAGCTGACTGACAGACTGTCTGTAGCGGTTAGGAGGATAAATCAACTTAAAACATAATGACAATATAATCATGTGTGGGTGATTTTTAAAAAATGTTTTCATACCCGTTGAAAATAAAATGCATAATTTTTGACTGTTTTAAAATACAGTTAAGATGAAAAAATTTCCTTTGTTAATGGTATGCACTAAAAAAATTGCATGAAACAACCAGGTAACAAGATGGTGTGATGCACCTGAACCTCTCTCAATAGCAAAGCATTGAGATTTTTTCAGTGATGGTGAACTCATTAATTTTGTTTAATTCATTACATTTTTGTGAACAACATATCAAGAAAAACAATGCAACATAATTAACTACTCAGTATATATATTTAATTATTTTGTTGGCGTGCCTATCAGCCTCATTTACTCCAATTAAGTTTAACAGCAAACAAAAATCTACTCCAGAGATGTCTCATTCATTCTGTCACATTCTTCCATCACTGTGAACAGGAAGCTGTTCTACAATAGTGTGACAGATCTGCAGTCATGTAGAAACTGAGGGTAAACAGGAAATCAGTGAAAACTGAAATGGAACTGTCTTATAAGGGGAACACTGGTCCTTGCTTCTCAGTTTGTATGTGTTTTTGGAAATTTCTGCTTTGTATTTTTTCACCATTATAATGCTAAAACCTTAGACTCGCAGCAGCTGCTGGGTTGGCAGCTGTTCAGCCTTCTCATGCACAATGACATCCATGAAAGCAATTCTTCTGTGACCTGACATCTCTCTCGCTCCCTGCAGTCCAACGGCCTACTGAATAAGATCTGCCTGGAACAGAGCGGCCCGATGGTGAACACTCAAGTGAAAGGGGGCGGAGGAGGAGGCGGCGGGGCTACATATGTGTTCAAGGTAAGAAGGTGCTGAGGGAATGGTGCACTCAGGGACAGGGAGATATTTTTATACTTGATATTTGGGAGCTACACATAATTTTAGAGATTTTGTATGAAATTTCAGGAAAGAATATGTGCCATATGTTTTGACCTTAAGGAGGAAATTCTTTTATACAGTGTATCAATGGGGCACTGGAGCCAAGAGTCCACTAGGGACACGAGTTAGCTTGGTCTGTCCTCATTGAACAGATAAGGTGACCAACGGGCTAATCTTCCATAATCGTTTAAAGGAATAGTTTCAAACAAACATGGTACGAAACATGTTAGAGGTTAAATTAGAAGACAGATACCACTTTTGTGTCTGTCATTAAAAAATTATGCTACAACCAGTAGCCAGTTAGCTTAGTTTATATGCCGGATTATTTCTTAGCCAAGGGACCAAATAAATATAAATAGTCCAGAACATTAACCCCACATGACATAGTGAATTTGTTGTTGTTGTTTTTGTACAGATTGAACAAACGAAATATAACATGTTGAATAGTGAGCTTTAGCAGAGCTAGTAGACTGTCTTTTGGACAGAGCAAGACTAGCTGTTTCCCTCTATTTCCAGTCATGCTAAGCTAACCAGCTGAAGGCTGTGGCAATATAATTACCATATAAACATGAGATAGTATTAATCTTTTTATTTAACTCTCAGCAAGAAAGCAAGCAAGCAAGCGTATTTCTAAAAAATGTCAAACTCTTCCTTTGAAGAGCAGACAGCACTATATAAATCTAACTGTAAACAACAATGGCCCAGGTGGACAAAGGAGTGTATATTCCTCTCATCATCGCTGCTGGGGGAGGTGGCCGGGGGTACAGCAGCCAATCAGAGACCCAGCTGGAGCAGATGGACTATGACCCCAGCCAACCGGGACGCAATGGGAAATCAAGCGCTGCAGGTATGTGTTGGTACTATGTGTATGTGTGTGCAGCTGTGCATGTGTAGGGAAATACAATATACCCTGTGCATTGTTTGTGAGTGCAGTTATGTGAGTGTTAGTGAGGGAGCTTGGCAGGGAGAAAAACATTGTGTGCTGTGTATGAGATATTGAGACTGTGATAAAAAGTACCCCCATTACAGTACTGTATTGTATACAGCTTATCTATTCCCACTTTATGATGAAAAAGGCCGCGTCTGTTCTGTTCCCCTCTGCACGCACACAAACTAATAAGCCGAGTTTACAGATAGCCTGAAGTGGAAGTGTTTATTTGCATGTCTACCTGTACTTGTAAACATATCCATTTATCCTGAAGATGTTTACTTCTGTCTTAATGCACAAGTTACATAGATGTTCCACTTCTGTGAGCCAGTGTTTGTGTTCTGGAGAAAACAAAACACAGCCCTACTCATGATTATTCATATCGAGCACTTTGTTCCCCCGTCATTGCTGGGCAGAACTATATGCACCGTTTCGACCAGTGTAATGTTACATCCATGCTCACTGCAGGTTCCATTATTCATGTGCTCAGAGTTGACGAACGGCCCAGAAAACATAAGATATTGATTTCTACATCTTCACAAAGCCTGAGGTTTACTTTTGAGGAAACTCGGTGAATGAAAAATTAAATATTCAGCATGTCTGGGGGGGTTTGTTGCTAGTGTGGCGAGATAAGTTTTTTTTTCACTTGTTTGTATCTCTCAGGCTTCAGAGTAGAAGGTGGAAAATGAAAGAGGAAAATTAAATTGGCTAGCGTTGGGGAATATAGGAGGGATTAGTTTTAACTGTAGCAGCTATAACCTTAATCTCATGTTACCAGGTCTCTTTTTATGTCTTTGTGCAAAACCGGTATTGTTATCGTTAATCTGGGATTTGTGTGTGTGTGTGTGTGCGCGTGCGTGCGTGCGTGTGTGCGTGCGTGTGTGTGTGTGTGTGTGTGTAAGGACATGCTTTCCTGCAGTTCAGCACCTTTTTTTTGTTTCCACAGCCCATTTAGGAACTCACTCTCCCTGCCTGACCTGCCTCTCTCCCGTACCCTCTGTCACACACACTGATTCACTACGCAGCACGTAACTCCACATCATATCAAAGGTGTATTGTGTTTGGTGACAGGTGGAGGCGGAGGTTGGAATGACAGTGCTTCTGTCAGTCAAGGTGGCAGACCGCTGGTGTTGGGAGGCCAGGGAGGGCAGGCCTGTCAAAAGTTCTGGCAGACCCACGGTGGCTTCGGGGGCGGCGGGGGTGGCTGTCTGTCCGGGGGTGGAGGCGGAGGATACAGAGGTTAGTCTAAGAGAAGGAAGAAGGTTTTTTCTGGAAGGTCCAGAAAATAAACTTGAGCTGTCAAGTATGACCCAAATGTGAACTTTGTGGTGCCATATGTGTTTGATACTGAATGTGACAGGGTGCCAGATCAGGTGAATCCCAGAAACAGCCACAAGTCACAAGGATTTGACAAAACATCGTTCAAACACAGTATCAACATATGACTCCTTCTTTTTTTCTTGTACTGGGTGTATACTGTATTATTAAGCAGTGTAAGGTAAACTAAACTAGTGATCCCAAACAGACATTACACAGCATAAGGTGTGAAACGAAACAAATAAATAAATAATAAGAAATATAAATAGCAAGAAAGCAAAAATGGTGGTACGCATAATGCAAATAACTGTTACATTAGCATGTATTGGGACATAGAGATGAAAAGTGTTAAATGTGTACAAAGATGTGGAAGAAAGGGAGGACAATCAGAGTAGGGCTGACTGGGGATACAGCAGATATGAAAAATCCTATGTGCAGCCAGCCCTGGATGACGTGAAAAGTGCATTTAAATGATTTTGTTCAATTCCCATAGAATTTAACACGTGTTAATAAGATGGCACTGAGGTTCTGTCACTGTGTTTGCCCTCCAGGTGGTAACACCTCCACAGATGACAACCCCAAACATGATGGTGACGATGGCACGTCCTTCCTCAGTCCAGAGGGAGAGCCCTTCCTCTATCCTCTGAAAGGTAATGTGAAAGGATTCTAGGTGGTTTTTAAATTACAAACAAACTAGTCAGCAGTCAACACATGCAGTCAAGACATTAGTATTCAGCATTTGATACCTTTGTAGTGTTTGTCAGTGAGAGTTAATGTGTTTGAGAATGATGAGGAAAAAACGTTTGTGCTATTGACATTTTAAATTAGTTTTTGATGTGGAACACCTGGTTTGCTTTCTATAGCACAAGCTTTCACCGCACATAACTAATATAGATTTGTACAGCAAGATGAGAGTGAGCTGCTTCACTGTGTGACATCAGAAATGTATGTTGTAAAATTGTACAGCAGATATGGGCAGGCACAGACGGATGAGAGTCTTCCAGAGTTTTCCAGTCTGACAGACGAACCACTCATTCCACCAGAACCACCACGATTGTTAACTGATTAAAACACCACCAGACAGCGAAGAGGAACTGCCCAATAAACCCTGCTGACTCATCTCGGTTCTTACATTTGAACATAAGACAATTTAACAGGCATTAAAACCAGTCTGTAGTGATAAGCTTGTTGACCATCAAAACTTTATCTAAGATTATTCTTCGCTCTATAGGGAAACATAAAATGGACCCATTGGGCTGTAGCAATGCACACAATTGTATCTCTCTCCCATTGACCTTTAATAGGGTGATGCGGCCTAGTAAGGCAGTGCCGCTTTCAACAGCTTCAGTCTTCAATTTATCATCGACCTTACTTTATTTCCTGCGGAGGAAAAAGACTTTTAGCTGTAAAAAATTTATTGCACTAAACATTATCTTCATTCCTCTCCATTTTGGCAACAGCTGGTCAAGACGCTGACGTATTCTAGCTTCACAGGTCTGTGTTGTTAATTGTAGAAGGAAATGTCCTCAAATGAATGTTCATCCACTAGTTTAGCTATGTTCACAGCAAAAGTTCCTAAAGCAGTGTTGGAGGAATGTGAGTGATATGTATGAACAGCGAGAAAGTGACATGATTTATAACCAATGAATAACCAAAAGGCTTGAATCATTATCATAACCCACAGGATGGAATATCAGGTTGTAATATCTGTAATTTGATAACATAAAAAATATCTGTGTAAATGTCAGGTTTAAGGGCATCTGTGGTTTGAAGTTGCAATCACAAATGGCTACGCCAGTAATTTCCTTCTCAGCTTGAACTGCACAGGAAGGTTCCCGAACTCAAATAAAAACAGCAGGTAATGCCAAACAACCCTGCTGTGTATATTGAAAGACCTAAAAAAGGATCAAATATGTTGACAGAAGGAACCGGTGTCCTAATCCACTGAATACAGGCTGCTTCAAAACCAGTCTGAAGAAAGAATAATACAGACAGGACTGCACAGTCGTCCAATCATATTGTCATCACTATATGCTGGTAGGCACTGAAGAAGTTATTAGAGGCCAGGAGAGCTTTCCTGAATCTCACTTGATGCACCTGTACGAAAAATAAGACATTTATTTATTATTCAACAAGCTTAAGGAGAGAAAAAATACTCATCTGTTCAGGGATAGTTTTCTAGCTGCTTGATGAGAAATTGTTGTGTGGTTATATCATTAAACAAGACATGCAGACAGAATGTCCCTCAAAGATTCAGTGGAGAAGACATCATCATCTTCCTTACTCCAGTAGAAAAGTAACACAACAACAAATTCAACATGGCTGTGTAAAGCTCCACAATACCGAGTATAACAACTACACATTAGTATGCAGTCAACATCTGTTCTTGAGGCATTTGTATTCTTCCTTCAAAACCTTTAAAGTGTGTAGGTTAGATTTTTGTATTTGTACATATAAAGCTGATAACAGAAGAGTGAAAATAGATTTCGCAGAAGAGTGCGTTTGCTTTGCTTAGTAAACAGCACAAGCGTTCACAGACAGCCCATAACGAATTCATGTTTGACTGATTTGCCCACGCTCACTATAGTTTACAATAAAGAGAATTGGTTCCATTGGATCTGAATTAAGTAATGGATGTTGTAAAGCCCTTTTAAAACAATTTATGGCTGTATGAGTTGTGTTGTGGAGAACAGATTTTGTCTGCAGATTTTGTTCCAGCCAACACCACAGTAGACCGTTTCACTGATCAATGTCAGTAAATTCATCTAGTTTACGGTACAAGTAGGCTGGAATGCAAGAATGCAAGCTATCAATCCTCTGTACAACATGATGACCCACCCTGGCTTGATTGTTCTCATATAGTTTGTAAAAATAAATTTAAATCATTCTTTAAAAAATCAAAGCAATCTCGTGGGAATCTGTGAGATCTTGGAAGGATGTTTGATGCTGTTTTAATTATTAGTGAAACTATCATCTACTATATATATATATATATATATATATATATATATATATATATATATATATATATATATATATATATATATGTATACATACTATAACTGGGTAAACTGTATTCTGGGTGATGATTGTGGTGAGAATAAAACTTATAAAAACCCTTCTCATACGTGTGTGTGTGTGTAAAGCTATGGAGGGGGATGGTGAGGTGATCATCAGTCCGGTGCAGAACTGCAGCCATTGTGAGAGCGGCGAATGCCTTGAGATCAAGGGCAGTATCTGCTACTGTGAGGATGACCTCATCCTGGCTCCAGACGGGGTGTCCTGCATCAACGCTACAGGTCTGACATATAGTCACACGCATACTTTACAATTTGTAATGAAGAACAACAGTCTATTTCTCTGTCTTCCACACAGATAGGTGAAATTATTCCAAACGTAGAAATGAGCTAAGATGAATGTAACTGTACCTGTAATAGACTGTGACTCAGTGGATAGATAATGAATTAATTTACAAAAGTAATTAAGCCTGGGAGGCTCTGTACTTTATTGAATCTTTATCTGGGGGAATGTTTTAACAGTGCCTTAATCATTCATAATAATTATAAATCTGTAGGATAAAGCTAAGCTGTTAATAAAAATGGATATACCTACACCAGTGTTAGCTGCTGTAATTTATCTCTGTGCTACAGTCAGATAAAAGCTCTTTATCTTATCATGTCAAGCATTTAGGATAAAGGGCTTCACCTTGATACTCATCAATGGATTTTAAATGCATTTTATACTGGGCTAAATGAGAGGTGAGTTTAGCACCTGGCTCTGCCCATTAGACCACATCGAGGGTGACTAAAAATTAGTTTGCTCACAAGTGCCATGTCAACTCCTTAGGTTCAAACTGTAACAAAGGGATGTAAACCTGAAAGTGCCTCTTCAATTATAATTTGTAATCTCAGATAAATAATGAGTATATGAATGCAGATCTGAAATGAATTCAAGTGGTGGAATGTCACTTTATACTTTGAAGCAAAAATAAGGGGGGCTATTATTAGCATGTCAATAATATCTTAATGACCTAGAGAGTCTCCTTGCCCTATGATTTGCAAATTTGTTCTCAGTAATAACAAGCAGTAGATAATTTTATGATGCTAGGTCATAAAAGGTCACAATCTCAATATGGTCTCTCTCGGTGTGCAGATTTGTTCCTTAGCTTAGACAAGTGAAATGAGATCGCCCCACGCCACTGAAAAGGAATTAACATGCACCGGCCGTCGCTGCTCCTAAGCTCTGTTGTGTCATCGCTTTCACATCATTAATTAAGTTGGGGATCAGAGTGGCGAAGTGAATGTTAATACTCCTTTGGGGAAGATAACAACTGTGGAACGCTGTTGTTTCCCCTTGTCGTGCAGTGGTGTCCCTGCTGCCTGCCCAGCCGCCTCTCTCCCACCTGGCGCTGGGTCTGTCTGTGGGCACATCGGCCCTCATCGCCGCCCTGCTGCTGGCTGTGTCCGGAGTCATGATAAGTAAGTAGCGACACACATGAGTCAGTAAGGATAGAAAAATGTACCAACTGTTCGGTGAAAAAAGCACTTTCGGTGTTCAGCATAATAAGTCAAAAGACCGAATAATAGAGAGGCTCTGAAGTCTTCATGTTATGCAATAGGAGAAACACATAGGCTACACATTATTTATCAAATTGGGTTGGACTTTATGAATTTAGCGCAAGGGTACACATGTGACAATGTCCGGTTTTCAAAATAAGGTGTCTATAGAGGATGGAAATAAGATTAATTGTATTAATTATATTCACAGAAAATATAAAACATATTACCTGTGTCCATTAAAAGTAATTGGACACATGTAATTTACTTTACCGGACCCTCTTGGGCCGAGGGCCCACCCACCATAGTCTCTCCAAATCCTGTGGGAAACACTGAGTAAAAAGCACATTTTGACAATTTCATTTATCTAATGGTAAAAAAAACTGGCAACATAAATGGATTTTTTATTTTTTTTTAAACCCTGTTCAGTATTCAGTAAAGTTTTTCATCATATTCAGTTTTGGCTTTGGGAAAGAATTTTCATTTCGGTGCATCCCTAGAAAAAAATTGGACAATAAATGTGGCGTTCATGTTTACAGTATTTCAGCTTTAAGTAAAAGCACTGTAAAGCCGGACTGGGTACTTTTTTGACAGATTTGAGAACCTCCTTACCCAGATATGTCACTGGATGTCAGTTTATATTGTAAGTAACAGTTAAAATACTGCTGATGACTGTACTCAACAGCTGGAATTATTCTAGAAAAAAAAGAATTGTCTCCGTCAAGGAGGATGAGATACTCTCTCTGTTGGGGCCCACAATTTATTAGGCTGACTAAAATGATGTTTAAAGGAACTCGATTAGAAAGCTATTCAGCCTTTGGACATGGCTGCTGGAAGTTGCCGGTCGCAGTTGAGTACATTTAAAGTGAACATGTCTCAGTTTGAAAGAGTCTTTGTTCCAAAGTCAAATCTAAGGGGTCATGAGATGATTTACGGGATGGAAGAAAGAAAAAACGTGTTCTGTTTTATTATATTATTGGTGAAGTGCTTACAACTCATATGCAGCTTGTGACCAGTGGTCACAAGTACTCACCGGGAACCACTGAGAGAACAAAGAACAACAAATGACAAGCAGTGACTTAACCCAATGAAGTTGCCACCGACCCAAATGAGCATGGACAAAGCAGTAAGCTGAAATAGCTGTTATTGACCATAAAGACCTACACTGTGCTGCTGAAAGTCTGAGAGGTTCATGAGTACTTGTGCAGTCTGCTTCTGTATTCTGTTTGCACAATAGACCCACGTTCTCTCTCTGTCTTTCACACACACACAAAGTTCTCCAGTGTCTGGCCTGGTCCCTCTCAGACGGCCCTTAGCAGGTTGTTGTCAGAACTGTAAGTGAGCCTCGCGGCCATCGCAGACAACCGTCTGCCCGCCCGCTTTCAGGCTATTACAGCCAGACATATGCACTCATTGAGCTATCATCTCCTCCACACACACACCCACGCTCACTCTCACACTTGCAGACCAACACACACACATCCAGATTCCCACCTACACTCATATGATGCACGCACGTCAGTAGACGAGGCAAGGTTGGTGGAGGTGTGGGACTACCACGGTGATGAATGAAACACGCTAATGATGGATGGCTGCTTAGCCGGCAGCTGACAGCACTCGTACATTAGACAGCACTTGGTAAATAAATAACTCCCCTACACACACATAAGCATACACACACAAACAAGTCCCCCACCGACTAATGTGTTGCCAGCCCAGGTCGAGGCTTCTAGCACTATAAAGTGTGTGGCTTTGTGTGTGAGAGAAAGAAAGAGAAAAAGCAGGGTCTTCATTCAGTCGGCTGTTTTACATAAAATGCATTAGTTTGCCGTATGAAGGAAGGAGCTGTAAGCTGTCTTGGTTTTGTGCATACTGTTGCCATGTTTGCTTATACAGATTTTGTCTTTCACATGTACAAATTTACAAGACACACTTACTTGAGGGTTTAATTCTGAAACATTACGTGTCTGGATATTTTAGACAAATCTGGATTGAAATTAAGAGGAATCAATCTTTCTCAGACACAAAGGAATTCTATTTCATAAAAATTTCTGCTCTATAAGCAAAAGGTCTTTAGAGAAGTAATAACTGTAAAAGCTCTCCACTTTGTGCGCTTTGCCTACCAGCAATAATTTTCTACAAGAAGATGGGTTTAAGGTTTTGTTTGTTTAGTTGTTGTTTTTTTTGTTAATTGTGGATATCTCAGTGGTGGAATGAAACTTGTCTTTCATTTTCATCCCACCAGTGTACAGGCGTAAACACACAGAGCTGCAGTCTATTCAGCTGGAGCTGCAGAGTCCAGACTGCAAGCTCAGTAAGCTGCGGGCCTCCACCATCATGACCGACTACAACCCCAACTACTGCTTCGCCGGCAAAACTGCATCGGTCAACGACCTGAAGGAAGTACCGCGACGTAATATCTCTCTCACCAGGTAACAGAGAGGAGATTAAAGGTCCAGAACCAACATTCATGTTACTTCAGCAAGCACCCTATCTTGGAAAATTAGGAGCTCGCTATTAAAAAAAGACCATCATGAACAAATTCAAAGACTCAAAGATAACTGTGTCTGAACAAACATGACAAATGCAGTTAACTGTAATTATAATGAATCCATTAGAACAAATTATTTAAATAGGGTTTACTCAAATACAGCAATGTGTGAGACGTAGCAGTTTAAATAAGCCTGAAATATTAAAGTGTGAAGCCTCACAGTGTATGGGTCTACTTCAGTGATCCAAGAGGCTGAGAAATGATTTTTGCAGGGCTCTTTTCAATTTTTAATGTATCTTTCATGTGTTTATAGTTCACCAGTTTATCATTCTGGTTCTTAATCTTTGTGATGGAAGTTCTTTTTTCTTGTACACCCATGAATATTTTCCATCTAGATTTACGCAAGACTCATAAATCAAGTGAAACAGCCAAATCAAGCCTATCATTTGGTGTCGAAGTTCACCATCCTACACTTTGACATCTGCAGCAGGATGCCACATGAAGACAGTTATTTCACTTTGTGGGCTGAAAAGCTGGTGAACCACTAATTTAGAATACTAACAAGCATCTCTGCGGAGCTGTTTAATATTTGGCTCCATAAGTGATCGTTGTTTGGACAGAGGTATATTTAGGACATGTCTTACTGCTGGCTGTTTCTAATATCTTCAGTCTAGACAAATCAGCTTAAATATTGCTCTTGTACACCCCCACCCCTCCACCCCACATCCATATTTAACAGCTTAATGTAAAATATGAATGTAATTGTCAATAATAAATGTGTTTGTGTGTCTCCAGGGGCCTGGGTCACGGTGCTTTTGGTGAAGTCTATGAAGGGCTGGCAGTGGGGATACCAGGTGAACAGAGTCCACTGCAAGTTGCAGTCAAGGTGAGTTCTCACCCAGTCTCTGAAATGAAAACAGCTTATGTGTTTCTCAAAGGTCAAACTTTGATTCAATCAGAAACTAATTACACATCATCCATTTTTGCACTGAGGATATTTATTTCTCAGGATAGGAGATCATGAAGTTGAAGATAAGCAGTTTTTCTCAGTTCAATTTTGCACTGCTCTTTTGCAGTTAAAGGCTTAACAGCACAAGTATTGTATCACCTCTCTCTCACTACCTTATGTTCAGTGTTGTGGAGAAACACATCAGACATAATACAAAATATAATAATTACTTTATATTTACCATAGACCCTTCCTGAGGTGTGCTCTGAGCAGGATGAACTGGACTTCCTCATGGAGGCTTTAATCATCAGGTAAGAGCCACAGTGAACAAAAGTCTGTCTCTCAAACAGTGCCAACAAAGCCATTTCTGATGACACCTCTGTGTTTCTGTGCCTGCAGTAAGTTCAGCCACCAGAACATTGTGCGTTGTATAGGTGTCAGTCTGCAGGCCATGCCCAGGTTCATCCTGCTGGAGCTGATGACTGGAGGAGACCTCAAGACCTTCCTGAGGGAGACCAGACCCCGGCTGGTGAGACACGATGGTGTATCCCGCTCAAGTACACATTCTTATTGAATAGTGCATTTTTTGCCACCTAAAGCTACCACTATTGTTCTTCTCATTGAGCTCCAGAACTGAACACACCATGATCCAAGTTGGATCCATCCGATTTCCAAATGTGCACTCATGTATTCTTTACAAATGTGTGCTACCTCTACCACCTTTCCAAATCTGCCTTCGATATAATCACTTACATTCTGGCTCTTTCTCTGCCTCTTTTCGATCAGGAGCAGCCATCCAGCCTGACCATGGTAGACCTTCTCAACGTGGCCAGAGATATTGCTAAGGGCTGCCAGTATCTGGAGGAGAACCAGTTTATACACAGGTACTTCACCACATGACCGCACATTTTGCATTTGAATATGCTAAAAAAACACTTTGTTAGCATACACAAATACAGCACATGATTATGAAAGGCTGTACTGTGTTCTGTGGCCCTATATCCCCCCGACATAAACAGATCAGAGAGACAGAGAGAAAAATAAACTGTCAACAATACGCCGTACATGCGGCTATGCTTATAAATATGGAAAATGTTTACAGACTGAAAAAACACAGACTTGCGCACATTCATCTGCTGACATCTACTGAATTATGAGATGACTGCATCCAAGCGTAACATATGGACTCTGCATGCCTTTTGCCTTTCGTGCGATAGCAGAAAGGACAAGGGATGAGTTTAGCATCAGAGCAGCCAGATGGGAAAGCCGGCTTGCCATTTTACGGTCTGTATCCAATGCACTAGTCAACAGAGTGCCCCTTCCATACCCATATTCACACTGGTTGGTGAACCGGAGGATGTGACTAAAGAATTTCAAAATCCTTCTCTTGAACCTGTCTTGCAAATATCTCTGTGGATGTCCATGAGGAAAGTCAAGTATATGTCAAATTTATAAAAGGTCTGAATTGCTTCTACAATCACATCAAAACAATTAAAGTGCATCCCCCTTCCTTCATGCTTCTCTTTGACTTCCTTGGCCAATGACAAACGGGGCCTATTAAACCTTGTTTGCCCTATCAATCCACCTAATGGCTGACTCTCCTGTGGAGGCTTGTGGGCTTCCATACAGCAAGCTCTTCTGCCTTCAAACCTCTATTAAAATTCACCCAATAACCATCCTTGAGGCTAATTTAAATTTTTATGAAAGTGTTTACCCGGGGTTGAGTAAAGGGCAGGTGAATGAGGTAGGGTGGAGGACTAGTCACTACTGAGAAAATGCAGCTTTTTCCTCGGGATTACAGGGTTGGATGATAAACTATGGTGTGCTCCAACAGGCTAAATCTCAGAGTTAATGCTGTCTGAGAACATCTTACTCTGCTATTGTGTGTTTCTGTGCCTCTCTCTGTGGTGGTATTCATCTGTTTTTTTGGCCAGTGGAGTTCTTTTACAACAGGCTTGGTACTCAATTGTAACCACCTAAAAGAAGCACTATGCTGAGGAAAGTCGAGCAGTTTAATGCAACCTCAGGTGTTAAAATAGTCTAATAACAGATCGGTCTCTAGGTGCTGCAGTAAAATGGGTCTTTAAGCAGTAGTTAAAGATGACTGTAAATAAGCTCTACAGTATGAAGCCAGTTAACACTGTTTTAATAACAGCCTGCTCTCACATCACTGTGCTGCATGTACAATAGCACTGTGTCCTTCCCTTAAGGCCTCAGCTAGCAGTCTGTGACAGCTACTGCTGCATTTCAAGGCTTGTCCTTGCCTACAAGCAAAAGCAAATCATTTGCATGAATTCTTCCAAGCCATTAAACAAAGGACTACTTGGATTTAGCCACAGCACCTCATGAGAAAGGATCCTGTTCAAGTGTCTGTTTGTGTGTCTGTGTGTGCGCACTTCCACATGCTGATTGTAGTCATGCTATGGTAGAGATGATTCAGTCTTTCTGAAGTAGATGAGAAGCCCCTAAATGGATTGATTGTTTCACTGCTTTTTCTTGAACTGGAAATCTTGTGGTGATAGCACAGATTTAGAAATTTCTCTCAAGCTGGTGTGATAACTCAGTTTACTGCCATTCGTTTAACTGCTTCAGTCTAAATTGGACTCAAGCAAAGTAAAGAGGAACTGAAAAGCAAATGGATGCCCTAGACACAATGTTCTTTTTATTTCATACTAAATTATTTAATATCAAACTTGAAGTAGTACTATAATATTATAAGTTGAATAGTTCCAAACACTTTTGGCACATTAAAGTGGGGCACTCATGCATAGTGTAGTCCTGCTCTTAAAAAGCCCTCAGTTTAAATCAGTCTGAACTATTACTTTATCCTCATTGTGTCATTTCACATCCAACTTAATCAGAGTATTGAGGCAAAACATCCAAACAATGTGTTGAAAACAGAGCAGTGGTGCTGTCCTGTGTGCACCCCTGCCCTGTCTCATGATCTGGTTTGAGCACAGTGTCACAAAATGTTATTCTGATGGTAAATTCTTGGTATTTATTGGCCCTAGTGCACACTTGTCTATGGTCTGATACGGAGCAGTGTGTTCACAACGTCACTTCTTAAGACGTTAAGAAAGTTAGACGCCTGGGGAGCAGAATACAGTGTGTGGGCTCCATTTCCTTTTCCCCAGACAGGAGAGGAGTGCGCTGTGTGAACTACTGTATTTTCACATAGAATAACCAACTCTGTACAGTGCAAATATGAATTTTAGAAATTTTCTCTTCTAACCCACTCTGCCTGCATATACTGTGGAACATTTCAATCTTCTCTCTGGCTGCTCCATGTGGGCAGAGCTATAAAGGCACTGTAGGAAACTATACACTTTCCCAGCTTGCCCAGGGCAACTTAGTAGTTATACTGAACTTGAAATCCAACAGAGGAGCGTCTGTAGGTGTTTCAAACATACTTTTATAGATGCAAATAAATGAAAAACTTAGTGTAAACTTTTGAAGAGACAAGTGTTATGACCCAGCTTGTTATAGAGAGAGGTAACATAGAAGATTGGATAATTGAATTGAGGTGTAAAGGACAAATCGGATAATCCAGGTTAGTGGCAACGTAACTTAATTGAAAAGTTGAGAGTTTGAACAAAGGTACAACAAAAGAAGCCCTATATGGGTGTTGACTGACAGTAGCTATGTGATACAAGAAAAAGACACTAACACTAAGACATAGGGTTGGCCTTTATCTAAATGGAACACCCTGTTCACAGCAGTAGTAAAAATAAAAATAAGGCAACAAAAGGAGGACAGCAGCCATAAGCTTACAAAAATGGCTCTCAAAACAAGGCAAAGGCAGGCATGAAAGTTTACTAACTCGATGTTCTGGCAAAAGACTTAGTGAGTCCAAATGCTTGGGTCCACTGCTAACACAGCAGGTAAGTTACAAGGTTACACAAACGCACACTCTACTACCATGACCTGAAGGTGCTGTTACGCCAACAGGCATCAGTCAAGGGATCACACAAGTGAAACACAAAATCAATACATTCAATCAGGACAGACGTGTAACTCAACCTAGTGGCAAGGCAGACTGATCGCTGGTTCACAGCCACCCTGAGCTGTGAGCACAAAAACTGTTTAAACTGCAGCTGGGGTTGATCAGAGTCTTCTCAGTGGAACCAGGCAAGTTAACATATACTGAAGGCAACCGACGGTGGCTGTAACACAAGGCGTGAGTTAAGCCGTGTGCTTTGTCAGTATGCCTAGCTCTTTTATACTGTTTACTTACAGTGGCAGTGAGTTGTTGTGATAAAGTGACCAATCACTACCAATCCAAGCATTAAGTGCGTGCAGTGACTTGACAGTCTGTATGTGTTATCTCATCTTTCAGGGACATCGCTGCTCGGAATTGCCTACTGACCTGCAAAGGACCGGGCCGCGTGGCCAAGATTGGAGATTTTGGGATGGCTCGAGACATTTACAGGTACAATAACTCAGCACAGAGGACTGACTGATGTCAAACAGTGGGCAACACATCAAAATCCAGACCAGGTTCAGTTGGATTCTAGATAAGGTCTGAAAGGGAGTTGAGAACAAGCTCCCACTAAGATGGCAGTTGTATTCCAACTTAATATTACACTGAAAATACAAGAACAGTTTTATCTTGTTCCTAATGAATGAAAAATCCCAGCCCACCTAACCAACAGTTATTAATCGCTGCATAAAAAAACACCCATGTGAATATTTACAACTCATATCAGTTAATACCAGGCACTGCCCTCTCTGGGAAAGTTTCAAGTCTGTTGCAACACCCAGCATCACTAAACATGAGCATGCTGTGTGCAGTTTTTAAGTAATTTTTAACTGCATGGACAAAATACAATATATAAACAGGTCAAAACGTTGGAACTCAGCCGTGAGAGTGTTTTTATTCTCCGTCACACTATCGCACTGATGCCTTCTTTTAATCTACATCAGTTTATCTGTAGCCCAGACTGCATCTCATTATTCTTGGTTAAAACTTTTTAATATAGCTACCACAAATTCACATGACACCATTTAAATGAATGCACAATCCAGCAGGGAAATCTCCCAAGCCTTTCATCTGGTAAGAAGTTAGAGCAGGGGACACATGTCACAACATTCAGCTGTATCAACGCAGCACTTTCGAATCATCCGATGGAAAGTCACACGAGAGCAAAGTCACTCTCAGAGCATCCGGGAAAGGCTGTTTCACAATACCCCTGAGGAGCCGCATTAGGAGCGCTTGATTTAATTGCTGATGTCAGTTTTTCAGGTGCCTCGATGTGATTTTGTTTTTCTCTCTCAGCCTGGAGCCTTTGTTTTTTTTTTTATTATCATTGTTATTATTTTGAGAGGAGGGGATGGTTGCTTTGCGCAACATGCCACTACGCCGTTGGTGTGTTAGTTTTGCTGTTTCATGATGTGGCCCTACCGCTATGTGACGAGGGACATGGGAGTCCTTTCGAGGCCATCGCAGGGGGCGGGTGTCACAATGAGGGATCAGGACAAGGCTTAATGTCAGCTTTTTATATTCAGGGAGGAGAGCCACAGGCGTACTTGCATGTGGTATTCCATGGACTTCCTCTCTCATACACAAATTCACTCACACGCATGCTTGCACACCGGTGATGCAGTGGTAAATAAAAAGCTGGGTAAACAATAGCTGCCAGTCAGTAATCATCCTGAGGCAAACGGCCGGCGCTATGCAGAGAAATTCACTGTGCTTTCAGAAAAGAATTGGTGTTTTGCCTTAAATTACCATATTCTCATTGAAACTATTAACAATGGTGTGTAGCATGGCTTTAGGTTTTGTTTATTCATGTCAGCCTGCTGCACACACACATGCAAACACACACAAGGCAGACCAAAGGCACTGAAGACAAATTACACTCAGTGAACAGACACAAGTTTTAAACTCCCCACCCATCTTCTTACTCTCCATTCAGCACAGTCTGCCTCTGTCTCTTACTGTTAGTTTTCGTCTCTAATGCTTCTCTATCTTCCGGCTCCTCTTCTTGCTCACATAAGAAATAACGCACAAAACACACACACGTATAAAACACTTCCATTTGTGCTATAGATTTCCTGGGACTGTTTTTAAGCCTCCCTAATCTGCAGCTCGGATTTCACTATGTGTTGGCGGTGTTAGCAGTAGTAATAAATATGTCCATAAACCCCATGCTGAGAAAAAAAGAGGTCGATCCACTGATAGGGGGATTATCAGTCTTACGCTTCACATTTTACCATCCCTCAATCTTTTCAAAACATTTCAGCATTCACATTTAACAGACTGAATAGCAATGTACAAAGGTTTCTTGTGTACAGGTCATCTTTTTTTTAAAGATGTATTCCACTTGCTGAGGTCAGAAAAGGAAGCAGCTAATATATTACAACAAAAAACTTGGGAGATTGTGGTTTTTGTAAACTTCTCTACACTGAAAACGGCCTTTTCAGAGCAGCAAATGCAGGATCCACTGAGTGCTCACTGCAGTTTGATCTAATTGCATCTTTTGATGGAGGCCAGTCCATTTCCCTCACTATTTTCTTTGTTGGGATAGACAGGAAAATTAGAGGGATATTGGGTGAGAGTGGCGCAGTGGAGAAGATGGTAACAGAATTCAATCCTCTAATTGTAGGAGTAAAAATGGGTTAGGTAACTGATCCCCATCACTGAATTGATCGTGTTATTTCAAGGGATAAATAATGGGCAGGGATGTGTGTGACTGCCTTGCGGTGCTTCTTGGCTAATCTGTCAAGCAAACAGTCCCAACTAGTGATTGTTTTCTCTGCTTCATTGATTATGTGGAATTTTCTTCTAGGCTAACTTCTTATGCCAATAATTTGCTAAGTATATATTTCCCTTTTAGCCATATTATCTGACAGCATATCATCTATATTCATCTCTTCTTACTGAACCCCTGAAGACACACAGCTGTAGCTATGAGTTAATGATGAGTGCTGGTTCTTGTTATTTGCCTTCAATCTATACTTTGGAAAATGCAGTTCTCATACTCATTTTAACCTTCAAAAACATGAATTTCCTATATAGGAAATATCAAACAAAGAAATATGGTTTGAGCAGGTAACAACCACTGCAAAAAATAGTTTTGCCTTTACTCAACCAGGGGAGGCATATGTCTTAAAGGCATTAAAATAATCATGCCAAATGACCTTAATTTAGTAACAGGAAGTAGGGATGTGCCCTCACTTCCGGTTATCAGAAATATGGAGTATATCAAATCACAGAAATGTGATTACTTCAATCTCAATCTGAAAGTTGCCACAGAGTTCTTGACTTGTTGTACAGTGACGTACACTATTCCACACACACAAATCATATAATCACATTCTTATATTTCTTATATTCTTATTCTCTTATAAATGAAGGTTTTATTAAACTGTGAACTAGACACACAACTACTAAATACCCACATAACTAACGACTACTATGCATACAAATCTATAAATAAATGAATGAAAGGATAAAGGCATCCTGATGGGGCCTATTGTGAAGAGAGATCCTACTTCTCACATAACGCTTAGTTACTTAACTAGCATCACAGAAAAAGTGAGTTCCTTCAGGGCATAGGTTTCCAAGTGTGTAATGAACGGGTACTCGTCATCGGCCACAACAGAGACAAGAGATGGCATCACACATACTGCTGGAAACTCAAGCCAAGACAGTTGTGATTTACTAAACTGACTTAGATTGTCAGAGAAGGCTCTCAACCTTTGTTGTCCATGCTCTGGGAGTTCCTGTCTGTCTGCTGTCGTAAATCAAGAAATTGTTGTTCACTTTCCATTAGTGACCTCCTGGGAGACTGGAGGTAATGGAACAGCCGTGGTTCCTGGGGAAGAGTTTATCAGCTCTCTGGACAGATTCAAAGATTTGTCATAATTACACCATCACCACCGTGATCACTCTACACTTACAACATCTGTTTTAGCTTTCTGGCATTAGTTGCATAATACTTAAGATTTCATTTTACAGATTATTTTTTAAGGCATGCATAGCTCCGGCTTTTAACAGTAGTTCAGACGTTTTGCCTCTGGTGAGCACAGCTTGAAATCCTTCTCAAACTAAAGACAAAATGTGATGGGTCATGCAGCCCAAGCCCATGAGCTTTGGATACCATATCTGAGGAGCTCAGGCTGCTAAAACCAAAAACTTTTTGTCCCATATTTACCTCCGCCAAGGAGGTTATGTATATATTTTGGCGCAGTTTGTTTGTTTGTTTGTCTGTCAGCAGGATTATGGAAAAGCTATTGGCCCAGTTTTCATGAAACTTGGTTGAAGGGTGTAGCCATTGGCCAAGGAGGAACCCATAACATTTCAGAGCACCCGTCGTAATTAAAGTGAACGCTGTGCACAAACATAACAGCCACGTCAAACATACCTGTACAAACAAATGCATGTATGTAAGAAATAAGCCATCAGGGATGTGATTCTTTTTCTAGATTAATACCGGAATTCAGGATGTACATAATAAATGCACAGCTGAGATGATCATCAAAGCACAACCAGTTATTGGCATACTGCAATTTTAATAGTTTGGGAAATGTATCCAGACAGTGTTTGAGCTTGCAGATTTGCTTATCACAGAAGACTGGACTATTTGCCTGGGCGGAGGTCTGGCTATCCGAGTGGCCTTCCAGTTTATCCAAGCTACAATTGTCTGTTTTATTCTTTTCCACCCTGTTTTTAATGTGTTTGCTTTTTGATTCTTTTCTCTATTTTCTTTTGCTTTTAACTTTTATTTGTCTAGGGAATGCCAACTCAGCACAATGCATTTTCCTCATCCTGTTTCACATTCACACCTGGGAGCTGCCCACCATAATTACAGTCCTTTCCTGTGCAGCCATGTACAGCTCCAGCAGAGCAGTTGGTGCTTCAACTCGCTTGTCTAGATTTTGAAGGCGAAGAGAAAAGAGTGTGTTACTGCTACTGCTTTACTTTCCCAAAAGGCTCAGGGATTTAAACTGGCAACCTTCCAGTCACTAAACTGTGTCTACAGGCTATTACAGTCCTCTTATTTATTATGATGCACTTACCATTTTTACAAACAACTGTTAAGGAAGGGGAGTTGGGTTTTTTTGGGGGGGGGGGGGGCAGTGCAAAACCCAGTTCATGTCTGTCCTCACTGGGCGCCTCAAGCAGGGCGAGATCCACCAGGCAGTGACCATATCAGCACTAGCAATCAGATACAGCACACATCAGATAATTTCTCTTCCAGAGACAGCATTAAAAACGGCTCAGACGGGACTCTGCATGGTGAGGAATCTCCCTCCTTCCTCTCCTCTGCAAGATAAGGAGCTCTAAGAGGGCCTCTCACACCGACGTTTTAGGAAGCTGAAAATGTGATTGAATCACAGCGGTGATACACAAACAGTGAATTAATTAATTAAAATATAATTTTTCTTCTTTTTTCTTTTGAGGGCAGTGATGTTGCCATGGCAATTGCACTGTAAACTGCATTCTTCCTTTTACAATTGTTCCCTTTTTATCATTTGTAAGCAAAAAAAAACCAATATTACTATTATTAGCCACATTAGTCATCATGTATTTTACTACTCTGAGCGTGTGTGTGTTTGTGTGTATGCGCAGGGCAAGCTATTACAGGAAGGGGGGGCGTGCCATGCTGCCAGTGAAGTGGATGCCACCTGAAGCCTTCATGGAGGGCATCTTCACATCTAAAACGGACACGTGGTGAGAATCCCTCACACTTCTCTTGAACTGGCCTCAGTGGAGGCCAAGCTCGCCCTCACTGTGATTTCACCTCCTATATTTTCACACTCAGACATCTGCTGTCCCAACCTGCTCGTTTTCTCCCTTTCTGTTTTTCACCTTCCTCAGTCCTTCAACACTTTTGAACCCGAGCCATGTTTTTATTCCTTGTCTTGTCTCTATCTAATTCCTGTCCTCTGGTCACATCCTTTATAGCTTCAGCTCTGATGATGCTTATAATTTATGACTTGATTGTCCTCAGTCTCACCCTCTTTCTTTCTCTCTCTGTAACTAATCTTTCCTCTCATCATTTGCCTTCTCTAAGGTCATTTGGGGTTCTGCTGTGGGAGATCTTCTCATTGGGCTACATGCCATATCCAAGTCGCAGCAACCAGGAAGTGTTGGAGTTTGTAACCAATGGCGGAAGAATGGACCCACCTAAAAATTGCCCTGGGCCAGTGTAAGTGCAGATCCAATGTGATCCCCTGAGGTCTAATTAAGCATCGCTATAACATAAAAAAGAAAGAAAGATGCATAGTTGCAAATGATGCATACTGTGTATACACATAGGCAGCCTTAAAAAAAAAAAATCAACACGGTCAGACATGAAATGCTTTGATGATTTGCTGATATTGACACGTAAATGAGTTGTGACCTAGAAGGTGTCAGAACATTTTTGGAAAGATTGCTCAGCGCTTCCATTATAGAAACCACATCAAGAGCTTTCGTTCATGTTTGCCTCCCAATTTGGAAGAAGTCATGGGGAGCTGATACACAGCTTAGGAAGCATTTCCATATCGCACTTTTTCATACCGTCTCTCATGCCAACTCTATTATTAAACATATACGTGCAGATGCACACACACATTTCTTCTCTCTCTCTCATATATACACATTCTTGCTCCACGTTGGCCTCTGATTTCACAGCTCTATCCTTCACACTTGGCTAGTTTTGCAGATTACTCCTCGTATCACTTTGCAACCTTGCCTTGCATGTTCCTTATAAATATGTTTTTTTTTCTGTAAACAAGCAGCCTCACAACACAATCTCAAAGTTTTTTATTAAAATAAATGTCTGTTGAGTCACTATCGCCGAGTGAGATAACACAATGGGGCCTGAGCCTATGGCCTACTGATCAAAGTATTCCAATATTTATATATTTGCAGTATTATGAAACATTCTCAGATTATAGTATTAAGTTTCTGCTGATGCAAACTGAACACTTCCTACTGCTGCAGCTGCTCATTATAAACACTTAACTGCGAAACACTTCTTTTATTATGAAGTGGTCACAGGAAATACAATGCGTCTGTCAGTGACATTAGCACTGATCGCTATAATTCATCAAAAATTAGTCCTCAAAACAAGACGATTGTCATTTTGTGCATTTTTGAACACTGGATCAGTTTGAAATATTGCAAGGAGTAATGGAACAAGGAGCAGCCACAGTGAGCTGTTAGATGTAGAGCTGCAGGCGACAGGCTCATGCCGTGTGCAGCATAAAATTGCTCACAGAAGGCTGGAAAAAGGCCGATTACTGCCTGACTTCTTCATTAAAACGGCAACCGCGTGTTTTGCTGGACCCAGTACTGCTGGGACCAGTATAGGGTTTTTTCCCCAAATTCCATGTTTTCTCTCTTCATTTTTCTAAATTCTGTGTTTTATAATTTAAACCACCAGTAACTACAAGTAATCTGCATCGCCCATTTAACACCTCCATCATCACTCAAGCTGGTGGGAGATTACACTTTCTTTTCTGCCTGAAGCAATCACAACAGCTATTAAGAATACTTTGTCAAAAGAGATCAATCTGGAGAGGTGATTCTGGTCAACCTCTGTTTTCTTTGTGTTTTTTCTACATCCACAGGGAGTGGGATAAATGTTTTCATATTTTATGTGCTCATTCATGTGTATCTTTAGGTACCGTATTATGACTCAGAGTTGGCAGCATCAGCCTGAAGACAGGCCCAACTTCTCAACTATCCTGGAGAGAATTGACTACTGCTTACAGGTAACCAAACACAGCCGACTTTGGAGCTCTGACTGCCATGTACACATGAATTAGGACTGAGCGACTTGAAAATGTCTAAAAATTATTTTTCCAATATGGCTTAATTTAAATGATGATATGATTCTTTTCTGTAAATCTAAATGTGTCTATAAAGGTTAACATAATCACAACATTATTTCTGAAGAATCAGATTATGCAATTGCTTGTTATCCTTCCAGGGTTTTTTTTCTTCTTAACAAGTCAAGTTAACTTTTAATCACCGCTGTTGACGGGGAAAAAATTATTTTGCTCATATTGTGTAAGATATATAAGTATATAAGATATATAAGTTGTATATTTGACCAAATCATGACTTCCAAAGTAGGATTACATTTATCTGTAACACTGTGAAGACATACTGTCCCCCGTATGTCTGACCATTCCATGACCAAGTTTAGACTGAAAATACCGAATTTACAGTGTTAGCTTCACTGACTGACTTAAGGCATTTGTTTCAGAGCTTGCAAACTTGTCCTCCGCCATCCACCAGCTATCAATCACGCACTCTGCATCACTGCCTGTCTGAAAATGCTGTCATGCAATCAGCAATTGAGGGACCAACAATAAAAAGACTCCATTCAAACATCAAAATAAAACAGAGTGGTGGTTCGTACTGAAGAAAACATCTTTGACCATCGTAAAAAAGAAAACAGACATGGGCATAAAGAAAAGTATTATTCAGACAACAGTAATTTGGTTAATTCACAGAACTGACGTTAATCAGCTAAAGTTTTCTCACATTATAAGTTGCAGCTTGATAGTAACTGATGATTTAATTTAACACTGGTAACACTGGGGGAAATAAAGATCTTGTGATGGTCTACCCCATTTTAGGACCCTGATGTGGTGACCATGACCCTGCCTGTAGAGTATGGACCCGTCCCTGAAGAGGAGGAGCGTGTACCCATGCGCCCTGACGACTCCTCAGCTCCAACTGTGCTGGTGAATGCCCAGGTGCCTGATGGGGAGGCTCCACAGCCGCCCCCATCTTATCCTACAGAAGAGACCAGGAGAGGTGGGGAGCACACTGTGGTGACTAGCGTAGCATCGGAGGCCAAAGCCCAGACGTCGGCCCAGGCCCTGCCATACCTCCACCAGCAGCCTAACACGCAGACCTCCATCACCATGACTACCACAAACACAGTCACCTCCACGGCCACCTCTGCACTCACTGCCAAGGGACCTCATGTCACCACCCAGCCCAGCCCTGAGGGGGGCCACATCAACCTGGCATTCACCCAGGGCTACCCGGCAGAGAAGGAGGGCCACAACGGGAAGAACACCAGTCTCTGGAACCCAACATACGGCTCGTGGTTCCTGCAGCAGAGGAAGCAGCAGCAGCAGAGGCAGGGAGGGGTGGGGGGAGCAGGAGGGAGCAGCGGCAGGGTGCCTGGCGAGGGGCAGGAGCATGTGGGCCGGACTGTGGCTGAGGTGGCAGGGGCGCTGGGTCTGCAGCACCAACACCAGCAGTTCCAGCATCAGCTCCAGCAGCAGCACCAACTCCAGCTGCTGCACCAGCAGCAACAGCAGGGTCTCTGCAGACCTCTGTTACCCCCGCCGCCACCTCCTGCCGCCCAGTCACCCCTGCTCTTAGATTCGGCTGCCTTGCCCCCGGTTCCCCTCTACAGACTGAGAAGATTCCCCTGTGGGAACATCGGTTACGGCTACCAGGAGCAAAGCATGCCGCTAGAGGCCGCCCGCGGTAACCCCAACCCCGCTCCTCCACCCCCTCCACTCCAGCAGGGCACTTCCATGCCCTCCTCAACAGCCCATCAGAGGGGCGCCCCCATTCCCACCTCAGTGTCCCTGGGTCGGTCGGGTATATCTGAGGACAGCCGTCCCCTGCTTGTCACCATGGGGACAGTACAGGACCCCAGGCTGCCCAGGATGGAGGGCCATAACGCCACTGTGCTTTAGCCCAAATGCCTGAATTGCTGGTCCTTTTTTTTTTTTTTTTAGGACCACGTCTTTGGATACTGTGTGTTCAGGACACATAGCACGAGACACTGTGTCAGGACAGAGACAGTTTTCCACCGCCCCAACTCTCCCACCATTTTGGATTATTTCCCAGTCTGGAAAGAACCATCTCGCTGAAACACAGCTGGATGAGTCTGTCAGGCTTTTCCCATGAGAACCCTGGAGGTGTTTAAAATCCCCAATGGATGCTAAAGCACATCAGAGAACTAAAAACGCTTTGGGAGGCAAAATGTAGAGTAAAGGCTAGTTTTAAGAGTTTAAAAAAATTTATTTTTTCAACGCTAGAGGGGCCATAGCTGAGTGAGAATACTGAGAAAGAGTAGAGTTTCTGGCACAGGAAGCCATGGGGGCAACTTTCCATCTGGAGCGAACACATATGCCATGTGATCATTGATAGCTGAGGATGTCTTTGTCTATGAGAAGGGACTAGTAGGCGGATTCAAATCTCTATTTGCCAGGCCTGAGACTTTTAGTCACAAACTCTAGTGACCAGTTTGACTGCAGCAACTGTGAAGTTGTCTTCAGCTGCCAGCCACATGTGTCAGTTCTCCTGCAGAATCCTCACAATCGTTCCATCGTATCCACATTCTTTTGGGCAACATAAAACTGTATCGGACTGTTTTTCAAGAATCTCACAGAATTGGACACTGGATTACCAGAGACATTTATACAAAAAAATACTGGGAGAAATGTGTTTGTTGATGTTTGCTTGCCTGCTTGTTTATTTATTTATTCTTTTGTTTATTTATTATTTAGAAGTGGCTCTATAAATTATTCATGATCATGGTTCTTCAAATCCAAACAAATTCATTTTACACCAACTTATATTCACTTTAGCTTCTAGGTTATTTTTGGAGAGAGAAAGGAGATATTGAACAGTCACAAAAACGTATCAACTCTAAATATGCTGAACGATTTGTTTGAACACTGATATGCCAAATCACTTTAAGGTGGAGTAGATGGATAACTACAGCACTGAGGCAGTTTGGGGAGATGGTTTGACAAAAGAATAGAACAGATTAAAGACAAGCCACCCTCAGCAACATTTAAGAGTTCAGCTTTTTGCTATTGCGGAAGATTTTGTAATAACTCGTTGCCCTTGGAACTATTGAAATCACTGCTCCGCAGTTCTCCTTTTGTTCACTCCATCCTGTTGAAAGACTGCTTCGAGACAGTGAAGTTGAGGCTTTTCTTTACTTATGGCTTTTTCGGTAACCTTTTATTAATTCATTTCTTGTGAAAAAAAAAAAAATTCTTTCCCTTTTTTGTCTGGATATAGAAACAGTGGATATTGCTGAATCAATCTTAACCTTCAAATTGCTATCTTGAAGCACTCTACGTTCCTAAATTTGCATATTTTATCTTTTCTATTATAGGATGAGTGTTGTTGAATACAAATGAGTCTGAGTGAAAAGTTTGAATGCAAACTGCTTTTGCTCCACATGTGAATGAAAACCAGGACCAGTCCGAGTCATTCTGCTCATTTTCACACACATGGTCTTGTCTGTGCTTGAAGTCTGCTTTTTTTAAGGACAGTTACATACAGTATATCAGTCAGATAACGCCATGAGTGTGGCAGTGTTGATATTTAGGTGAATGATGAAAATGTGTGTCCGTTTTTATGCTTTTGCTTGACTGTATTTGGCAATCCTGTCAGTCCTTCTGCTGTACAGCAATGATGAGCTGTCATGTATGCGTCATGACGCTCAGTGACTGATTAAGACAAATGTATTCCTGTAAGGCCAAGTCAATGAGCAAGTTAAATATTGGCCAGTGTTTTGCTTTGTCTCCAGTACCTGTGTTAAAGACATTCATTCTGTGTTTCCGTCGCAGCTCATCTCCATCGTTTGATGTAAAAAAAAAAATTCTAAAAAAATTTAAAAAATTAAAATAAAGACAAACTGACCTGCACCTGTAAATGTTGTAATTATAAAGTATTGTACTATGGCTCTGGTAAAAGCTGTAAATTGCCCTTCAAAAGACATTCGCCAAAATTAATAAATTACTATATAATAACTGTTTTGCATTTGTCCTTTTACTGCACTCTGGGATTGAGGCCAAATGAATTATATCAGATTATCTGATTTAGGACTGGTGACTACATTATAATCCGCAGACATACAGCAGCATGTTTCATCAACCCATAACTGCTAACATTAGTAATGTCCTTTAAAGCTGTAACATAATGCCTGCACACAGAAGTAATGCTGTAAAATGTGATTTGCCGTGTCTGTATTACTTTAGGACTTCTAGTTTGACAGCAGTAGCTTTAAATGTTATTGGCAGGATAAATTATTTTTGCTGCCAATAACAATTTGTTATACACTGTATGTGTGTTACGAATGAGACAGCAAATGTGTTCTATTGTACAACATGACCACAAGAAAAAGTCGTTTTACTCACAATTAGTGACCTGAACTACTCTGATCTGTTTTGGTTGGAGCGCTCATCGATGATGAAAAAAATAAAAATAGAGCGTCTTATAAAAAGAAAACGTAGCCGCACCTGATAAATTACGCTACTGATTTAGTTTGTCAGAGACAAGATTTATGTTTGTAGCAAATGCTGTTAACATGGAACATTGAAAGAAACATTTTTATTCTACCAAATACAATTTTATATAATTATTGTTGTACATTACCATTGTATATTGAAATAGTTATTTCAGGTATTCCTACGTTAACTCCTGACTGTCAGTCAGTACTTTGTATACCTTTACTATTTCATATATACTTCTGAGTTTAAAGTTGTCTCCTGTTAATAGCAAACATAATTTATTGTATACGCTATCCTCTTGGCTTCTATTGCATTTTCTTTTGACAACTCATCCAGATGTTCTCCAACTAATGGGGAGGGGGGATTTGTTTACCAGTGGCACAGTTGATAATGTCAGCAGAACGTTCATAATTTCACTCAGAAATTCAATGATTAAATGGCAACAGATGTATTTAACAAAAGAAATACAACAGGTCCAGAATACCAAGGTATATACAAGGTTTGTATCTAATTCCTTACTTTATGCATCCTCACTCACTACCCTTGCAGGATGCAACACATGCAGTGTTTGCTGAAACAAGTTTTGTTGATAACTTCTCAAATGCATAAAATTAACTGGCAAAAACATTATATTCCTTGGTTCTGGAAGCACCAGACTACAGATAGATAAAAAATTAGCAATAAGCCTACTTTATTCTTTAAACTCAAATTTGTTTTTGTTTTGTTCAAGAAACGCAGATTCTGGCAAAACAATGTAAACGTTACATCACTTAGCAGTTAGCAAAAATTGCAAATCCAGGGGACTACTTTTTGTGTTTATGTTCAGTCAAACAAGTGTTTTAAATAATTTGGGTAGAATCATGTGTATGTGGAAAGCTGTGGGGGTCTTGCGCTGCTTGCCTCAGTGTTGTTTTGCCAAATTTACTTTTCGCTGGATCTCTACAACGGAGGTGGTGAGCTCATAGCTACTATGACCAATGTTCTCAATAGCCAGAGTTATGAGAATATGGGCCAGGTTGAAAAATACCAGCTTTCCTTTAACATTTAGAAAACTGCACCAATCTCTGCAATATGAAACAGCTAAGCTAACCAACAGCACTCTGATTTACCTCAGCACACCAAAACACCTCTCTGAATCTAAAAGAAAGGACCTGGAGGACAGACAGTTTAATCCCCCCCCCAGGTGTCAAAGACAGACCGTAAACATGGCTAGGTCCCTGGCTGGGATGGAACTAGGGACACAGTGATTATGTGGTGTATGCCTTCAGACAGTTTAAAGAGAGGTGGACAATAATTTAGAACGAGTTTAATGCAATTGCTTCTGTTCTAATCTGCAAGGAGAGAGTTGCTGTGCTCCGGAGATAAAAGTCTCTAGCTACATTACTCTACTAAACATGCAGAGCAGGATGCTAGAGGATGGGATAGATGAAACACTGGAGCTCATTTTTCTCACCGTATAGAACCACCTGCTAATTTGAGGTCTAGACCCCTGGATCAGAAGCTGCAAGCATCATACAGTGTTTGTTTAGATTAGAGATTTTTTTTGCTGGTACAGGTCATTCATGCTTGGAGTGGAAACAGCTTTGAAGTGTGCTGGTAATAAAATCTTGTTAAATCAATATTTTGTGTCAAATCATTATAGCTCACTTTGGTACAGTAGCTGTGTAATAAGCAGGATTATGTACAGTGAGCTGGTCATTATTGCACATAAGCCTTGACAGGGTGAATGGAGACTCTCCAGCAGGATTATCCCTGTATTGTAAATATGTCTACAAACGTCGAGGCTTGTGCAGCTGCCTGTATATATTTGCTAGAGATAGCAAACTGTATTCCTTGGGTGCCAGTTGTGCCAGCGTTGCTCTCCATCAGGTTAAGAAGCAGACTGGAGTCTCACTTCATGGTCTTACCAAGATCATTTGTCTCCCATCAGGGATCAGCTCTACAGTCAGTACAAAGTGCTGATGGTGCAACTAAGCACTTCCCACACTGTGATACAGTATGTCTGAGCCTTGTTTCAGGTTTTTGCCTTCATCTCATCTTATACCACTGATATCGACCCATTTAAATACAAGATACAGAGGTTTGGGAGTTAAACATCAAAACAGCCTATTCATTATTTCAAATGCTATATCCAACTTTAAAAAAGGATGGCATTTGTCCTGCTACGATTTTTAGACAACAAAGACGTCACCATGCAGAGAGGCTGAATTTAGAAGCATCATTGCGCCTCCCACCACTTTGCTCATCCACTGGCGCTCTCTGTCTCTCCATTTACTATTTAGCAAGTCATTTACATAAGCACTTGCACTATTAGCACCAACAATGTCATACAGTGTGTGCACTTTTCTCCTTTTCAGAACTGCTCAGAACTCAAAGAATCAAATAAAGTGGTATTCACAATGTAAAGTCACTATTATAACCAATAAAGTAGCGTGTGCCATTTGAGACATGCACTCAGCAGCCTCTTTATTAGGTACACCTGTACACTCTCAATCCAATACTAGTGTCCTTTTGACACTGTCATAGTGGTATTGATTCACTTATTAAGATATATGTTTTAGAATTGTGGTCATATTTAGTGATGATGTTGAACTGGACTGTAGTGCAGCACAACACCACCTTTAAATATGACCTCAGTTTAAAAAAAAACAACATTTTAGAGCAAAAATATAACACTCAAGAAGTTGTGCATGTTCCTCCTGCCATTAGGTTTTAGGTCAATATAAAGTCATAATATTATATAATAAGGATTTTAAAGCAAATAAGTATGCATAATTATACACAGAAAGTTAGAAAGTATGACTTTAGATTTGTGCGTGTAATTACTGTGTTTTTTTTTATTTCTTGTAACAGCTGAATAGTAGGAACACCGTAAAAATGTCTGCCTGTCGTCAGCTACCATCTGTCACTGAGCAACATGTTACAAGAGAGCACAGATGAAGCCAAAACTCATCTCAACAATCTCACTGATAACTCATAAACATGAGCCCAAGATGTTTGTCCATCATTTCCCCTCTACTACGATGGCCTGAACAGGAAAGGTGATCACCCTAAAGCCAAACACTAAACACTAGTAAAGTAATTTAAAGTAGTTATTTAATATAGCGTATATAGAAGGTGAAAAGGTGCTATATTATAAAGAGATTTACAAGAGTAAAATTATTAAGCCATATACAGAATCTCACAAAAGTGAGTACACCCCTCACATTTATGTAAATATTTGATTCTATCTTTTCATGTGACAACACTGAAGAAATGACACTTTGCAACAATGTAAAGTAGTGAGTGTACAGCTTGTATAACAGTTTAAATTTGCTGTCCCCTCAAAATAACACTTCACACAGCCATTAATGTCTAAACCACTGGCAACAAAAGTGAGTACACCCCTAAGTGAAAATGTCCAAATTGGGCCCAAATAGTCAATATTTTGTGTGGCCACCATTATTTTCCAGCACTGCCTTAACCCTCTTGGGCATGGAGGATGAAAGGATATAATCAAATATTTACAAAACTGTGAGGGGTGTACTCACTTTTGTGAGATATTGTACATAAGAGATGGCAATAAAAACATAAAACAGTAAAAAGATCAACCAATACACTATGATGTGCACATTGGATTGCACAAGTTACGCATGACAGTCAGCAGAAAGAAAAACCCAGCAGAAATAAATTGTCTGTACTTGTATGGCGCCTTTCTAGACTTTCTGATCACTCAGAGCTTTGCACTACATCACTTTCACCCTTTCACCCCAATTCATCCACCGACGGAGAGTGTCTAAGGTGCCTCTGCCATCAGAATAAGAAATACACATTCACACACCGATGTTTATAAGAGGTCAGCACTTCCCCTCCTCGGCTTGGGGTTTAGTATGTTGCCTAAAGATACTTCAACATGCAGACTGGGGAGCAGGGGATCAACCACCGACTTTCTGATAAGTAGACGACCGCTCTGCCCCCTGAGCCACAGCCGCCCCACAGATGGAGGTTACTAAACAGGACTCACTCTACTCCTCAGCTGCATGTTGCAGTCCTCGATAAAAATGATAGAATGGGTGGCACAGCTTTGGTGGAGCCTCACAAAGACTGAGGACACCCTCGTCTTAGTGCGGAGTGTGCAACATACCGTGAGGCCTTCTCCACAAAGAACATGTAGGCTGCATGTGCAAACAAGCCATGATCCCTCCAGCATCCCTGTGACAATAAGAGTTAATCTCCACAAGCAGGACGGGATCTGCACTGCTCCTCCAGAATGTGAGGTTCGACAGTCGACCGGAGCCTCATTTCCAGCAGCCTGGTGTAAGCAGGAGCGGAGACTAAGCAGTGTTAACTATGATAGCCTGAAAGTATCCCAGACCTTCAGCATCTGGCGGCTTGCCACTGCAAAGTTTTTAGACTACCTCAGTGACCTCCGTCATTGATAGGCAAGCCTTCTCGAGTGCTCAAGCCCTGCCTCCTCAACAGCAGGTGTGAGGTCAGTGCTTCTCCCCCTCTGCTGTGATCAAACAGGGCATATGCCACGCTCACAACGCATTGGATGGATTGGATGGGAAAGATTTCCATGTTAACAACTTGTATGAGGATTAAAATACCGTGCGTTGATGATGTAACACTATCAAATAAATTTGGATTTAATTACACTGAACACCACCACTGACTATGTGTTTGGTTCTGAGGAACTTCTGTATTATTTGGAGCCAAATATAATGGATCTTTCAGAAAAATTCAAGTCTTAATTATGACTTGGATGTATAAGTGAACTCTATTTAAAAGTTAGAAACTAGTAATTACAAAAACTCTGATGTGACATGAATGTGGCAATAGTCCTGCATCCACTTCCTGGCTTGACTGATGTTTGCTAAAACCTCTTTAAGGCCACATGAAATTACTTCTCTCTGGCAAACTAACACATTGTCTTTGCATTTGGTCTTTTTATTCTCCAGTTCCACAACCCAACTTTGGACAAAGTGTCTGTAAGAGACAAAGCACTGGCAAACATCACTGTTTAAATTTATTCTGGCAAATAAAGAAACAATCTTGCCAGTCTATTGGCAATGTTGACTTCACTATCTGATTCAAATCAGACAGGACAAAAATTACTTTCAAGTTAGAGAGAAAAGTATGAGGGGAATAAAGAACAAGTTTAAGTAAAAGTTTGCAGTCTAGCTAATGTTTTTTTGTAAATGATGGGGTGTACTACAATAAAATATCTTTTGTAACAAATGATTTATGTTTAGATACATTATTTTCCATAAAAAAGGCTCTTGGCGCTATTTGTGGTCATTGTAATGTTTTTAACGTTAGTGATAGTACGATGGGCATCATGAACGGCCTGGTGCTGCTCCAACTTGATCCGTTTCAACATCTGACACTACTGCTAGAGCTGTGTTTATGTATTTAATTTTGGTTTTTAGTGCTCCCTTGATCAGTCTCTTGGGTCACTAGTTTGAACAGGCAAACACTGCTTCCCTGGATCCTTTCCCGTGGTTTTGTTATTCCTGTTCCAACTACAATAAGCATAGAAACAATTTAAAGCAACCATTCAAACATCTATTTATTTCAGAATCATGGCATAATAGTGCGTCACCCACAAACTCCCCAAACCTGGAATTGCCCAGGCAGGCGGGGAGGAAACAATGCACTTCAGCAGCAGGCTTTTTCAGCTTTGGACGAGATGAGCCCCAGTGGAATCAGATGGTAAGTGAACAGACATGTAACCACTTCAAAATGTTATTTCATTTCCAGTCCCTAATGACAGCTCTCCTCTGCACTTTATGAACAGTTACAGAAATTCAAGCAATAATTACTTTTTATAAGAATAAGCACAATCGATAAATGCACAAAGCCAAAGAAGAAAGAGAAAGTCATGGAGATAAGAGGTCAAATTAGAATAGAATATTTTATTTCCTTTTTTACAAATACTGTTATTTTCCACAACATGTAAATGCATTAGTCCAAATCCCTGTCTCTCTCACACATACTTCAAATATACACATCAGAAATATCATGAAAAGAAACAAAACAATCTATTACCCTCACCAACAAAGCGCCAAAAACTTTCATATCCATCAGTGGAATTTGAAATCACTCATGCTGTAATGCAATTGGGATTGCAGATTTAATTTATCAAAGATAAGATTTGAAATGTGGAACACTAACAAATGCCATATAAAATGATCACATAGATGGCCTTTATGCAAATAAGCATTTTTTTTAAATAAAGTGTTTAAAATGTTTCAATAGGAATTCGGAAAGACTGCATTTTTAAAACGCTCACTCGTTTCATCTGTGTCAGATATTTCAGACAACCATGGGCCCTGACCACTGCTGCTTTTCAATCATAGGGGGCCTGACCAGACAGATCAATGAGAGAAGGCCATTGGAGATTCTACAGCTACTGTTGTGGCCTACACGCCCTAATTGGATGGTACATGAGTGTTTTACTGAGCAGTGGGCCTGTTTTCCACATGCACAATCGATGGCTTGTTCTCTGCTGGGTTGCCCAGACAGCTCTAATCAAATAGCAAACTATCCTTGAAACTTCTGATGATGCTGCTTTAATTAAGTGTCAAATACAGTTATGCCACACGCAATGCTCTGAAATGGGGTCTTCAACAAATGTAATGACACCATACTGTACCGAAAGGTCATCACGTTTGATATTACATTACAAACTGATTTTTTCCAAATTCAGTTTCTAAAAACAGACATTGTTGTGAGAGCTCTGATGCGCAGTCAGGAGGAACACAAGTCAGGATGTTCCCAGCTGAAGTTAAGATATTTATCAAGGGAACCTTCAATTTGTTATTTAAGTGACAGTTTAGCTAAATATCACTGCCTCAACAATGTTAACAGTCTGCGTCTATGCATAACTGAATCATAGCCAAAGGAGCAAGATGTATGTTTTTTGCTGTCCAATATAACCATTATTTATCGATGTAGGATTATTACACCATCTGTGGCAGAGACTGATGTAGTAGGAGGAAACATCTTCTGTTGATGCAGCTGTATTCTGATGGAGGTTGATAGAGGTCTTGGTTTAATTAAATCCCTATTAATTCAGATTGATTCATAAAGTGAAAATACAGTTTTGACTCAACTTCCAATTATCTGTAAGCCATATGATGACCCTGGAAAGAAATCACTCTTGTCTCAAAGTGCTCTTAATTAATACACACGCGCACATAATCACAAACACATGCACCCTTTTGGTTAGAGAGTAGGCTACATTACCACCTAAATTATCTGATAAAAATCTTTATTTGATCTGATCAAAATTAGCTTGGGATATAGAAACAGTTTTCCTGTGTGTACATCCACACCATCCAGGTTATCTTATTCTGATCCATCGTATTGATGTTTCTCAGTGCAATCAGATTAGAAGTAGTGCAGTGTTTAATGTCTTATTAAGACTTTCCCCCTGCATCCTGCCATGACAAATTCAAATAAGAATTTCATGCTACTTTTTTAAAGTGCTTTCTTTGCCCTTGTTTTTTTACAAAAACTAAATCTAGCAGTTTAAATGTGAACTATTAATGTGTGATTTTATTACTTTAAGTCCACCACCTCTGGAAGAGTACAGAGGACGGACTATATGAATGAGAAATGTGCTATACCAAAAAGAATAAGCTAATAAGAAGTTTAAACTTAAAACTTTTGCTTTGAAAAAAATCATAAAACACACCCTACTCTGGTTCCTACAGTCCTCAGCTGTTTTCATTCACCAAGCGAGAACCGTTGATGCCACGGTACGTGACTCTGCTGGGACGGACCAGCACGCCGTGGCCGGGTCGACAGGTGAAGTAACGACGCCCCCCCACAGAGCCGTCATTCTTTCCCTTTGGGCTTCGGAGCTCCAGACCCAGCCAAAGACCCGGAGCAAAGTCTGCTGTGCCCAGGTAACGGATGAACGCCATCTCATTGGCACTGCTGAGAAGGACCTGCATGCCCACATGGAGGCAGACCTGTCCTTCAGAGGTGGGCAAGGGGCTGGACACTGCCGTGCTCCCGGGAACACTGCTGAGGGTGCTCCAGCGTCGACGGTGAGGGTTGGAACGACTTCTTTTTTCATTTTTATTTTTTATAGATGAGATGTGGGAGAACACGGGGAAATGCAGCAAGAAAGATTTATGAGAAAAGGTATGCAGTGTGAGAGGATATCTCAAAATGTAAGTGGGAGATTCATGGCACCTTGGGTATTTGATCTTCAATTCCTTGGTCTCTCTCATTAGAACCACAATCATGCATTGGCCATTTAAAAAAGGAACCTTTGCTGACTAATACCGCTGCCTCTTATTAGTATTGATTGTGCCACTGCTGCAGGGGATTAGGATGAAGCTGAAAAGCTTGGGGAGGGTGAAATGTGAGGGCTGTGTGGAAGAGAGAAACGTACCTGGTAACAGGACTTCTTCTGCTCGTCTCCTTTGGGGTTGCGATGGCCGATGATGTGCTGAAACTGCGGCGGATTGTCCCTGCACGGTAATCACAGGAGTCAAGCACACGGATTCTCTCATAAGAATGACGTCACAAACACTCACAGCATAACAAATGCACAGACACATTTCAAATAAGTCTCTTGCAAAAAACTTGTAATGAAGGAAAAACTCTCACCGCTGAATGGATGGCTGAGGCGTGAGGAGGAGAGCTCTGAAAGGCAATCAACAGATCCATGGATCCTGTAAGTAAAAAAAGATTACATTATGTCTCTATGAACATTTAGTGATCCTCATTAGAGCCGACCAATATCATCAGACAAGATGAATTAACTGCATTTAAATCGTTATCTGCATTTAACAGCCAATTAATGACTATTAAAAATAAAAACAGAGTCGGATCCTTCAGTTATGTCATGACTGCTGCATAGTTTGCCCACCAGAGGGCGCTCTGAAACACATCGTTAACACTGCAGCACCACAGAACAAAACCATCAGCTGACCGGAGTCTACCTGAGCATGCAAAACGAACAACGGAGTGTATCTGTGTTCTCAGTGAGTTGGTCATTTGTTATGTTAAATGTATGACTTAAAAAAATAAAATAAACATAACTCATCATTTCTCTCCTGAAAAAATTCTGAAACATAATTGCTACCTCTCCCGATTTTCCCGGGAAGGTGGTTGAGAAATGGTTTCTTGTAGCTTGCTGTGGATAGAATTAAAGAGTGCTGGAAAAAGGATAAACTAGATGTGAATATGCTACATTGAAAGTAGTTATTACAGGCAGATAATACATAACCAACGTTCTCTCGCGCTCTCAGTTTACAGATTGCTGAAAAAGTTGCACCTTCTATACATATATATACATACATACACACACACATATATACATACACACACACACACACACACATATATACATACACACACACACACACACACATATATACATACACACACACACACACACACATATATACATACACACACACACACACACACATATATACATACACACACACACACACACACACATATATACATACATACATACACACACACACACACACACACACACACACACACACATATATATATAGATACATAACAGCTTTCAATATCGGCCTGTTCTATTGCCGCTAGTGTTGTGTTTCGTTCATAAGACCTGATCGTGTGTATGACTCGGGAGGAACAGGTTGTCTCAGTGAGTGATCTCATGTTGATAATACTACAACACTTAGTATGTACACTCACCTAAAGGATTATTAGTAACACCTGTTCAATTTCTCATTAATGCAATTATCTAATCAACCAATCACATGGCAGTTGCTTCAATGCATTTAGGGGTGTGGTCCTGGTCAAGACAATCTCCTGAACTCCAAACTGAATGTCAGAATGGGAAAGAAAGGTGATTTAAGCAATTTTGAGCGTGGCATGGTTGTTGGTGCCAGACGGGCCGGTCTGAGTATTTCACAATCTGCTCAGTTACTGGGATTTTCACGCACAACCATTTCTAGGGTTTACAAAGAATGGTGTGAAAAGGGAAAAACATCCAGTATGCGGCAGTCCTGTGGGCGAAAATGCCTTGTTGATGCTAGAGGTCAGAGGAGAATGGGCCGACTCAAGCTGATAGAAGAGCAACTTTGACTGAAATAACCACTCGTTACAACCGAGGTATGCAGCAAAGCATTTGTGAAGCCACAACACGCACAACCTTGAGGCTACAACAGCAGACCCCACCGGGTACCACTCATCTCCACTACAAATAGGAAAAAGAGGCTACAATTTGCAAGAGCTCACCAAAATTGGACAGTTGAAGACTGGAAAAATGTTGCCTGGTCTGAGTCTCGATTTCTGTTGAGACATTCAGATGGTAGAGTCAGAATTTGGCGTAAACAGAATGAGAACATGGATCCATCATGCCTTGTTACTGTGCAGGCTGGTGGTGGTGGTGTAATGGTGTGGGGGATGTTTTCTTGGCACACTTTAGGCCCCTTAGGGCCAATTGGGCATCGTTTAAATGCCACGGCCTACCTGAGCATTGTTTCTGACCATGTCCATCCCTTTATGGCCACCATGTACCCATCCTCTGATGGCTACTTCCAGCAGGATAATGCACCATGTCACAAAGCTCGAATCATTTCAAACATGACAATGAGTTCACTGTACTAAATGGCCCCCACAGTCACCAGATCTCAACCCAGTAGAGCATCTTTGGGATGTGGTGGAACGGGAGCTTCGTGCCCCGGATGTGCATCCCACAAATCTCCATCAACTGCAAGATGCTATCCTATCAATATGGGCCAACATTTCTAAAGAATGCTTTCAGCACCTTGTTGAATCAATGCCACGTAGAATTAAGGCAGTTCTGAAGGCGAAAGGGGGTCAAACACAGTATCAGTATGGTGTTCCTAATAATCCTTTAGGTGAGTGTAGAAATACTGTTTTGCATAATTTGAGAATTTTTCTCTTCAATAACTTAACTGTTAAAGGCTGCATTGTCTCCAAAATCACCCCACAAATATATTGATATCCTGCTCGTTATACTACAAAACTTAGTTTGTAGAAATATTGTTTAGCATTATTTTGGACAATTTTAATATTCAATAACTTCGCTGTTATACGATGTGTCTCCAAAATAACCTCACGTCAGTGAGCTCCTGCTTGTGATACTACAACACTTAGTTTGTAGAAATAAATATCAATGATGTGTGAGGTAATTTTGGAGACACTACAGCTCATAACAGTGAAGTTATTGAATTTTATTGAATATTAAAATTTTCCAAAATTATGCAAAACTATATTTCTGCAAACTAAATGTAGTATCACAAGCAGGAGCTCACTGACGTGAGGTGATTTGTGGAGACACTACATCGTATAACAATGAAGTTATTCTCCAAAATTACGCTAAACAATATTTCTACAAACTAAGTTTTGTAGTATAACCAGCAGGATATCAATATATTTGTGGGGTGATTTTGGAGACAATGCAGCCTTTAACAGTTAAGTTATTGAAGAGAAAAATTCTCAAATTATGCAAAACAGTATTTCTACATAAGTGTTGTAGTATCATCAACATGAGATCACTGATGCCTGGAGTGATTTTGGAGACATTACAGCTTATATCAGTGTAGTTATTGAATATTAAAAATAGGCCTACCTAATATTAGGTATGCAAAAGTCTTTTTCCCCGAAACTAAGTGTTGTAGTATAGCCATCAGTATATCATGAATGTGTAAGGTGATTTTGGGGGCACTACATTGTATAAGTTGGAAGTTATTGAATATTTCTGCAGTATGTGTTTTCGGCGTTGTAATTTGTAGACTGTCCCTGCGGTCTTGTCTCACAGCCGGCTGCATGTAGAGACCAATGTTATTTGTGACGCTCATAGGACGACTCATTTAGATGAAAATGTACTTGTAGCTTGTTGTCTACTTAACTACGATAGTAAAGAGGCATTGTTTGTGTTTTAAACACGTTTTGCTTACGAGTTATTGATCCCGGAAGTTCGAATCTGTGAATATATTTCCAACTTTACCAAACTGAAATTTCCATGTTGAAATATTCGACTTCCGACCTCAAAGCATTTCAGTTGCATGGTGGTGCATGACGCTAAAAATAAACAACAAACACGGCTGACCATGGAAACTTATGTTTCTTTGGCAAGTTTTTGCACAGGTAAACCCTCAGCAATACACTTGGTGTTAATTAAAAGGATGGCCATTTTATTAAAAACAAGTGATAAATATAAGTTACTCATGAACTGCGTATCCTATCTACATCAGTTGATAATTCTCAAAAGTCAGCAAAGGTTGTAGGCTATATTTCCAAATGTTTTCACATTTCTGGGAATTTTTTTTAACATTTTCCTGAATAACTTTTGGGTAGAGAAAATGACTTTCAAAGATTGTTCACTGTAACCAGCTACCTAATAACGTTGACAATATATTTCTACATTCATTTACATGCAGAACAAGTTTTACTATTTGATAGTGTGTATTATTTTAATTTAATACTTTACTTTGCCTTTTAGTTTAAGGTTTACCATTTACAATATGTGCTTCCATGGGAGCTGCCAATGGTTTGTGGCATCATTCGCCTGCTACTCGTGAAGTCGGGGGAACATATTTTTTCACAAATAGGAAATCCAACTTCAGGTGGCGTTCCATGGTACTTTTTCTAGTTGGAGGTCAGAAATTTCCCACTTCCTTGTTGCCTGGAACGCAGCATAGGTGTAGTTTATACAGGAATGGGGTCTACTATCAAAATCAAAATATCAGCTTATAAATCTGCTCTCTCTCACTTTAATATGGGCATCAGCCCCCAAAAACCCATATTGGTCAGGCTCTAATCCTCATCGAGTTTTCAGCATGAGACAACTTACTGTGTAAAACTTCCTTTTGACACAGTTCATCACAATCACACTGGAGTACATTTTGAAAATATCTTAAATAGCAGCACATATCGAACATTTTAGAGTTGAAAAATGAGTGTGAGCTGACCTGCATCTCACAATGGCCCGTTCTCTGACAATCGCAACAAGAAAAAAAACGAAAAAACAAAACAAAATGGAGCTCATTTCTGTAGCTTGCACAACAGCGCCTGCCCTGCTTATTGATGTTTTCTCAAGCCACTATGTGAGTATAATAACATTAGAGCTCTGAAAGCCATTCAGAGGGAGACAGGCAATGTTGAGAAATGAGCAAAAGAAGAAATCGTGTTATATCCTTTTTCTAAAAAGGGATCTAAGTGGAGGGGTAGAGAAAGAAAAATCAAGGGGGTGGGGTGGGTTGGAGGGAGCTGTTTGTTTTCCTAATGGGTTGCGATAGCTGCCGACAGGAGAAGAAAAGAGAAGGAGAAACAAGTTGCTGTATGGGGAGAATGTGAGATTCACCATTTGACAGAGGGAAACCATGTGCTCTGCTGAGCACACTATGTGCCCCCGGGTTAATTAAGAAAAAAGGAAGCGAGGAAGGGGACATGAATTGGGGATGGCAAGAAAACACAATGACACCGACTTTCCAAAAGCCGGCTTTTACCTCATGGAAGTTGAGATGTGGGTTAAAAGCAAAATAACAGGGAGAACAAAGACGAGAAGAGGAAAATGGCCCCCTGAATTGTGGATCAGCATTGAGTTGAAGCACGAGCAGCAAAAGAAGGTGATGACACTGAAGCAAGGATTATACCTTTGGCGTGACGAAAAAAATCATCAGTATATTCGAGCCTACGCGTACCACTTCTGATGACCAGTTTTTCGTCACACGGAATGTGTTCATTTAACCAGCAGCCTCTCAAATATGAAGAACATCTCTCTCTCCTTTAAAAGAAACACATTCAGTACTAGATGTCAACTGCTTTTTAAACTGTAATGGCCTTCATTCAGTTACACATTATACACTTGAGGCATTGTGCTGTTAATTTGCCATTCAGTAAAAAAGGTCAGTAGTTTTTATCCACTTGCAGAAAATGTGAAGTACAAACAATTCTGACAATTCTGGTCTGGCAGTGAATAACTCAGTGGCTTGTGAATATGCATGTCAGACAACATTTTCCGTATTACCAGGATTAAATAATCTCCATGAATAGCCACCTTGGCACATGATACATCTGTTGAGTCAACAATTTGTCTGTGAAGTGTGCATGCTCAATCTCATGCAGAAATACTAATGGCTCTTTGCCTTTGTTCATACACAATCTGAGCAGGTAAAAATGGGTGCTATGTGGGAATAGTTGCTACATTTGCATTACATAAAGTAAGAACAGGGCAAAAAGATGTAAAATAGACCTGTGGGGTGAAAAAGAAAGTTGTTTGCTGCATGCAAAGACATCTAAACGCCACCAGTGAGTCTGTCCAAATTTAAGTTAAGTACATAATTTGTTAAACCATGCAAAATCCCTAAATCTGAATCTTGAATTAAAAGATATGGTGCATATTTGGCACCAAAGAAGCAAATCATACTTAAGATGCAATGCTAAAGCATGTTGTTGATCTACAAATTCATTACAAGCGTGTATTGGCCCAAAACTGCCTCTGCACACAGTGATGTCACACAATAGTTAGACATTGTCAAAAGGTGTATTTTGCACACTGAAATGGATGTCGATGTTTCTATAATGCATCACTATGTATTAGATAAACACAGAGATTGTACTACAATAGGTAACAAGTCTGTATGAGGCAACTATCTACACCCATATTAAGTAAGGTTTTATTTTGATACTCTTCAACCCGAATAGCAAACTATAAAGTGAGTTCTGATTTGTGTTAACCAAAAGTTCAAGTTTGTCTTCTTTATGAAAGATCTGGAAAAATGTGCAGACGGGTGACCTGAACAATCGCGTTCATTGCTCCAGTAGAGTTCTAAAGACGAGTGAAGAATAAATGTCCGAGTGATTTTTTTTTAAAGGTAAACCGACGTTTTTCGGTTTACCTTACGAAGACCGTTAGTGAAAGCTTTTCCTTCAGTGTGTCACCCATCTGTATTTCAGACACAACCAGGACAGCTGACAACAGCTAATGGTGGGCCAAATGTCTGCAACAGTGTGATTAATAAGAAAGAAGTAGGCAAAATGCCAACTGCACATTTATTTAATTGGCTGTTTTACATTTCTATAATAGGGCTCCAATATTGTCCACTGAATCGACAGCACAGTATGCACATATACTGAAGCAGGAATTGATTCAAAAACAAAACAAATTTTAGGTTTGTAAAGATAGATAGTAAGTTTCAAGTTTAAATTACAATGGTTTAACAGCCCTTGACTACAGGAAATGGCTTCACAAATCCATAAACATTTTCAGATCACTCTGAAATATCACACTTTTCTGAAACTCAAGTCATGGCTGAGACAAATTAATATTTACTGACATACATTATGAGATCTAAAGCACCACAGAGGGGTTTAAAAACACAACCATTTGAAATATAACGTGTTTTTCTGTAGGTTTGCTTTAATTATATTTCTAGTTAGGAAACACAATCATGAAAGCATGAACAGACCAGACTGCACACTAGAGCCTTATAAATGACTGATTAAACACCTAAAGAGACAGGTCACCCAGGTACTTGTCTTGAAGCTGAGCAGATATTTTGAATGGAACTGGTGGGAGCAGTTTAAAACAGACAGCTCTTCCATTTCATTTCAAGTCTCCGACAGATGACACTAACACAAAACACTACTTCAGTATCACTGTCTCACAGAGAGGGTTATTAATCAAAAAGACTTGTCTTGAACTTAAGTTGCACTGGTTCTACCAAAGAAAATATTCAGTGGCACCATTCAGCCTAATTATAGCTACATGTAAAAGTGCTCAAAAACCCTTGGATAGTTAGAGTTATAAATGATACTGCATCACAGAGAACCTTCCTAATTATTAAATGCAAGTAAACAAGATCAATCTTTTATTTTGTTCCATATTTTAAAACCCACATTTCAGTGATGCACGAACAAACCACTCCAAAAGCTATTCAAATATTAAGATAAAAACAAACTAACCATGACTTTAAAGTGAAAAGAAAATGCATGTCAAAATGCTGACCTTTGCCATATTACTTTGTCTAGAAATAGAAATGTGACATATGAAAAGAAATTTTAAAAAACAATTATATGAAGAGGGGTTGGGAATTCACCTCAGCTGACAGCCAGTCTGACACAAACAATACACTCCACACAGCAGAACACTAGTGACAATATTTTGACCAGATGAAACCTTATGAATAAATTTACATCAGATCTGTGGTCTGCTGCTTTGGATGGCGCTGCAGAGGCCTTGAAAGCAGCACATTAGTAGAATACAAGGTTCAGTCCTCTATACGAAATGCATTCAGGCACAATACTGAGCTTTGTCAGTGCTCAGAGCTGAACACATAATCACTGTAGTTATGCACATCAAACAGAAGAAAATAAGACTTGAAGCCAAAAAAGACACTATTAAAATACAAGTATATATGTTTTGTCAGATATAGTTCACTTCTATCTGAAAAGAATTGCTGAAACACCTGTCCATAGTGCGCGTAGAGACGCCTTTAGTTAACTATTAGACATCAGTATGGCTGTCGTAAAGACCACTCTGCTTACATGGCTTTTATTCACCTGGCAGATAAAATCTAAGCAGCACTTATCAAAAGCATTTGATACAGAAACCTTTAATTATGTAAATTGCAGAATTATGGTTTCCTTGACAGCAATTGTATTAAATCTTTATTTTTAATAATGAAGATTTCTTACAAAGCGCAATAACAGTGTGGTGTGCCGCACAGGTCCATTCTTGTGCCGCTATTATTCATCATTAAGGATCAAGGTAATTTATTTATCATTAAACAAAATGTGTATTCTCTTCATGCTACACAGGTAGAACATAATATATTATTTAATTTATTTTAAAATATGGAATCATAAAATACACACCTCTCTCTCTCTCTCTCTCTCTCTCTCTCTCTCTCTCTCTCTCTCTCTCTCTCTCTCTCTCTCTCTCTCTCTCTCTCTCTCTCTCTCTCTCTCTCTCTCTCTCTCTCTCTCTCTCTCTCTCTCTCTCTCTCTCTCTCTCTCTCTCTCTCTCTCTCTCTCTCTCTCTCTCTCTCTCTCTCTCTCTCTCTCTCTCTCTCTCTACCAACTGTTTCAGTTAGTGATTGTGTTTCAACCTACATATTGAATTTATGATCATTACCACCTGTTTGATATAATTGTTTATTCAAACACCTGACGATATGCCTACAAAATCCCTGACTTTGTGCAAGTATACCTAAAGGAAATTAATGCTGTTTTGAAGGTAAAGGGTGGTCACACCAAATATTGATTTGATTTAGATTTTTCTTCTGTTCCCTCACTTTTTTATTTTGTTAATTGATAAATGTGATTTATTTTTGAACTCATTCTTACGTTATAGAATTTTTCCCCACACCTGCCTAAAACTTTTGCAAGGTTAAAATAGTTTATCTGCTTATGCAGAATGGTTCAAAGCGAACAAGCTGTCTGTAAATGTAACACATTTCACAAAAGTAATTGTAAAACTCCAAGATCTCACTTTAGAACAAGGATATGCCAAGCAACTAAATTCTTTGAAATAACTGACCAGAACTTGAGCTGGAGAAAAAGTAACCAGACCTATTGGTATAATTAGGAAATTGATTTATTTTGTAAACAATGTGTTCATGTACCCTTTATTATTCTTCAATCCATCCTTACTTCTCATATTGCAGTATAGTCTGGGCAAGTATATTTTCCACAGCTCTTCACAAAATCTTTCTTCTATAAAAATGCTTCGTCAAAATTGCAATCCTCTCAGATCCACATCGCCTACTCTTTTTCAGGGAACTCAACTTCTTGCTATATACGTTAACGTTTTCCCAATATGTACATTAATGTATAAGAAATTCAAGGAGGGAAATCTTCCAAATTATTTCAGGTCTTATTTTAAAGCCAACTCTCACATTCACTCTTGATCAACTAAAAAGTCATCTTCATGTTCCAAAACATCTTACAAGCAGATGTCAATGTTCAAACATATACTGGAACTCTTTCTCTCATTTGGTTAAGACAGGCTCCTCCTTATTAAAGGCCTAAACTTTAGCTAAATATTAATTAATAAATAAATAGTAATCAGATGTTCTACTGATGTGTGCTTTGTTGTCTTATGCATATTCATATATTTGTCAATAAATAGAGACAGACTACTATATATCTAAAAGGGAAAATGCATGCAACATTTTATATTATTCTATACCCTGTAGTGAAAATATAACATACTTTCTTTACATTTCTAACCTAAAAAAAAATGACATAAACATATTCATTATCCATATTTAAAAAAGGCATCTGGCTCATAACTAGGTGCCACATTAAATTGAGGAGTCATGCTGCCCGAGGAGCCCAGGCTCCATGTTTGACAACTCGGACTCCCTTTAATCACAAGTACAAAAGGGCTGTTTGAGGGCAAAATCAAACATGTCAACACTCCCACAAATGACACTGTCAAAAGGAGCTCATTAGTGCCATTAGATGTACTGATGAGGGCAATGAAACACAACCTCAGGGTTTTCAAGGAATATTGTCAAATTCTTCAAAGATCTGCTCTGAACTAACAATGGATTTAAAGATATTTGTTTGATAAATCTGTCTGTTGTTTCCCTAGGTGACCACTGGCAAAAAAAACAAAAAGAGGCAATTAGTCACTAGGTAAAAATATGCGCTACCTTAAAGGGCCTGCACTCACCTCTGAACACGAGATGGAGGAGCAAAGACGCCATGCTTTGGTGGGCAGCTGAAGTACCTCACTCCTCCCACTGATCCATCATTCTTACCGCTTGGCTTGTCCAGTCTAATGCCCAACCAGAGCCCTGTACAGACAGAAAGACAGACCTGATATCAAACAAAATGTCAAGGGAACATTCACGCATAATCACATATCGAATGACCAAAGAGGAGAGATCCACTTTAAAGAAAGTGTATTAGTCATGTTGGCAACTGTAAATATCAGATCTGTTAAAATTAGTGAGAAATTATGTTTGCTGGACTGAAAATATAGCTTCCAAAAGGGTGCTACATTACTGGAAAGCTCTCTCCATGGAAAGTTATCCGTCTTGTGACTTCCAGTGATACACTGAAGTTTGAGATTTCACTGTGTTTATGTTCATTAACAGTGCACTAATGATGTAAATGTTGTAGCCGGGCTTTCAGTTTTCCCCTGTCTTTGGCCTACAACACAGTGCAGCATGGCCAATATTTTGCTATACAGAGCGCTCTTCCATAGCTCCTAAACAAATGTTTAGCTCTTTAATTTTCAATCACTGCCTTTAATATGAAGGTAGAAAGTACGTTCAGAGCATCTCTCTCTCTCAATAATGACTTTACGACACCTTGCGTGTGCCACATAAGGAAATAGACTGACTTAAGTAAAGTAGTCAAGTTACTGTGAAGTTTTCAGCATGAAGAGCTGCTTTTGATAGAGACATTCTTCAGTGCACAGAGGGTGCGATAACTGAGCATTGCTACCACTGATTTAAGAGTATCAAAGGAAACTTAAGACTGAAATCCCTTCAAACATGATCCTCGGTGGTGTGAGGTACGTTGGTACTTATTCATACATGACTGATGCCTGGGCTGAACTGCTGCCTAAATATTAATGAATAACGTGGGCTGTTTCCTCTCGGAATTTCAACAGATTTTGCGTAGCAGCAGCAGCTTTTTCATATCTTAATTTTCCAAGTATCTTCTGTCCAAACTCGAGGGTTGCCACAATGTAGCTCTTGCAAGTTGCAAAAGAGGAGCTTAATAAAGCTATCAATTTCTCCACATGTGACTCATTGTACAATACTGCACAGATGTTTTAACAACTCTGCAAACGATAACATTCCTTGCTCCCAATAAAAAAAAAAAAAAAAGGAGAATAAACGTTCTTTTGGAGAAGTAAAACTTAATTTTTACCCTATATGACAACAACATTACATATGGTCACCATCATTTATTTCGTCAAAAACCAACTGCTCGCCAGTTTGCTGCCCAATTAAGGTATCAGGATGCATTTAGGGAAAAGTTCATTGGAATTCTTAATGTCTGTCCTGAAAACAGTTAAGGAAGGACAGTCATAAATTACAGTATTAATCAATATTTTAGATAGGCTAATTTTAGGTTGTTCCTAAATTCAAGCTGCCAAATACTTTTTCAGGCAGTACAGTTTGGCCCTCTTTGAACCCAAAATGTTCTTTATTGAACCTTAACAGTAAAATATTAAACACATGTACTGTAATATGCTGATAAATAGTGGTCAAATTATTCATACAGTCAAATGTAAAACCAATGTGAGCAGTCTATTATATTAGTCTCAGTGCTCATTGTTAACTATAAAATAGATATAATAAATAAAATGTAATTTGTTTAACAATGGGGTTTTAGTCCTACTTCTAAACAACCGAAAAACTGGCCATAAAGCTGTACAATGATGTTGATATTCTGTTATTATGCATAACTGTAGGAAATTCCTTGCAAATTAACTTCACAGATGATTTCAGTATGCATGTGCACATATTATTCACATTTCAAACAATCCAATTGACAACCACCATAAGACATTACTTGATATCTTTGCAGAAATTAGGCTGAACAACATCTTTGTCCTAATGATTCAGGCAAGTTATGAGTGCCATCCTGACAACGCTGATAAGAATTTACCAAATAAAGAGTGCATTAATAGAGAAACATTATAAGTGCCGCAATATCAATTGTAGTTGGATTTCAACTGTCAAATCTTTGCTTGGAGAAAATCAATTTCAACAACTGACCTGGAGCAAAGCTGGTCTTTCCATAGAATTGGACTACACCGGTCCTCTGGCCTACCACCAGAACCCTCTCCCCCAGGCGTACCTCGGGGCCTCCACACACAGAGCTACTAGTTGAGGGGGTTCGGCTTCGAAGACCTGGGAGAGATGAACGAAAAGGGTTTCATTACTGTGATTGTTTCTGCCCTGTGTGATTCAATCAGATTTGTATAATCATGACAAAATCCTGGAATAATGGTGATCAGTATATAATATATAATAACACAGACCTGCAGTAGTAAGTGCAGAGGTATCAGTAGAAGAGCGGAGGACCAGTGAGGGCGTGGTCCTGGGACTCAAGGAAGCCCGCTGTCTTCGCTGCCTGGCAGGAAGACGTTGCCTTGGTAGTGGACGAGGTCGGGCACCTGGCCCATGCCGAGAGTCCAGGGAAGAGGATGAAGAGGAGAGAGAGCGGGAGAGAGCACCTGTGTGAGAGTGGCAGGAAATACAGGGGACAGGTCATTCAAAGAAAGAACCCTACAGAACAAGTGACTGAAATAGAACACAGTCAAAATCATTCATAAAACCTATTTCTGTGCAGCAAAGCTATATACTACATCATTATTCAAAAAAGGTACATAAACTTTTGCATCTGGGTTCCACAACATCACTTGTGAATGCAGTTATCCATTCTGCAGTATAAATAATTTCACACAGCACAAACTGTGTGCCTCCCCTTTTAATACTGAACCCACCATCCATCCGTATATCAGACTAATTCCAATGAAATAATGAAGCTAAGCCTTTTATTAATTTTTCCATTTAATTCCTCTGGATGTGACAGTGCCTACAGCACTCAGATCCACACAATTACCACTGTACTTTCTGAGAAATCCAAGCAGCTGACACACATTCTCTAAAGGCAGCACAAATCAAGTGAGCTCAAATCTTTTACAGTTGCTTGTCCCATCATAGAGGTCCAACTAAAGGCCAACATGCTAATCCCCTCCCAAGTTCAGGGAATGAGATGGAGGAGGGGGAATGCCTAATTTCACTCTTAAGAAGCCATTTGGACGCAGGACCTCATTAAGCTTTGCAGACCTTCACAGGCCGTAGGTTCATTAAGTGCCCAAGTCTTAGAAGCTAATTGATTAAATCTGTGCCAAAGCGCTTTTAAGATGAAGGGAAGATTCAGCTACAAACAAATTGGAACCCAGCAGTGATGGGCTAAAAAACTAGGCAACCTTTGCCAAAAGATGTTTTCAATAGTAAGCCTTAACTAATGGGCCCCTAAGAGTGGACGACAAAGCACAGAAATAATCGTTAAAGCTGCTGATTCTGTCATTTCTGTTTGAGCTAATCAATCCCTCATTGCCTAAATTGATCACTGGACTGTGGTTTTCGTTTCATGCAGAATGATCTGCAAGCATACTGTATTTCAGGTTAAGAAAAATCTCTTGAATTCTGATTATGCTCAATATTCAGATGCTGAAACGCATTCTGTTTCATAACACCCGATCAGATGGGATTTTTTTCACCATCTAAATTAGGCTTCAGTTGCAAATGCAGCACTAATGGATGATGTACAGTAGTTTGGTCAAAGTATCAGTTACATTTATGAAATATAGTACTCTTTCGCATTTTCCATTGATGTTACCGTTGAACAACCCAAAGATGGATTATGATGCTGGATTCAAGTATTAAGTTGCACAAATGATCAGAGACAGGTGATGATGAGGAGTGTGTGGAACTAAGATCTAAACAAGTTTCACAGTTTTAGCTAAAGAGATTATACTAAATACTGCAAACTCACTCCCACTCTACGTCCTCTGATACACAGTACATTAAAGCCCACTCAGCTGTAACTGCAGTACCTGTCTTTGTCACTGAGGCGTCTCCCTCTGTGCCCTGATTGGGACCAGGTGGACTTTTTTGATTATCAAGGGTTTTTTTGACAGATGGAGATAAACCTTTCCACACACACACACACACACACACACACAGACAAAAGAGACATACTTTTCAACACAGAGATCAGATTAGAAGATGACAAATAATGTAACATCAAAGTGCTATGTTTATTGCAAAAAGTCACCGTGACAATTAAATTATGAAAACGTATATTTCTATGCTTGTTTTTAACAGCTGAAATTAGCTAAACTAAATAGCTAAGCTAGAATATTTATAAAACATCTGTCAATATAATCTGTTGAAGGTCTGTTGAATATTATAGACACTGATGGAGTGACTTTCATGTAAATACAATGTGCAGAAAAGCAGTTTATGAAGTTAATCAATTTTAAAGAAATAAAGAGAATTACAAACAAGGAAACTAAGAAGAAACACAGTGTAGTAACAAAGAAGCTACACTGAAAGATAAAAATACAAGAGCAGGAGAGTGAAGAAACGCAAATGAAAAGACAGACATTGTGGAGTAGCAATGAAACGAGAATTTTTCTTGATTGAACTAAGACCATCTCTTTTACTCCAACACACAATAAAAACACTTAAATATGCTGAGACAAGCAGTTACACCCCCCCCCCCCCACACACACACACACACACACACACACACACACACACACTGAATACAGAAGAACAAAAAAACTTCTAAAAAGTCTTGGTACAGACTCATACACACACAATGATGAATATTTCTCACAGAAGTAAACACAATTATGTTCTTTAACTAGTTTAAAGCACCTAAACTTAAACAATCAATAAACTGTAAAAAGCTTGAAGTTGTTAATGAAGTCTACCATTAAACTGACAAGCCTTTTTGAGTCTGTCCTTTAAAGCTGGGGTACACAATTTATTTCAGAAGCATTTTTTGTTATGTTTGTTAAAATTTCTCTTTCAATCAAAATATCAAATGCTTTGACAAAAACATTCCAGTATCTGTGGCTGTCGCAGGACTGTAATAAGCACGGGCAATCATTTCATTCAGTCCAGTTCTCCAGTTACATGATTGGCTGGCCTACCTGTGCACACTCTGCCCGTGCACTGAGCATGAAAATGTGTTTCATGGGAGTGGCTTTGGAGGGAGGCCTAAAGGGAGGGGGTGGGATTTTCTTTCCGTTGGATACTTTCAAATCTAGCTGTCTCTTGCAAATTTTTCCAACATTACCTACCCTAGCTTTAATTGGCAATAAAGTCAACATTCATGCATCTAAACAGATTTAAGGAAAAAATAACTCTAATGAGAATTCAACTCATACATAAATCTGCCACAAAACCTGTATCACACTACTCCCAACTCATTAATATGTCACTTAGGTTTAAGGTTTACTTTACATTGCGCTTTGCAAAGGTGTTAGAGGAAAAAAATAAAATAAAAAATCAGCCTGGTATTTATTGATTGCCATTTCAGTTCACATTTAGAGAGAGCTGGGAAACGTTCCCCTCAGAAGCAGAATTGTGGCTTTCCCTTGAACTCCAAAGAGGAGACTCCATTTCAACTCAGAACACCAAACATTTCTTGTCACTTGACCTTTAGCTTGCAGGGACCTCCTGGCTCCATCTATCCTTTCATAGTGACGTTCGCTTCAAGTGACAAACAGACTGAGGCTACCCGATTCAAGCAGTGGTGCTTTGTGAGTGTTGTCTATGTTCCCACCACCCTTTGAGGCCTGAGCTACAGTTGACACACTAATAGGGGCCAGTCTGGCATTCTGCTATGTCTGTCTTTTCTAGCGAGACAAGACAGTTCCACAACGAGCCATCCAATCTGTAGATACACGAGCTAGCAATATTTTCTGCTGATCCAATGAGACGCTAAAACATAGGTGGGCTCCAGGAATTTGGGCTATAAATGGCTGACAAAGGCCCTGAAAAGTGTATGGTCATAAATCAGTCCGGTTTCTGCGTTGTATGGAGGTGATGACACACGACCTCACATGCATTGCACGCCAAACATTACGCACTCACATACACCTTGTGATGAATGGCTGCCAGGCTATTCAGCCTGTCTATGCCCTGGTTATTAAACCCTGCTTAATTGGGCCATCAATCACCAAATTCCATAGGCTACAATGAGGTCTGCTATTACAGTTACGTCCTGATCAATGGGCCTTCAAAACTTTTGAATATTACACCACTACAATACAGCTGTAAACCCTATGGGGTGACAAAGTTTCTAGCGTGTTCTCAGGTGTCTGGACTATATTATGAGAAGACATTAGTCAGGGGCTGAGGATATGGGCACCCAAGGACTGAGAGAGCAAGGTCTCAGCAGTCTAATTTATGCATTGTTCTTTGGCACTGGTTCAGAATACACTTTTCAAAGAATTTGAGGAAAATCATTATGAAAGCCCAGATGCAATAAATCCTGCAATGCAGTGGCTTGGCCCATACAAGGTAGAAAAGTTGAGAAAGCGTCTGTTTTTGGCACAAAAGAGCCATCAGCTGGAGTCACGACTCTAGGTGATTGCCTCATCTGGATACCGTGAAGTGACTCCGTATTAGGCTAAAAGCCCAGTGTGTCAGCATGAAAATGTCAGTACAGGCATTCATTTTAGTATCTAGAATAACTGTTTTCTTGGTACTGGTTTCACGAGGAGGACTGACGCCAAAAATACATTAGTTTGAGTACAAATTACATTAGGAGACATTTAGACGACTTGATTGTGATCAATAATTTGTCCTTTATTGCTTTTAGAGGAGTTTGTCCCACACTGGATCCTTAATACTTCAAACTGTGCCAGTAAATGTTTACAATAAATCAAACGTATGTCCTACTGACAATTCACACAGCGCTTGTGGAGAATGTTAGTACCCCTGGTTTAGAGGAAATAAAGGGCCTATTTCTAATAATATATTTTACTGTACATGATGATGACGACGACATTGGTTATATACCAGAGGGCTGGTTGAGGATTACCAGAATATCACACAGGATGCAGACAATGCTGTAAATCAGTTAGTAGAGATTGGCGGCCTATCATCACATAACTCCCACTGTAATGTAAACGTTGCCAAGTACAGGCCACTGATCCTACTGATGCTAGTACTCTAACTTTATGTCCCAAAACTCCTAAAGAGAGCACGCTTGAAGAATTATTTCTTCAGCTAACAGCCAATATTAGGAAGCCATACAGTCACTAATATTGTTACTTCAAAATGTTTGTGTTCCTGCGAGGTTGGTGCGGTTCTTGTTTTTTTATATGATATGTGGTCTCTAATAATGCATCTGGTCTCCTCCAGGGGACTGTACATGAAATTACCTGAAAAATGAGGAAACAGTTGCCACAGTCTGACATCTTTTTCACCTTTGCTCACAAATGTTCACAGATTTCTTTGCCCTCTGGGCCCTACAGGCTTCTGTTTCACTGCCACTGTAGTTTATGTTATGATTTGATAATTTCAAGTATTTTTTCATTTAACATTACTTTGTGCCAGAACTCCTCAGGCAAACCTATTCTTACAAAAACATGCGAGACTCACGCTGACCTGCAATATTAAGTCAACCTGACAGAACCTCAGCACAGCTTGAATCATAAAAATAGAGCCAGGTGGAGCAGTGCTCAAATATCTACAGTTCACTCAGCAAAAAGCTCTTACAAGGCTTAGGGTTAGAGTCCCCTTAGAGTTTGAGTCCCTAAGTAACTAAAGGGGGGATAGAGTGGGAGATGGGGAATCAAAGGAGTAAATTAAGCAAAGGTGGGAGACCTTCCTGTTTTTATTTAAGTTTGAAACTTTTTTATATTTCCCTGTTGCTTTTATGTTTTATGTAAAGCACTTTGAATTACCTTGTTGTTGAAATGTGCTATATAAATAAACTTTACCCGTGTTTATCTTGGAGGTGATGCGGGACAGGTCAATGCGACGAGGGGGGCGTATGGGTGTAGACGTCTTGGTGGTGCTGCTTTTATGTCTTTCCAAAGGTTTGCTTATCTTAGAGAGGGGAGCAAAGATACCTGAGGAAAAAAAAAAAACCCACACAGGATGATTTTAACTATACACAAGACAGAAGATTATGGACGATTCAAGATACAGTATACAGAGTGATAAGACAAATAAAAGACAGGTTGCATATGTTAATTTGAACATATTTAAATTAAAGATATAGTCCAAATCTAATTTCCTGGGATTAGAGAAGATACTAATGAAAACCTCATTGGACCAATTAAGTCCTATAAAGTCAATAATGGTAGAAATAATTGATGGAGTGGGTGGGTGAGTCAATGTGTTTGATCTTTAAGTACTGGGCCGTGGCATGACCTACCATGTTTCATTCGACAGGTGAAATACTGAACCCCCGCTACTGAGCCATCATTCTTCCCCTCCGGTTTGTCAAGCTGCACTCCGGCCCAGAGGCCTCCAGAGAACTCAGTGCTGCCACAGAACCGCAGGGTTCCAACCTGTGGACACAATACACCGCAGAAAGTCAAAACAAATAGGAGCACAGTGTGCAAAATAAAATCAAAACAAATTCAAGCAGCAAAAGGAACTATCACAAATTACACATTTCATACGGTCGAGAAGAAATAACCATCTTGTGTTGTTCGTGTACTTCTCTACTGCTGAAGCTTCCAAACTACCTCACATCTCCTCACTCATTTAAACCTAGTAACAAAAGCACCAAATCCAGTAACTACCTAACCTTAGATATCCCTCATGTACGCTTTAATGCTGGCAGACCTGGGATAGGGTACGACGCACCGTTAAATGGAATGGAAATTTTAAAGCTTTATTATCTTGTGTTTTCTATCATTGAACTCTGTTTACTAATTATTTGTTTATTGTGTAGTTGTGTTGATTCTGTTTGTTGTTGTTGCCTGTGAATGTTTTTTGTTCTCATGCCTCTCATGGAAAAGATATCTTAATCTCAGTGAGACTGACTGATTAAATAAAGTCTAAATAAAAAAAAAATATAGTGTGAAATTGTTACATCATCACGTCATGTATTATGTAAAGGGCAGGACCCCTACCAGAAACTCAAACACTAGAGCAACAGAAGAGACAAACCGTTTAAATGGAAAATAGAGGTTAAACCATGAGATTGTGCCAGAAAGTGCAGGAAAGATAGAGTTTTGATTGGCCAATCTCTACAACGCGGCACACTGTGATTCTCTTCTCAGTGTGGCACAAAGATCTATTTCCATTTTCTCTTCTTTGGCTCAAATTAGAATTTTCTAAGCATCTACAGGTCTCTGCTGTTTAATGTGTGTGCAGTTAGGATGGCCATATAGTAGGGCACACCATAGACTACAGCCACAAAAAAAAATTACTAAGGTGTTTAGGCATTTTAAAAATAGTAATTTTGGAAGTTTTAAATGTGTGGTCTACTTTCACATATGTTGGGGTCAAAATGACTAGCAGGTAAAAATTTGTAAATAGTTCAATAGGGCCCATGTTTAAAAATGCCGGAATTATCATTTAAAAGGGGTTAGATGGCAAGTACTCAGTTGACAATATTGTACAATGAAACAAACAAAGTCGTCAAAATCCTTGCTCCTGGTGTCTTGCAAGTCAGTAAGCTTGTAAGCTAAATGGAGTGTAAAGGACCAGACTGCTTTAAGTCCAAATGGACGTGTCATACATGTCATCACCATGGACCTGATACTAAAATGGCTCTTTCATACAGAAGCTGGCCGTGATGGACAGTATGATGGTCAACAGATGTGAAACATGTATTTTATAGTGGGACATCTGTAATGCTACATAGAGCTTCTAATATGTAAAACAGATGTGTTTAGATGAAGATTCTTACAGCTGTAATATTTATTTTATCCTCAAATATTTTTACCCTGCCTGTGATGGACTGGCGACCTGTCCAGGGTGTACCCCGCCTTTCGCCCGATGTAAACTGGGATTGGCTCCAGCCCCCCGTGACCATGTACGCAGGAAAAGCGGCTGACGATGGATGGATGGATTTTCACCCTGATGCATATCCTTCAAAAAATGAGCAGTAAACTGCTCTGCAAGAGTTAGGCTAATGCAAAACTAATGGCAAGCAACAGGCCACCTCTACCACTAAGCACCCGACACCAGCAACATCATTTGTGTTAACAGTTCACCCTCTACCCACAGGGACTGCGCCTCTGTCTTGTCTGCAAGCTACCTGTATGGTAAATCTGAAAAGTCAAAAGCCAGCGTTTACTTTAAAACAAAGGTAAACAAATTCAACATCCCTGAGTCAGGGAAGACTCCCGATAGATTAAGTTCTTTCAAAATTCACACTTCCTTAAATGCATAAAAAGGTGGCTAACACCAACCATTCACCATGTCATCTCTTATGGCCTTGAATTCAATAAAATTTTACAATTTTAAGGCTGCACTCCAATTTAATAAAGTCCTCAGCCCTGAGAGCAGGAAAAGGCACTCCCTGATCTAATAAGAGTCATTTGTCAGGATCTCTGTCACAAAAGAAATAGTATTACTTATTTGACAATGAAAAAAAAAAAAAAAAAAAAAAATGTGTGCCACAGGGGTCAAGATCAAAACACTGTACCACGGTACAGTAACTGTACCTAATTTGTTTTTTGGTGAACTTGTGGGAATAACAGAAAACTCAAGAAATGGCACAGAGATTACTTGTAAAATGATAGAGATGTTGCTGCAAAATGGCTCTTTAACTATCAGAGGCTAAAGTAAATTTTTCCAGGTGATATTCAATACTGTGTACTGGGGTAATATTCAAAAATGCAGCTTGAATAAAAGGTGCACTAGGTAGAGTCCATCAACACATCATTAAAACTTCAGACTCAGAAATCATGTAACAATGTCAACTACAAGGTCATGTTTTACATCATGGACGGTTTGTGATCACTATATAAAAGGGGGTCTCTGGTCCAGTCCATGGAATGGACTGAATTTCCTTTTGGTTTTATTACCAATGAAAAAAATTTACTTTAGCAAGACACAGTAGCATAGTATTTACCACATGCTTACGGCACAGACAAAAAAAAAACGTTTTGTCTTTCTGTTGTGTTGAAGAAGGAACGTGGAAAAAGCTGTTTCCAAGACTAACAGAAAAGTACTTTCCACAGAAATATATGTACAAGTGATAGTATTTGATGCCACTATTGAAGACAATTGTGATGAAAAATACAACAAACCTCCAAAAACAGAGATGCTGACTGTATGTGTGTTTAGAATGAGTGACACAACTGCAAAGACTTGCACTGTAACACAACAGAGCGGACTGCAGTAACCTAAGACTTTGTTGAGTTCATGTTCCCATCAAGGTCACAGGCCTTTGGTCACATCTCATGTATTTGGGGTTGTTTGTAGAGACTGGAGTGCAAAGCTGCAAATAGTAAAAGAAAGTTTGTCACGGATATTGCTCAACCGTGCATGTGAGCAGGTACTCGTGATGCTGACGCAGTGACAGCAACAGAGGAGTCTGGTGATTTTGTGGCACATCAGTGGATGTCTCGTTTTGTTGGATCACTAGGCAAATTTAGGGTGAACTGGGCCCAAGCTGTCAGCCCGATGACTAACGGCATACATCAGTCATTAGAAATTTATGCGAAATTTAAACACAAAGTAGAGAGAGAAAGCATGGATTTCTGGGGTTTTCATTTCATTTTGGAGCAGGAGCACTGTGTAGCCAATTGTCAAAGTTCAACTGTGCCATGAACATAGTTAGAAAACTGTAAATTGTATATGACCTATGGGGCTAAATCTCCACCGCTTTCAAAGTGTACTTCTTGTCAAAAGGATTACACATGGCTTACACCACCACACTGTAGTTGGGTGGTTAGGTCGAGCAGCCATACTAAAGTATTTCTTTGCATTGCATGAAGGAAATGGGGCAAAAATCGGTGAATTTCTTTGCCTAAATTCATAGGGCTTTTTTGATGTACTGAAGTGAAGATTGCTGCAATAATAAAATTTTAAAAAGTAACTGCATGCTATAGAGGACATTATTATACATATACTGTAATTACACTGTGACAGGTCACAAGACTTTCCATAAGTGCTTATAATTACAGTACTGTTATGTGACTACTTCAGCGTATCACTTTGTTTACACTTGATTGATCAATTTTCTGACACTTGAGCACATTACAGATTTCCACTGCTACAAAGAATCAACCAACATAGCTTAGTTCACACTGCCAGCTGTGCACACCACAGATGGTATGAGGTTTGATGAAAACAGGTAAGTCTAAGAGAACAGGGTGACCCACGGCCAAGAACGAGGATGAACATTATAAAACATCTAACATTGTTACAAGACATTTAGCAGAATCACAATTGGAGGTGGATAAACATGAACATGCTCAGATAAATGTTGATGATATGCCAGAATGAACCGTCAGACAAAACCTTGAATGCTGGATTGATGCCAAAATGGTGTTGCTTAGCAACTGGAAACACTTTTTTCTTGGTTGAGGATGGATATAATTGTAGAAAAATTAAGAGCTTTTGGCTTTGTTTAGTATAAACCCCTGCACAGCTGCATGGCACTGATGTGATGAGGATACAGGCACAAAGTGATGGTGTATCAACCCCTTTTTGTGTGTTATTGCTTTACTAGCCATTTATACTGTGCACTTTCAAGTTTATGTGCCCTTGTTAGTAAAGTAGGTGTTTGTAAAATATATCTTTTCAAATCAATAATCCCATGGAGAAAAAAAAATCTGTGTATTCTCTTCCAATTCTAAAAAAAAAAAAAGGACATGTAGGGAATTCAACTCCAGTCAACCATTTTATGTACATAAGCCAATAAAAATCGGCTCTGTGCCACTGAGGAACCATATCTGTGCTGTGTATGCATTAATGATTAGACTGCACTCCCTGCTGTAAGGTCTCTGTAGTGATACACAGAGAAAAACATTGCTAATGTGAAAATGTGCATGACCGTAAGGACTTTGGTTTTGCGCCATTATCCGAACATTAAAAAATACGGAACATAGGATTCGCTGACCTTAACCTTAATTTGTTCATGTAGGTATGTCCATTAAAAGCTTTTCCCAGCTGCAATCCAGAGCTGCCCTATTCCCCCCAAAAAATCTACAGCACCCAGTCATCACATCACATGCATCCACTGGCATAGTCTAAACATTATTATCATCATTTCATCAAATACCATAAATATCAAATTTTTATTTTCATTAATATAAAATGAATAGTTAAAATTGTTGTGATATTAGTCATTAACACACCATTTCTAACATTGAAAAAAGAACCTCTTTCAAACGTGAAAATTCTAAATTTACCAACATCATTGTTATAAAAAATGACAAGTTAAAACGGTATATCTCTTATTCAAAGTTAAAGAGTGCCATTATTGCCCAATTTATACATTTTAGGATTCAGATCCTAAGAATTTTTAGAGATTTGTTGTCTGTGCCTTTTCAAATCTAATGGGAGCAGAGAAACATCAGGCTGAATTCAGACCAAATCATGCGATTAGGGCAGGGTTGTGATTTGGTGTGGGCGTGTTCATTTATGCTTTAGAACGTAACCCTGGTCAGAAAATAACGCGTTATTACTCTTTTTCACTGGCTTTCTCACTACTGGCACACCCTCTCCATCATTCACTCTCTAATAAATGAAAACAAACCAAAGGAAGCTTCTTGGTATCAGCATAGACTGCAAGCCATTCACAGACGTCAAAGCAGCGTACACAAAATAAACCAAGCAAGGACACAACTGGGAGAAATCATAGTTTGGTTCATGAACTCCACCTGGACAGCAGATGACTGGAGCAGTTTGACCAGTTTGCAGCATTCAAGCCAGTCGAGGGTATTTACTGATATTTAGTGTGTTTTACTATATACAAAACAGGGGGGAAAGAAGTGGCATCAGTTATTTTGTCTGTAGTTATTAAAGCAAGCCCATTTGAGTTGTAAATGGGTTGAATACAGCCCCTGACCTAGGGCTGTCACGATAACCACAAAACTGAAATATTGGCTAAGCCTAACGGGGAGGATGACAAGCACCGCAACGACCACAATGTTCATACATTACATTTCAGGGCGTGTTAAATTAATAAATTAGTGCTTCAGAAGTTCCACAACCATTACAAGCTCTGCAACAGTTCAAGGACGGACCGCCGTGGGCTGTACGTGACCTGACTTCATACTTGGAAGCTAAGTGTTGCTGTGTTTTGTACTTTAGCTAACTTGGTGTTAGCATATTGCGTTGCTAATGTGACTAGCAGGCTCAGCGACGTTGTGATACTGAGGGACAATCGAGAGAAACCGAACAGTATGCCTCACTTGAAGCTCACTCACTAACAAGCCTAGTGTGTCGGATGCCTGCAAGTGTTTTTCATGTTGCTTTCTGTGAAAATGTAGTTATAACGTTACTACAGCGCAGTAGTTAGTTGTGGACAGCCATTCTGCTTTGAGAAAGGTTGATTTGCACAAGAAGAAAACATGCAATGCAATATAGTTTTCCCTCATATAAAAACAGACATTTCCACCGTAAACTGAAGCAGAAAATGTCTCCAGAATGCGGGAAATTACGAGTCTAATGCTTAAAATCTTCTGGGGGAGGACCCCAAACCTCCTGTATATTTCTGCATAAAATATTGAATCTAAATAGTGCTAAAAATCCTCTCATCGTCACGTCTCAAATGTTAATACTCCTTACTTGTATAGCGCCTTTCTAGTCTTTGCAACCACTCAAAGTGCTTTAACACTACATCTGCATTCACCAGTCACACACATTCATACACTGAGCCTAAGTGCTCAAACAGAAACTAACATTCACACATTCAAGGAGGGGCAATTCGGGGTTCAGTATCTTGCCGCAGGGACGTGCCGTGCCGCCTGGAGGAGTCAAGGATTGAACCGCCGATGTTCCGATTAACAGGCAACCCGCTCCAAGTCAAGAACCACAGCATCACGCCACTAATCTGAGCCCTTATGTCCCCACCACTTTTCAACACAAAGTGACACCCTTGACTGCTGTTTAATAATTTCACCACAACAGCCCTACCCTGACCCATCGTTTTGTATCCCTGTATTACACCAAAAAGGTATAGTCTCAACTTCTAGACTATAGCTTTCTTCAAAAGATAGGTTCTCCCTGTAACTGGAGAAGAGTACTTTCATTTGAATTCAGTGAATCGTTCCAAAATTGAGGGTTGGGAAATTTCACCTCACTTACCACCATGAAAAAAAGGGGATATTCCAGACAGAAAATGCTACAATTGAAGGATTAATCAAGATACTTAGAATTGTTCTTTCCTTTTGATAGCGACCTACCACACACCTTCTGTCCAGCAATTACCACACGGTCACCGAGTCGGATTCCCATGTTGGCGAGCTGTATCCTGGCCTTATCCGAGACAGCAGGAAGGGACTGGGCTTGCAGTGTAAGGGGCAGAGGGGAGCTGGGTCTGGGTAAAGCCTGTCTCAGCAGAGCGCGAAGCTCTTTGGCCACAGCGGCTGCATCTGCCATCTCCAAGGGCATGTCGAGAGGGTCAGGCACCACATCTGCTGGGCACTGCCCTTTTTCATTCTGTAGGAAGAAGATTAAGAAAAAGGAGAGAGTTCAGTCCAGCAAAGATGTTTGCCAGCATGCCAAGTACATGTAATTTAATGCTGAACATTGATAAATATCAAGTGTGATATCAACCTCACTGACGTCAGACTACAACATTCAACACCATTCTACTCTGTTCATTTCTTTCTATTGTCTAATGTTCCATGTACCATTTCGAACGAGGATAACGAGGATACTGGGAACAGAATCTTTAATCTTGATCAATGTTCAGTTCAATGTTGAGTTTCTATATTTTTGAGAGTGTTTTGTGCTTTAGATAGATTAGCGGTATTCAACAGAATAAATCACTCGTGAAAGTGCATTTTATTTAAGTGCCCCGAGGAAACACGATAACCAGTCTCTCACACTGAACCACTCTTTCACAGACATGTGGCAAATGGTTTTGGCAACTACACATAGCTGCCACACACAGTCTATAACAGTAGCTAAAGGAAAGGTTCTAATTTATTTTTATCTATCCTAATAAAACACTTGTATGTCATTTGCCAAATCCCTGCAACTCAATGCACATATAGCCTTTGAGTATTGTATTGAGAAACTTAACAAGCCTATCTTTTAACAACAGACAGGAATGACTTCTATGACTCTGCAAGATTTATATTTGAAGTTCGTTTATAGGAACAGTTGTGCAACTTACCATGCAATACAGCAGCCCTGCAGTGAATCCTATCTTTGTGGAAATTCTAATGTTCGGTTTTTGTCAATACATAAAAGTATGCGGTCTATTTGAGTACTGAACTGCTAATGCTTTGTCCACTACTATTTACAAACATAGAGAGGAGAGAATATTCGAAGCATCTCTCAATATAGTGCAATTCAAAACACCAGTTGTTAGCTGCGTACTGTACTGTAAGTGATGTGACAGTTGGGAAAATATCTAGAACTCAACCATTTTATCTGTGTGATGATCAAGCAGGGAACTTAATCTAAGTTTAAGAAGAGCTATGAAATAAATAAAAAAATATGGATATAACTAAAAACTTTCGTAGTTAAACCAATAGATAAAACTAAGTTATAACAACACAGGCATCCACTCATGGGAGCCAACAGGCTTACGTGCCAGCAAAACGTAATGAGGATGACTTCACTCTACCCACCAAAAATCCATCACATACCAAACAGACTTGCAACGGTGGCTCTCTTCAAGTCTGAAACTACAACTATCAAGTAAGCAATCTACTACATTGCTACTAATGGAGAATATGATGAGTTGCCATAGCAATTAAGCCATATGATATGTGGTAAGGGAAGCATGAAAGGCCAGCAACATTTTTTATTTTTCCATCCTTATTAAAACGTTGCAGTGCTCACATCCAAGGTTTGTTGTGACGAATCTCTGCAGGGCCAGAGAAGAGAAATATCAAATTAAACCACAAGTCTGACCTTTACTCAAAAGTAAAAAGATTTTAAACTGAATTTCTGGGCTCTGTTATAATGCCTTGTACTCCACTGCAAGCCACTACTGACATTTTTCAATTGCAAGAGAGAAGATTTGGTAGCTAAAGCATCCCAGTACATCACAAATCAATGCACGTGCCTATACCAATGCTACAGGGTGCTGACAAAAGGTGACAGATAGTGATGCAATATGTACTATTTTATTCATTTCCAACTTAACTTCAGAAAGACTGTGGTTTTACATGTTCCAGGCAACATAAAGTCTCTTTATTTTGCACAATTGCAGTGTTTACTTTTGAGCAATTATCAAATTAGTGACTTTGATTCATCCTCATGAGTGCTCTGTATCTCAACTAAAATCTGTCCTTTCAAACTATGAAGAGAAGAAAAAAATAGCAATTTCTGAACTTGTGGAAACTGATGCAACATATCAGCTAATTGGAAGCAGCAAGAACTCAATAAACCTTAAATAATAAAGCAGACAAATAATCTCCCCTCAATGGATAAGGAACAAACATCCATTGCTGTAATGCTGAAAATCTCTAAATAAAAGGTTAGAAAACAAGCTGGTTCATATCATCCAGTGTCTACATGCCTTCCAAGCTTTGTATTCACACACAAACAATATAGAGCCTCAGCACTCATCTTTGAGCAAGGGAATTATTGGATTATAGTGTGTAGTGCTTTGGTGACCTCCAGTGGGAAATTAGTGCATACAAAGAACAGGCACCATTTCTGTTCAGAAACAGCTTTAATGAATCTGGGGAGGGAAGAAACACTTGCATATGTTAAGTATAATGTTGGCATTTTCTGGTGTGGATAAGAGCTTTCAATAGAACATACAGTTTACGATAGTCTTGATGCCACATAAGCATCTACTGGGAATCGGCTGTACATCCTTCAACTTAAGATAGCAGATGGTCAGTGCTGTTCACCACACCCCTTAACCAAGGCATAGCAATGAGAGATGTTCAAGTAGTACTTATATTCAGAACATGTCTGGGAAAATTGCCTTTAGATGTTATTGGCCAGCTGATTCAGAAAACACTGCATTTCTGAAATGAAATAAATGTGATGCCTGAGAGAGAAACTTACTACTACCTTAACTGAGCATAAGGACATATTTTGCACCACTCTCTATCAAACCAATGTATTTCCATTATGCAATAATTACAGGAGGTGGAATTACATCACAAAAAAGCTTTGTGAATTTGACAGTGGGAAAATTGTGGGAATGCGTTTTCTATTTCTACAGGAGTTCTGATTGATGACGTCTGTAAACAAACACAGTGGGTGGAAGCAACATTATGAACACCACCCATCCAATGAAATCCAATTCAGTAGCCATGAAACAAACAACTTTTCTGAGGTTAATAACGTTCAGTTTTTGTTGAGACCGTCAGAAATATAGGTTCAATTATTTAGTAGTTTTTCATTTTTAAGGACTTCAGTTTGTGGTGGTGGTGTATTGGACTGCATTATATCAGCTGATTTAGTGGTGCTGAAATGATTAAGGGGACCGAATTTATTGAAAAGTGACCAACAACAATTTTGTTGACCAAGCCATTTGCAGTTTTTCCCCCATCTCAAATGTGAGGAGTTGCTTCTTTTCTTAGTTATCATTATAAATGTAATATTTGTGCACTTTGGATGGCTGGTCGAACAAAACAAGCAATCTGATGAAATCACCATGCGTTTTTTTTTTACCCTCAACACTTCATCACATTGAAAAATATTTGATAAAGATGAAATAATCAAGTTATTTCTTTAGAGTAATAAATATAACAAAACAACCTGAACACATTTAAGTGAAATGCATTGATAGTGCTACTCAACATTTCCATATCTGAGAAGGATGCAATAAAATTGAGCACTCGCCTGTGTGTGTGTAAGAGAACAATGTAACTTACTCTGAAGGCAGGGTTGGCTCCCAGCTCCAAGAGACATTTGACAGCTGACATACACAGGTTGGACGCAGCGATGTGTAGGGCGGTGCCAAAGTCAAAATCACTACAGGTGGCATCTACCTCTACAAAAAAAGAAGTCATTCAGGAGAGAGTGGTATTATACATTTTCATTAGTTCTATGAGATTGTTGTGCATTTATTTACACTTTATGTTGTCTTATGAGAGAAGAACTGAATTCCTGCCCCTATAGAGGGTGTGTAAGTACTGCTACATTAACACCATCTCCATCTTACTGAGAATAGACTTTTTAGATTTGCCAGACTTGATCTGATATGATCATGAGTGCTGGGAGGTTTAAGCCCCACCGTGTCAGCAAAGCTTTTTGAAGACATAAAATCGCAAAGATTTATAATGAGTGGACCACAAAACACAGACCATGGCAAATTAACATGAAAGACGTTGGGACAATATTGGGGATTTGTTCATGTTTGTCATGGTTATAAACTTATCTTATCTTTGCTGAGTAAAACCCAGAACCCCCTGAAAACTTGAACACAGACCGATGTAAAGAAAAGAAAAACAAAAAAAACACAAGTCATTGCTACAGCATCTCACAGCTGTTATGAAGGCCAAATGTGGTCAACAACTGTAGTGAACAGGTGACTTCCATTCTTCTAGTCTCTCAGGGTATTTACATATGCATGCTGTGAGCACTCATGGTCTGTGATGCTACCCTCTCTCATTAGTTTACCACAATTCTCATTCACAGCTTAAGAAGTTCATGTTGTTCTACTGCACGAGTCATTTTCTAGCTCAGTATGTCTACTTAAGATATCAGTTCTTTCCAGTGTTTCCCCTATATGCATTCAGGAGCAGCGGGGCGGCGCTGCTGAATCATGACCACCGCTACTAAAATTTACCACGATCACTAAACTATGCGCTTCAAATGGTCATTCGCACACTGTGTGAGCACGAAAACACTCAATGCATGGCTAGCTTCTTCTCCTCGTTCTACACAAACATCTATATGACAGGTTTTATAAGAGCAGCGTAACTCCTGTAAGGAATTGGGAGGTGTGAAGCGAGTGTTTGATTGTCCGAGTGGAAGACAGTGACGGTGAACACGAGCTGGGGAAAATATTCTGGCAGTAAATGTATGTGTCAGTTACAGTGTGTTAGTTTCTCAAGACCAAGAAAAGTCTGTTGTTTCCCCAAGTGATGGAAAAGTGAAGCCTGTTAGCAGTAGCTAACATCTCCTCTCCACTTCAGATGGTGCAGCTGAGCAAGAAAGCTTCCTCAGCAGGCTGTGTTTTATGGCTCTATGTAACTTAACATTAGCTCAATTTATAGAAAGCAACTGGTAGCTGTATTTTATTACTACCTACTTGTCCAATGTTGACAACATCAGGTACAAAACTGGTATAGCATACAGCTCTGTCCTGTACGGACTGGTTAAATTTTTTTTCAGTTTTCAGAGGAGTCTGAAAAAGTGGTTTTGGAAAAGAAAGGACGGAGGTGACTGGAGGAGCTGAGTTTAGTAAAGCAAACTAGTGATGTAAACTAGTCCTTTTAAGCTAATGAGGAGACGTTTCTTTTTGGATTTTAACGTGCAAATAAAATGCACCTCAGAAGGGAGGTTTCTCATGTTGCCTATATTTTATATTAATGTCTACAGATAAATGTCAGAAGCTGTAAAATGAAGACTCAAAAGGCAAACATGAACAATCGTATCTGTAATGATTCTGAGGTCATATTAAGAGGGTTTTGGGGGTGGCGCCCAAAACATGCTGTGCCATAAATCTCTAATCACTGTGGAGAGCATCATAAGCAACCAAATTACTTTCCCCAAATCTAAAGGTTGTAGTTCCTCCCCACTAGACTGATCTTTGGGTGTTGTTTATTATCTGCTCTCGCTTTCCCATCTATTTGTTCAGATATATGGTGAAAATAACGGCCCAAGATGATGTGAAATTACATATTTTTCATTGGAAACGTGTAATTTTCTTGGGGGAGGACCCCCAAACTCCCCTACCCCAACCATGACTACCACGCCCACCACCATACCATTAATCCAAAGCTCACGTAAAACTGGAATTTTAAGCTATTCTAACGTGCACCACATGCTCATGGACACAGGAGCACTGCTACTGAGACATGTTGTGTTAAGGTTTTATATTCAGACAAATATTTTGCTTCACCTCCATCCTAGGGGAAAGACTGCTTTCCGTCAATAACCACAGGCATATAACCATGGTAAAATGTGTCACAACATATCGTTATGAGAGATGACCCAGTCTACAAACCATATTGTCCAGACAGGGAACATCCTTTTTTGGTAAAGATCATAATCTTTATATTTTTTTCAGTGAAAATGCAAAATCAATATCATGTCTTTTTTTTTTTTTTTTTTTTTAAACAAACACACACACACACACACACACACACACACACACACACCATTCAGGCATACTTGAGATGGCATTAGAGCTTGATTTTTATGTAGACTATGCATAAAAAAAAAAAACTGGATTGAACACCAGTGTAGTGCATCACAGTATCCAAAATAAAATCTAACAAAGATTACCTGGGCAGCTCGCTAAAAAGTGACCAATATGGGCTACTAAAAAAAATTACATTAAACTACACTTAAACAAAAGGCATGTGCTCAACAACCATCACCAACACACCTAAACAGGTTTGGATGCTGTGCAGTACTTTGTCCATACGGTGTGTAACGATATCCTAGCTTCAGCACCATCAACAAGATTTTGATCTGCCGAGTAGTGACTTTTTATAAATTGGATAGAGTAGAATCAACACCTCTCTGATAGAAGTGCTCCGATCAGGATTGTTTGGGCCGATCACTGATTGCTGAAAGCACTATCGTACGATACCGATCACTAGGTCTATTTGAAGCCTTTTATTTATCATGTAGCAGTTTACAGTATATTTATTTAATTAGTCCTAAAAACAATGTATTAAGTAAGAAAATTAAAATTAACAGATGATAAAGTATCATAAAATGACAACTGTTTATTTTTTTGCCAGCAAACATGGGCAACAAATTCCACTCTCTCCATCTTAGAGACTTAAACCCTAGCAGCCTTCGCCTGGTTACTGTGAACATCTTATAGCTTAACAAATATAGCTTTCCTGTGGAATAAACTACAAAACACAGAACAAACAGCATCTTGAGTCGATGATAAACTCTAAAGTAGCCATTTTTTGTTCTGGAAAGCTCAGGCAGGTTCTGTGGGCTTTAGGGGGTAGAGAGAGGAGCAGAGAGAGGGAGAGTGGGCCACAGAGGGGAGTCATAACTGTCATCTCATTAATGAGATTTGAAAATAAGGGACATTTAAATAAATAAAAGTACCATATACAGTATATTATACTAGTATATTGGTAATATTACTTATAGTTACTATTTCTATTATAATTTCATATGGTTTACCATTAGTATAGGCCTAATTATTTCAGAGGGTTGTTTTCGTTTATTAAATCCTTGTGCAAGAAGCACGGTCTACATCTTTCACATGGCCTACTGCCATCGGATTTACCAGAGGAGAGAGTAGAAAACACTTATTTGATTTTGTAAAGGCTAAAAAGACAAGAGATTTACGGGGAAACATTTAACGGGAGGATACCGGGTGAGAATCCCGGGGGAAATTGGAGGGTTGACATGAGAAGAGTAGAGAGAGGAGTAGGGTAATGTGAGGCTGCATCCACACAACTACAGTTTTTTTAAACAGTTTTATAATGAAAACTATCTTCTCCGTCCACAGCAGCGTTTTAGCTGCGTATCAGAGTTGATCTCCGTCCATATTAAAACGACTGAAAACACATCTAGTGGCCGTTCTCGTATATTGGCATGAGTGGGCCGGTGTTAACATGAAGCAGATGGTCTATTCCGCAGTTGCAGAAGATTTGGCGAAAGAAGAAAGTACTACAGACAAATAACCACACCAGCTTTTTTGTTGCATTGACCGACAACGGGCTGGAACTGTTTCTGATAATAAAACGGGAGTTAAACGCAAAGTAAATGCAGCAATGTGCACAGCCGCGAAAATTTCACATGATCGCTCCTGCTTGTTGCTCCACTTGTCTGATTGCTGCTCAACTCTCATTATAAATGATTAACTGCTTCCTGTCTGAAAAGGACTTTGATGCTAGCTAGCTTTGAAAACTGCTCAGACTGCATAGCCTAGTGAAACCATTTTAGCTGCTGTTGAAAATTTGTCCGGAGAGTATTGCATCATCGGACTGGCTTTTCTGACTGGCCTTTTTAGAGACCACCGATCAAACTAGTTAAAGCCATTACCGGCCGATTACGATCGGTGACCGATCGATTGGAGCACCCTTACTCTCTGACTGACACCTACAACACAAACTGAATATGATAAGCTGCTTAAAGTTGGGCTGCATTGCAGGGTTGCTGTATTGGATTGTACTGAATGTAGTTACTGTGTGTGCATCTAATAAAGTGGCAACTTTGTCAGGAAAAAGATAAATTACTAAAGCCTTAATCCACACTGCAGTTGGTTATGAAAATAGAAATATTTGCCCTGTACAGACTGTGTGGGCAGCTCTGCTCTCACCTCCAGGCTGGGAGGCCTGCAACACCACCCGGATAAGCTGGGGCACATCAAAGTAGGCAGCGTAGTGCAGCGCCCTCATGTTAGTCCAGCGTGACCGAAGGTTGGGATCAGCACCCAGGGAAAGGAGCTGTCTGGCAAAGCTGGCTGCTGTCTCTGCATCACCTGGGGAACAGAGGAGGGATACAGGTATGTGTGCGCTGGGAAGCACAGTATGTCAGCTCTAAAGACCGTGACTGATGAATAGCAGTGCTTGCCGACTCGTGCAGGATAATATTCAGAGGTCAGAGTAGCAAGATAAACTAACACACAGACATTTACATTCCAGCTGAGTGTGTTTATTCAACATCCCTGTCAATACTAACCGATGCCTGGGGCCCCAGCCTTGCAGCAGTAGTGAAGGAGGCTCATATCTGTCAGACCGTCTCGATCATTCACACCGCAGCCTCTCTTTAGGATCTGTGCAAAGTAGAGATCTGCAGCGTGTCACTAAGGACCACTGGTGTCACTGTGCAGAAATATTACATAACAGGCTATAAAGTAAAACTAGAGGGCATTGACCTGATGAATGAAAAGTAAGCTGGGTGTCTTATAACTCTACTCATCTTTAAATTTGGATGAGAATTGTCGCGCAAACTGACATCAAAACAAGGCATTTATTTGAGTGAGACAAGTGCTTCTCTGCGCACTTAACTGCATTGCAGCTATTTTGCGTAACTGTGGGTGGAGGTGCTTGGGGTGGGTTGGCAGGGCCTCGACCAACAACCAAAAAACTGAGTTTTGTACTGGTAATATAATTAAACAATATCAAAGCATGGACAGTGAAACACGCTGGATGGCGTCACCTCATTGCTGATGAGGTCAATGTTCTTCTGAACCTGGGGCACCCACTGCCTGAGGACAGCAAACAGCTCTGGTATGGTGGTGCTGGGATCCAGAAGAACCTCCCTGCACTGCGGCTCACTGGGGTCAAAGAAGGAGAACTCTGGAAGTGGTGAGAGGGACAAAAACCTACACTTTAACTGTAATGCAATTCACCTTTTTAGTGGAACTAGGATTCCAAAGCTTCATGTTCCTTTTACAACTGTATACACATGTGAAGAGAGCATGTGTGAAACTCTGCAGCACAGACATACATTAACTTTCTGCAACAGACTGTTCAATCGATTCAATCAAATTACTTATCTTGGGAAATGCCCTTGCTGTGCTTGCAGAAGCGAATGAACTCAGATGTAACAGAGGATGGCATGCTGTGACCCAAATTAAGCATTAGAAAACCCGACTGAGGCTGAAAACAAATAAGCCTGGCCTTTCACAGTGAATGCCAACACTTATAATTTAGCCAGCATAAACCTTCGGCATTTGTTTTACTGACTATATAACAGTAAAAGGGGACTCAATTGAAGAGCCCTTTATGCTGATTAATGACCACACAATTTCGTTCATGAGGAAAAACTAAATGTCAGCACTCCACTCCATTTCAAAATCAACTGTTAAGGAATAGATGACTCATTTGTAAGTTGTATACAGTTGTCAAAAATACTGGATTACATGAGACACCAAGAAGTAAAACTGGAACTAAATACAACTACTACTTGAAATTCTGATATTTCAGAAATAAAAAAAGATTCCATGATATGATTATAATAATAAATGAGATGAGCAAGAAATAGACATGTCATCCTAAACCTGGAATCATTGGTCAGCGAAGTTAATGACATCCCTCCGGATGAACATCATCATTTCAGACATGATTATTATTGCTTGAATATTGATGTCTTGTCTAGTGGTGCATTGATCAAATGCTCAACAACCATAGCTCACTGATATAGTTTTTAATGTCATCAGCTGATCATCATTTCAACTGCATGACAGAGTCAGAGATGTTTATTTCCAATCTATTCGGTACTGCAGTGAGGGTGTTAATTAATCTGAAATGTAAAAAAGCTCCACTGTGTATATGTATTGAATGGGTGCATTCGTGGGGATCCTCACCACAGTCACTGGGCATAGGTGCAGAGGCCACCTGGTGGATAACCGGACGCTGATGGGAAGAGGCCCAGCCCAGCACAGGGTCTCCCTCGACAGGCTCTGAAACATCCTCCTTTGTCATCTCCCCCTCAGGGCCTGCGGCAAGAACAATATTAGAAGGCCTATTCTGAGAACACAATGTAGGTCTAATCTCAACAAAGCAGTGAGAACTCCACGTCCCTCACGTGGCGACACGACTTCACTGAAGCTTTCAGGTGATCTGGCACCATCCCACTAAAACAATCAGTTTCTCACTAAAGGGGGCCTGGAACTGTTAGTTACTCAGAAAAGTGTCTGATTAAATTTCAAGGTGGAATATACTGGTTGGACAAAAATACATAGGCAGTAAAGTGAAACACTGACATTAAAAAGGAAAACTGGAAAAAGGACAGAAACCTTAAGAGGTTGAACTACAAGCGCACACAAACACACACAGGCCTAAGCCTGAAAAGGCAGCACTGAGCCTTACACCTTCAAAAACCAATCAAAACTCACTGTCATCTTCTCCTTTGTCCTCTTTCTTGTTGATCTCCATGAGAGCTTCCCAGTCCAGCTAAGCTAAAATTGAGAGACACAAGCTGGGTCCAGCAGAACATCTAACCAAGCTGCTTCCAAAATAACTCCCTATCACATAGACTGTCCCCTCTTCACGCTCCAATAAAAACGCCCCCTCTCTCTGGTTATACCCTGTTGATCCCCTGACTCCCAGGTCCAGTGGCTATTTACAGCCTCAACACTTTCAAGAGCAGGCATGGTGTTCTCACTTCTGACTCTCCCCGGCTGGAATGTCACTCTCACTTTGCAGTTGTGTGCACTGCTGACCCCACTGCCGCCTCATCTGACTAGTCACCCATGAGACCCACAATGCAGAGAATGTGGCTGTAGGGTGACAGTGCAAGCAAACGCAGCATAAAAGGGCAGCAAAGTGGTGGTTGTTATTAGGACGACTGTCGTTCACTCTAAAGGCCAGTCTCCAATACCCCCTGACAGCACACATCTACCTTGCTAAAGCACCCATAGCCAAGAGACTGAACCCCTACCAGCTCTAGAGGAGAGATGTAGCTGAATCTCGCATGTACAGTGACAAAAAAATACTTTGGAGCTAAACCATGACAGTGTGACAGGAAGTCAGCTCACAATATTAGGATCCTGAAACTGAAGCAACTAAATTGAACTTAGCCATTATTAATTTTATTATTAACACATGTGACAACCTATTGTACTCTTCACTTAATTCCAGTAAAGGTCTAACAGTGTCATTATTATTGATAAAACAGTTTTAAATCTAAGGTAAGTTTGATTTCAAGTCACCTTGAAGTGTTTGTCATGTAAAAGGGGAAACAGTTTCATGATAAAAGTCCACAGACATTCAAGATTGTATCATGAAAAAGACATTAAAACCTATGTGCTTTTTGAATTTTTACACGACATTATCACATGGCCTAGTAAATAATTAATTTTTTGATTATAGCATAAACTGCAATTGTATGCGCAGCCAAAATCCTAATGTGAAAATATAGTAGAGCTGTAAGGGTCACCTTGCGGGTAAGGCTAGATAATCTATACAAGTAAAACTGCTACGCAAGGGCTAGCTTTAACAATTTTCATAATTGATTCAAGTCAATAATTTTCGTGATTAATGAATTAGTTGTTTGGTCTATAAAATGCCAATGACAATCAGTGTTTCCCAAAGCCTCAAATGTCTTGTCCACAACCAAAACATCTATTCACTTTACTGTCAGAGGAGTAAAGAAACCACCACCATCACATTTAAGAAACTGGAATCAGATCATTTTCAAATCCTTTTTTTCCTCTATTCAAAACAATTATGATGACTGAGAGATAGATAATATCAGTAGATCGTTTCATGAATACCAATTAAACCAATACTGATAACATAGTGCATCTGACAACTTTCATTAGAAATAGAGAGCCAGTTCAGGCTTGGTGGTTTCAGTGCGTCATAGAGGAGTAAAGAAACCAGAACATATTCACAGTGTTAATGATGAAAGACAATGATTTAAAAAATGTTACACTAATCAGGAGCTAAATGCTGATGTCAAAATCCAACTTTAAACTGAGAAAAAGGGATGGTTAGTACTAACTAGGTGTTTTCCAGTTAGTCTTACAGAATAAAGGATTGCTGCAGGATGTTTGAAGAGGTGAGGAGACTATTGTCAAGTACATGTTAATAGTTCACCATGCAGTCTCCATTTTCCTATGAGAAACTAGGAAATGCCTAGTATGTGGTCACATAGATGGTTATTGCTTTAAACTACATTACATTAACACACACCAAGAAAAAACAAGAATGAACTAGATTTCATTCTTGATAATACCTGAACCTATCTATGTTAACAGAGAACATAAATTGTAATTTTAGACATCTATTCAGCACCAACTTCCATGCTGCTAAAGAGTGAGATGAGAAATTCCTCATGCCTCTCTTGATCACTAACTGGCTTTCTAGAGATTAGGACTTTGCAGTGTGACTTGAAAGACAATGGCCTACTTTTGCAATAAGCCTCTCCTTGTTTGTCTGACCCATGATGTCACCCTGTACCCATCCTCACAGATAATGTGACTCAGATCTTTCAAACTGATAACTCAGAACACATTGTTTTATGACTACTTATTACAGACGTGCAAACCACCCTCTGAGTGTGGTGTATGTGAATTTTATTGTAAATGTCACACTGGACACAACATCCTTACAACAAGAAAGTGTTTGGTAAGATTGTGGCAGTGCACACAAACATTTCCTTAGAATCATAGTCCATTATCTGGGCAAGATGCAAAATTAAATAGTTAAATAGCACATGGCTCACTTGGTGAGCTCCAATACCCCATATCATTGTTTTCAAATCATTGAAAACACCTGTGTGCATCCCACTAATCTAAAACATTATAGCTATGCTACACAAATATTGTTCCATGACTCCTACACAACTTAAGTTAGTAACAAACACTGGGTTGTTTGGTATCATTAGGTGATTTATATTGGGCGGCTTATTATTAAGCACTTTGTGACACTTTAGCCTGCATCAACCTAGCTTTAGCTAGCGTTAAGTTACCACTCCCTCGTCTCACAGGTGTGCAGCGCTGAAGCCAGCTGAAGCTTTGTTAACGTTAGTTCATCAAATGTCTTAACACTCATTTTATTGAATTCGACTGTTAACACATTTTATTTTACTTAACCTGTAACGTTATAGCTGATCGTAAACGGTTAGCCGGCTAGCATATGTTAAAAAGCCGGCTCGTGCTTACAGGCAGCTAACGTTACACTAACGTTATCTCGTATTTTCCACGCCTGGTAAACATGAGCAGTTAGCAGCCACCGGTGTGATGCTCATGTGTTGTGGCAAAAGTTGGCCAGAGAGATGAAGCGCTTTCTCTCTAATGTTCACTCACGTTAGCTCCTCAGAGGTAACTGTTAGTGTTATTGCACAGATACTGGGCCAAGTGTCCTACCTGCTTAAAATGCACTTTACAAGTAGAAACAGAAATACATGTCCTATTTAGCTAACGGCACATAAACACATCGCGTTACCTTGACCTTGCTGCCCGTTTCAATTCGTTCATGAGGAAAATGACTAGAAAGCCAGTGGCGGATTTAGTTTCCGTCAATTATCCCTGTAAGCTACATAGCTAATGTACATCCTGTTTCAAAATAAAGGCGCTAAGCGTAGTTTTCCGGTTTTAAAAATAAAGGTTCTACAATACACAGCCTTTATAAACGTCAGTTAATCAACTTAAGTATGTCAGTTTGAATGGCTACATTTCAACAGAATTCACTGTTAGTCCTCTCAGACAAATGCACTTTTTCCATAACCAGAAACTACTTCTAATACTTCTAATACTTCTTCCTGGTGGACTGTACATTGGAGACATTTTAAGTCCAAACCCTCACTTATCACTTCCTGCCAGAGGCTGGGGTGCTTAGTCCACACTTCCCCTCTCTTCTCATTCAGCAGATGGTGATTTCCCCGGGGCAGCAGTGCTGGACAATTCCCTTGGATGCCCAGTAAGAAAAGGGCCCACTCAGGGCAGTTTCACGGATGGATACTAGTATTTATTGAACCTGAAGAGCCCTCAGCACCTGTAGATGCATCTGATCTTGCCCTTTGGTGGTGACATAAGTCTCACTGGGTTTTAAGTTTGGGTCTGCTCAGACTGAGCCATTCATACTTTCCCACACACCTGCCACTTGTGTATGAGTGTCAGCATGAATGATGGGGGGGGGGGGGGGCTTTTAAATGTTTTTCAGTGGCTGTAGATAGGGAATCAAATCAATCAAAATTAAGAACCTCTGGACATTCAAATACTTAAGCACAATTTGCTACCAATTAGGCCTAAGCAAATAACATGTCAATAAATTCATGTAACATTTGTTTCGTTAGTAGGCCTACTAATCGGTGGCATGTTTAAATTGTCTTGATTTTTAGTTTATTTAAACGTAGACTAGATTAACTCCCGTTTATGTAGGTTCCTTTTTTTATTGTTCATTGCGTTGGCAATGTAAACTCCCATGTCAATAAAACCCATTTGAATTGGATTGCCTGAACACCGTTTCCATGGAAACGTAAACAAAACGGCAGTCCTGGCAGTGATTTCTGAACACACTCCGCTCAGTGGCGCATAAACCACGATTTGGTTGGGTTTTTTTTTTTATCGTATTAACAAACCCATGCTGACTTTTACAAACTGAATAGCTGCATTTCCTTTGAATCTAGTTACCAGGATGGACAATGTTAGGCGCGTGTCCTCTGCAGGCTACCGGTTAACCTTGCCGGAACGAAACATTGGGACCCGGCAGGTAACGACCCAGCCACCAGCGGACAGGACGAGATCCGCTAAAGGCGACGCGGCCTCCGCGGAGCTGAAGCCGGACAAGAGCGATGCCGTCAAACTGGACAAAGTGTGGAAAGAGGTGGTATGGAGTGAGAGGAGAGCAGTGCGGGAATGGTGAGTAGGCTTTATTAGAAAATCAAACTGTTCTGTAAGCAAAACACTCACAAACTCCTCACTAACACCTCAAAAAAAGTCTGGGGATGACAAGACTTTATTTTTTGAAATGCTGAGAACAAACTTAAATAGGCTATTAAGCTAACTGAAGTTGTGGCAGTTTATATGCTCTTTTAAGCTACAGCCTACCAACTTAACCAATAGCCTACTTTATGGTCCGCAGGGAGAAGAACTGGGACTTTCTCAGGAACTATGATCAGATGGTAAGACTAAATATGTGTGTAGCTTACAGATCACAAATCTAGATATTGTAGAGATGTAAAATTAGGAACTAGGCCTATACATCTCAACACCAGTTCCTGCGCTAAACCTCTGAATGTATTCAAAAAATATCCCTTAATATTTTCAGGGTCTTTCACCAACAGCCTGAAATGTTATGCTAAGAACATCCTGGAATGAGAAATAGGCTATTGCCACTGTGCGCTAAAATATTAAACTTTTTGACAACAAACTGACCAATGATGCAAACTTTTTTTTAAATCAGCAATCAGTGTGATGCTGCAGCTTTCATAAAACACTATCACTCCCTGTAAACTGAAAAATTTTTATTAAGCACATTTTAAAACAACCACTGTTGAACAAAGTGCTATACAAAGTTGTGCAATTAAAACAACAAGAAGCCATTAAACAGCTGGATGTTGCCAACAAACATCTGACTGTGAATTTACCCCCATGTATTAGGGACAGCTGAAGTCAGAGGAGCCTTTACCCAGCTATGTGTCGCACTTCTCTGATCGCATCCCCAACACCACCAACCAGATGTTTGGCAGCAGACTGTCCACTCCGCTGGGGAGTGAACTGGTCAGACTGGACAGGCTGAAACTCTGGTCCAGAAGCCATCACAAACGCAAGCTGGATCCAGAGATGCTGCCCTGCTAGAGCGCTCTGAAGACAAGTCATCTTACATCTGGACCTCTGTACATCTGGTCTTTTTTTTCCTGGACTCTGCAAGGCTGGGATTGTAATTTTTTTTGTTCTTATTTTAATGAAGTGTGTATATTAAATAAAATACATAAATCTACTGAGAAGCCATACCAGGGAAGGAGTCAGGAGTAAAAAGAAAAGCATGTCCTACATTGATCACACTGTACTTTACATCTAGAAATTGTGTTTATTCATAGGTTTTGGGAGTACAAAACTTAATGTTGAAGGCATTTGCTCACCGATAAAGACAGGTGAGAAGGGAAGATCAGATTCATGTCATCCGAGCCCCATCGGGTATCTAACCAGATACTTGATAATCTAACAAGACACCTGAGCAAATTTGGGTGAGTGAAAGGTTGTATCACTTCTACATTTCTTTGCGCATTCAAATAGTAGCCAGAGACAAATAACAAAACACCAAAGCATAGAGTTTAAAAACAGCCCAATCATAAAACTTACAGCACAAGAATCTTCCTTGATGCTATTGGAATATATCTTATTTTGGTGTTAAATTGGTTTATTTTTCTACTTAAAACGCCCCAAATAGCTGTTACGTATTGCTTGCCAGGACCTGTAAGCCACATTGTTCCATGGTTTAGTATTACGTTCATGTCATTTATTTGATTTTCATGATAGTCATCTGCACTTTATATGAACGGCAGGATCTCTCAGGTGTTTGTAGTCTACCGTTGTAGCTGCCTTAAAATACCATTCTGTATATTGTTATCTTATCAGACTATAAATCACTGCCCCTTTGCATAAATTTGAATTAAAATGTTGGCCCTTAACAAATTTGAAAAAATGGTTGCATGATCTGGGTGTTGCAAAATTGTATTTGAAGTCAGTCTCTCATTGAAATAAAGATTTTTTTAATTTTAAAGTCTGGATGTACTGAACTCATATATAATACCAATAATACAATACCAATCAGCAGATTATAGCCTGCTATAAGATTTAATTTAAAAGACAAAATTTGAAGAAAAAAAAACTGGTGGAGAGTTTGCTTAGGCTATAGCATAGTATTTTAGTAGAAGTATTTACATGTTTCCATCATGTGACTGCAGGCTGGGGGTTTTGTTCTCACAGTGAAGTTTGAAGAATGTTGAAGAAACGCACTAATTTAAATGAGAAACCAGGAAGAAAGAAACACCCCATGTTCAAATGCTTTGCTCTAACTTGCAAAACAGGCCAATCAGCTCTCAGTGGATGTATACGGAAGTGAGAAAAGATGCCGCGCCTGACAGGAAACTGCCAAGCTCACAGAATAATAAAGGAAATCAAACAAATTGGCCTTCAAAATAAAAGTGTGTCCATCTATTCTTCTATAGGTTAGGGAAAATATCTCATTATAGACTTGCAATATGTTCAACGTAGCATTTTTTTATGTTTTAATTTTTACAACATAAACATATTTTGGCATGATTTCAAAATAAGCTTTTACTTTATTTTATGTTGAAAGTTTCAGCCGGAAAGTCTTTTCTAAATGCATCTGTCTTAACACTGGTGACATCGCAGCAGCAGCATCTGGCTGCTACCTTTAGCAAACTCCGCTGAGATCTGACTTTGTAAAGTTCACATTTTGTCATATCTATCTCCAAACAATGCAGTCGGATACTTTGTTGCATGTCGCCAATTTCAGCACACTGTTTGTGTGCATGGTGCTGAAGTTCCCGCAGATTTTTGTACTGATGAGAGCGAAATCAACGACTGGAGTCAGCCTCAACAGTCTTCTGCTCGAGTTGATCGGGTATGTGATTTTTAGCAGAACTTATTTCAGTTGACTGGGTAAATGCCGTTATTTGATCTGTAAAGTGCGCAACGTTTGGGGGAAATAAAAATAATTGTGTCCAATGTGATATGTAGTGCGTTCATTACTATAGCTGTGTAATGTTGACGTGATGTAGTGTTCCTGTTCCTCACCGTGTACATCTCTTGTGGAGAGAACCACACCTCCAGACTCAGTTTAAAATGTGTGGGATCTATTGTGGCCTTGGTTATAGGTAAAGGCGCACATATCTTTAAACGTGATATTAAACTGCTACTGAATCCCAAATATCTGAACAACCACCTACCTTTTATTTGAATCAAATGTAATATGTTAGGCCCTGTATTATTGCTCCACCATCATAGATACCCCATAAGGAGCACATCCTTATTCAGAATGATTATTTGGTGGATTATTTCAAGGATTCAAAGCCAGTTTAGATGAAGTGTAAAATAAGACATGTAGAGCTTGTCTCCAGGAGGCTCCCTGACTGCAAGGCACACAATGAAAAGCTGCTTTATAATTAAAAAAAATAAAATAATCCCACTGTGAAGGATTAGCACTGAACAATTGTGCTTTGTTTACAGAGCTGAGGATGTTGGTTGAATTATTGAGGAAAAGGACATTTGGCCTCAGTTAGGTCTGTTTTTCCTAACACATGTGTGAAGCAGTGGGATGTCAGATGCAGTAGACCAGGTCTTGAACTAGTTCTTGTGTCTGGAACAGGAAGTAGTGACACTAAACAAGCTGGGAATAAATCTGCCTTCAAACGTACAGCTGGTATTCCCTGTTGGGCTAGTGAAGATACAGTTTTTTTAATTGTGTGTTTTTTGTTTTTTTTTGTAGGTTTTATAAAAGTTTCACTGGGATCAGTATTAATCTAGGACTAGGCAACTTTGTGTCTGTAAGGCTGTATAATTTCTCAGTGTCCTGTCTCTCCTCGGTGCCCGGCAGTAGCTGCACTCACCTAAATGTCTCCACTGTGTTGGTGAGCGATAGCCTGTGGCCATTGTGCATGCTACAGGATAACAGCCAAGCCTTAAAGCTGCACTGGGTTCTACTAACCACCCGGATAATGACCTTTTCTCCCTGCTGCGGTTGAGAAGAAGGTACCAGATAGACCAGACTAGCACTGAGAGGCTCAGGAAGAGCTTCTACCCTCAGACCACTAGGATCCTAAAGGACACTGCCTAAGACTGTGGCAAATCCTTGTTCAGACACACCTTGATAAATTGACGTCTGGGCGGAAAAAAACTGCAGTCAGCAAGAGAGATGTATTTCTCCCGTTTTTAGTGCTTTACAGTAAAAAAAAACATCATTCACATATGGACCTGGTTGATGAACATGAGCATGCTGTGTGCAGTTTACTGACACCACCTTCCAGGATTTTGGGGTATTGACGAATAGCTACCTCTACCAGCCATTTGACACGAACATGTCAAACTGCCTTGTGCAGCTTTAACTTGAATTGCAATTTTGATTGTTTATCGTCATGGCCACTTCACCTTGCATCTGTTTCTCAGCCACACTATGCATCCAGCTGCATGCTAGCTTGGTAAACAGGATGTTCAGCCACGGAGTCTCAGGGATTCTTTGGCTGAAGACAACAACTGATTGGAGGCCGAGTTTGTTATAACTGGAGCCTTGTTTGGTTTGTTGATCACTGTTGGTTCATCATGTTTGCTGAATATGTTTTACCAAGACGCTCCCCTCTCAGTAGTCGTAATGCCTGAGCTTCAGCATAGGGTTCTCAGAACACAGCTTCTGCCATGTTTGCTCGTGCTCGAGATCGTGGCTTTTATGATATCATACTGAACATTACATTACAATGCAGTATAACCTGATACCATCTGTGTTACAGGTTCATTGTTTTTGTTACGTACCAGATGTACTATGACTACCCACCTCCAACATACCTGGAATATCCAATCCTCATTGCTCAAGGTGAGTTGTCACTGACAGAATAGCGACATTTTAACAACAGAGGACTGAAAAAGCAAGGTTGAGCTTCTTAAACCAGAAATATTAGTTTCTTGTTGAGTTGATGTCTATATCAGTGACCCCTGAAAATGAAAATCAAACCCAGCCCTGTGAAACATGCAGCCTAGTTGATGCCCTAAAGTTATAACCTGCCCTGTGTCCTCAGATGTCATTCTTCTGCTCCTGATCCTTCACTACAACGGCAGCCTGCGGCAGAGCGTCATCTACACATTGGTGTATCTTTTCATCGCTTTCAAATAGTCCTGGATGTGAAGGTGTTCTCTCGGTGAAAATCAATGACCCATTGGCCTTTGTTGATACCTTTTTACAGTTTGTCACGTGCTATTGCCTTAACATAATGTGTTCAGGTTTGTCGGAGGTTGGAGGCTCCTCACTCTGGAGAAGTGGATCATAGATTTGGCCATGGTACTAAATCACTTTAACATCAATCATAAGTCACAGTATATGTCATAGTGAGCAAAGAGATGGCACCTCATCAGTCAGGAGTAATGGGGTGGACTTATGAACAGAAAGTTTGCCTGACCTCATTGCACCTGTTGTATTTCAGGAAGACGCACAGACTTTATAAATGCCAAATGCTCATGTTAATGATTAATGAGGTGAATGTGTTTGTAGGCATTTTTGCATATAAATAGGGTAGAGCAGTGATCCTGCAACTGCTTTCCCCCTAACAGTTTAAAGTTTTTGCAGGCTACGGAAAGTGTTTGAAATGTGTCAATTTTTGAAATGAAGCCGACACTGGTCACAAGGCTATATGAACATGCAGAAACTCTGTAGACCAAGTCTTTATCCAGCCTGACCTCCACTCTCTTCTCAGAGCCTCTGCACATTCATCAGTGCAGCCAGTAAATTTGCACAACTCCAATGCCTGTGGAAGTCCAAGGACGCCGGACAGGTTAGCGCCCTCTCGTGGGCCATGGCTACCTACACATGCATAGGTGAGTATCACCAGAGTACGGCATACTGGACAGTAGAGCCCGACTGATACGGAATTTTAAAGTCCGGTACAGATTTAGATATTTTAGGATTTTAAAATCCAATAGCCGATATTCTACCCCACCTCCCTTATTTTAAGAAACGCATAACATAAACAAAGATTATCCCTAACTTTTATTATCTTGAGACCTCACCAAGATACCATGACATAATGCAGTTTAAAAAGAAAAAGTACTTTCAACAAAAGTACAACAAAATATATTAAAATTTTAAATTGTATTTAAAATATCTGTTTTATCATAAATTATAGAGTACTATTAGTGAAACAGAAACTAAAAAATACCAATTTAGTACTACTATTAAAAATTATATATATTTTAGTCATGCAGTATTTATTACTTTACATATAATCTACCACAATGACTACTTTCTACATCTAGTTTATCACCTGCACTCTGTTAATTCTATCCAGTGCTACAGAAAGGATTTCCTAACCACCCTCTGACTATGATACAGTGACACAGAGGAAACGCTGCCCTTGAATTAATCTAATACTACATGACTGTTTAAAAGAACCTGCAACTGTGTGTTAGATACAGCTCAAGTCATTTGTGACACACCGATTGTAACTAGAGACAATACAGTTTTGTTGCTCCTCCACTGATAAACACAGCATTAGCTTTGTGGCTAATTTAGCAACAGGCAGTGTTATCTGCTGTTGCCAATGTCAGAAAATATTTAGAAGTAATAAATTACAGAGAAATGAGAAGAGCGGTCATGGTCGCTAGAACTGCCAAACTGTTTCAGAAATAAATCTACAAGCAGTCTGTCAGCAGCGTTGACTCCAACACTACCGTTACCTCAACATTAAACACACTGCTGTGAGCCTGCAGAGGGCAGTGAAAAATGGGAGGGTCAGCAAGTCTGGTCTCTGTAGAGGAGAAGTGATGAGGGCTATTTTTATTATTATTTAAGTCATGTAATTGACGTGACAAATGAACAACTCAATGTGAGAGCTACCAGGAGCTACTCTTCTTAGCTGTGGTAGACTGATCAGCTGATTTTTGTTCTGTGGTGCAGCAGTGTTCTGAACCGAGGAGCTGCAAAGCGTCCTCTGCTGGGCAAACTATGCAACACTCATGACATGAGGGGAGGATCTGACTCCGTTTCTTTTTTAATAGTCATATATCGGCTGTTATAAATGCAGATGCAGATATATCAGCAAGTAGCTTATATTGGCCAATATTTGCAAAACGATAAATCAGTCGGGCTCTACTGGTATTGAAAACACAGTAGTCCTCCAATATTCACTCATATTTTAGGGCAGTTTTGCTACTAAATACACCACTGTGTTGACAAGCTAGTTTGACTTTGTTGGTGAGCTGAGCATCAATCAATAAGTTGAAAAATGCTACTTAGAACTGCAGGGCAGGGTTACAATTCTCTGTGGCCTCCTTTCATGTGTTCAAGCTGGTGACCACTGTCCCGACACTAAAATCCATATTGATAATAACAAAGTAATGGATGGACCCTGCAGTAAGTTGCACATTAATGGTTAAATTGAGTGACATCTTTGGAAAATATCATATTAGACTCAGTCAGTTTAGGTTAATTAAATAGAAGATAGAGTATCTCACAAAAGTAAGTACACCCCTCGTGTTTTTTGTAATTATTTGAATATATCTTTTCATGTGATATTTATATAAGCTCACTATTTTACATTGTCGCAAAGTGCCATTTCTTCAGTGTTGTCACATGAAAAAGTATAAACAAATATTTACAACAATGTGACAGGTGTACTCACTTTTGTAAGATATTGTATACCCGGAGTAGTCTTGAACTGTGACAATATGTATCCGAAAGGCTGGTCTCCGCTCCTCAAATAAAGGCCAGTATCATATCCTTTCCCATCTAATCCTCATGTTTAGCATTCCTAATGCTTAACAAATGTATGAGGTTTTTTTTCCTCCCTAAAGTATTGCTACGCTAATGTTTCAGTTCATAAATATGTATTCTACTATTTAGTCGGCTCCTAATTTATTACATTAGCAATTCCGAGCTTCATTAATTATATATTAGATGCTCTCTTGGATAATGACGCTGTCATTAACTCGGCTTCCTCTTTGTTTCAGCACGGATTTACACCACCACAGTGACAACTGGAGACATGCAGGGTAAGTCAGACTGAATTACAAATGACTGTGGGATGTGTAGTATCCCAAATAGGATTTTTTTGTGAGCTTGTATAAACATTTCATAAGGAGCTATTTAAAAATGTTTTCTAAATAATTATCATCATAGTTTTACATTAATAAAGCACTTACTTTGTGGTCTGGTGCTTTGCTATGAGGTAACCTGGTGTGCAAGAGGGAAACTTCTAGAAGCTTCTAGATGCTCAGTCAATTGTATCTACCATGTGAATGGTTCAATGTTCTCCCAAGGCAAGTGTTGTTACGGAAAATTTTAATACCTTATGAGGTTTGTAGCTGTAAGAGTGCAGTTAACAAAATATGAAACAGAACCTGCTATCGTAGTTTCTTAGTTTTGCATGAGTTTCCATTTTTCCAAAGCATGGATGGATATCAGGCTCTCCCTACTTTTAACTGAGCTTTGTGACTTGAAAACAAGAAATGTTCACTTTAAACCGAGGCTCTGGGCCTGTGCCGGGTCGGCTCGTTTACTAATCCCTCCATACATCCAAAGGCAAAATATCGATACAACATAAGAAAGCACTGAACCATTGTTCATTGAACGGGAAGTGAACCACGCTGATGAAAGAGAAAAGGCATTTTGAGAACTGATAAGTCAATTTTCAGGCCAAATGTATGTATTTAAAAGGAAGGAAGTAGCGGAATACACACCTTTAGCTTGAGCATCCTCAACTCCTCAGTTAGTGATATCAAACTAAATCCCCATGTTAGTGTCTCCAACTCATTACTTTAATATGCATCAGGACCCATTGTAAATCTAATAAAATCTTTGTTGCAGTTCTGGTGCGGTTCATCGTCATGACTTCACTCAACATGTGGGTACTGCTCACTGTGCTGTACTACCAGAAACACAGCAGCAGGTCCAAGAAAGAAGACTAAGCTTCAAAGTTGGATCCTAAAGGCTGACTTCTACAAACCTGCAGTTCACTCGTGTCTTCCAACTCTGTTCGCTGGGGAGATTACTGGGTAAAAAACAGGGTAACAATTGTTATGGAGGCAGCTTTTGTAATGCCGAACCCTTTAAATGGTCATGTGGTAACATTTTTACCTCAGTATTAAACCCACACATCTTTTTAAAACATTTCAATGACTAAAAATCTGCTGCTTGTAACTAAGAGCACAGACCAATGATTTGTCATACTGTATGTGGAAATAACGTTACAGCACAAGCCATGCATATGTGATCATCCTACTCAGGAGGAGAAATACTGTATTTTGAAAAGCATTTATCTTTTCTGAACAATTTTAATAAAGCAAACATTCTAGCTTCTTACATTGTGATTTAATTTCACTCATGCATTAAAAACTCACCAAGCAAATGAGCAAAGGTGTTGTGCACCTTGACAGAAATTTCAAGATTTTCCTTTTAAGACAGAAAAATAATCCAAAACCAAAAAGGCACATCCATGTCTTTATTGATGACGTAGTTATTATTATAGAGCTGTTTGATAGCAAACATGCAAATGGATGTAGAGCCCTTAAATACAAAGTGGACAAGGCTGTATAAATAATATAATGTGCACTGTATGGCATGTAAAATATATATACTGTGTATATTTATATGTATAAAACATGCTTCTTGGTTAAAGCAGAGCACTCAGTACACACACTCACATACATACAGACACACACACCTAGTTATACTCCACCTGCTATATAAGCCACATACACACAACAATGTGCCCAAACTCAGAGTTTGGTTACTTTTAATACAAAAATATCAGGACAAACACTTTTTAGAAAAACTTTCAATGGAATAGTGCTGCTCAGTATTTTGACTCATGAGATATGATTGCATACCTACATTGTTTCTGCTTCTTACTGGTAAATCCCCCTCATTTTCATTGCCAGGAATGACTAAAAACTACATTTCTAATAGGTGGAGGCCTGTGGGTGACAGTGTGAGGCCTGAAAAGGCAAACACATGCAAGTTCACTCAGAGTAGTTGGTGAAGAAAGGGGGCTTCAGTCAAGTATATTTGGATAGAAGTAATACAATGCCTGCGTGTCGTCTCTGGTGAAGACCAGATGTACATTCAAACAACTAAAGGAGCCGAGCTCGGATCAGAAAAGCATTAATGGTGCACCCCTTGAATTCAGTAAACATTAACCCTCATAACAGACAGTGCGGCTTTAAAAAAAAAATGTTGGGATTGTGAGGATCTCATGTCTGATCTAATGCCATTCAGAGCAGGATTCTGTTCACTTAGAACCGTTACTGTAGTCATACAACGACAAACCAGTGATTCAGAGCATGTCTGAGTCAGAAATCTGAATAAGAGGCACTCAAGGAATTATTTGCTCAAATCCTGGAGGACTGACACTCCTTTCCCGCCTTGCTGATTTTCCTTAAAGTCCCAGCTCCTTTGCTTAAGTACCTTATTCAAGTTTCTGTGACCCGAGTGGACGCACACCTGAAAGCAGAATCGTGGAAAGCAAGAAGCTACAATCAATATGTTAAACAGTTAGAATAAGTACAGATACTGTATCTGGGATCATGTTCAACAACCTCAGCTGCATTCAGCCAACAAATTACAGAATTTACTATCTTCTGAGTGTAGTGTTCCCCGTTAAACCCTTCATATTGTCATTATCATTAAACAAGAATGCTCCTTTTTATTTGGCCACAAGAATCCCCAAAAGTGGTGAGGAAGAGAGAGAGTTTTCCTGTTAGGTCCTTCAATCAGACAGTGTGTCCTGGTGAGAAGTGTTGAGGTAAGTGTATCCCCTTTTTTGCCGGTCCTTGTTGGGCTTATAAGAGCTCTGTTCTGTGGGAGCTGGATGAGCCACTCCTGCACCCCCCCCCCCAGAGACACATAATTTGCTCTCGTCAAGGGCCCACGAGAAGACCAACATGCTTACAAGCCATCCAGCTGGGTGAAAAGATCACAGGTACTGAGTTTGATAGTCGCCGCCGCTTCAATTGGCTGGGGAAGAAGTTCAACAAAAGGGGGAAAACAGACTTGGTAACTCCAACAGGCGGAAGGAAGCACGGCCGGGCAGGTTGTGGAGAAGTGATGCGGAGTTCAGTGTGCTTATCTGCTAACGGAGCTTTGTATGCAGTCCTTGATTCAGGAGGAAACGCCCCACCACCACGACGATGCACCATGCTTCCACGCAAGGTTAACTGGAGGAAGAGAAACACATGTAAGATTAGTCTCAGCAAATAGCTTTGTTTGTCCAGAGGGTTAAACGGTGCCATGTCCTCGTAGGATTTAAATTATGCTAACTAAAGATTCATCACATCACTTGTGCTCACTTATTTCACAATGTTTTCAGTCTTCCTCCTTCAGACCTCCTAAAGACACGTTTACAAATTTCAATCAGTCAAGATCCTACCTACACACACACGTCAGTAAGACTTTATGCTGTGCAAGAACTTTGTTGTAATACTAAAAACTAGCCAAGTCTTCCCCCCCCCCCATAGATACCAAATCAATCCTACAGGTTGAAAGTGTAGCACTTGATGCAAGAATTTGTTTCTTAACACTTTAACAAGCAGTTTTTTAGGGCATCCAATGCAGCCCGACTGATCCAAGATTTGAGGCCAATACCGATATGTAAGATTTGAACATGAGATTATATATAAAAAATGGTAGTTTTTTAAACATAAAAACATAATAGAAAAAAAAGGTTGTTAATAAGTATCTCTTTAGTTTTCCTTTTTTTTTTTTTTTTTACAGAATTGTGGCTGAGATATCTGCTGAGAGGGACATTTTAAGAGGGACAATGTGCTCTCTGGTGGAAAAACTGCATAATGGAGACAGTAAATTAGTACAAACATCTTTGTATACTGCAACCTTTTGTAACTTATCAGTCAACATATATGCCAACAGTAATACATCTGCGATAAGCCACGGATCAGGCTCTAGTGTTAAAAAAGGGAAAACTATATCATACCATTTTATATTACCTTAAGTCATTTTTATTGCAATGACAAAGTAACAATATTTTCACATGCACAACAAAGCATTAGAAAAAAGTGATATAATCTGACATTTACCTAAAGTTCCCTAAATAAATAAAACATAAAAGTGAATGTTTCCATTTTAGCCCAGAGACAAGTAGGCGCTTTCACTTAAAACACCCAGTGTCATAGAGATCCAAGCTGTCAGGAGAGCAGCCAAATGTTTCCCACACATTTAAGGAAACCCAACAAGCACATGCACTGGGACTAACACATGTGGACACAGCCCACCACCACCACCACCTCCACCACTACTACCACCACAAACTGACAACCGGGACTGTGTCTGAACGTTTGGTGCAAAAAGACACTTTTGGTTGTAAACATACACACATTCAGGAATTGAGGTGTACACAGGGAAACATCTGGGCAAAGGAAGAACAAGGTGGGAGAAGTCATCATTTATACCAGTGTCCACTGTGGGATTCTTCTCGCCTCATTTTGAAGCCATTTGACCTGCGAGGTCAGAGGGCAGAAGGTCATGATGTGTGAGGAATGTTTAATGAAGTAACAGGATAATGTGACAACAGAACATCGCCATTTTCCTGAGCAGCTTTGGAAATATCACAGTTTAGTGTTAAGTTGTTGTTGTGGTGAGCTACCACCCTAAAAACAACATTATGGGCCTCATGTTTTTCAAGACAGCAGAGAATAAGCAGTGAAGGGACTTGAGTTTGCTTTCATCAATATTCAAATTTGATCAAGTGTTATCTTCTCTTTTTAAAATCAGTCATTTGGGACTGTAGCTCTAAATTGATGAAAACAGTGTACCACTGCCACTCAAATCACCGCAATGCACAGCACACACTGCACACCAGTTACCATTAACGATCATCAGAAATGAATAGAGGAGCAATCATCATCGATATCATCCAATGCCCAATGCCAGTCCTGAAGACCAAAGTCCTCCAATCTGAAAGGGGAGATTAGTTTTGATGGCCAAGTAACATACAAATTGGTATCCATAAATAAAGTCTACTCTTGTCAAGCGTAGGATTGGCCACTGTTAAGGAGACGGTGGTGTTATGTGAGGGGAGATCCTGGGGAAACTAAAAACAGGCTCTCATCTTCTGCAGACTTCTCATGTATATGGAGAACAACGCTTACTTTCTCACACTTCAAAAACACTTCTCGCTGAAGATGTGGTGAAGGACAGGTTTTATGCTCATCTACATGAACGGCTCCACGTTTCCCAATGTGGCTTTTTGTGGGCTCCTTATTCCACAGAAACCCAGGACATTACAAAGTAATAGAAGAATAATTACAGTCCTGTAATACAGTGGTAATAATAAATTATAGTACATTTAGTTATGCAGTGTTGATCAAAATTACATTACATATATTCAGTTTTAAATGTAAAAGTCTTTTCAACCTAAATATTGCTGAAGCAATGGACAATATGAGAAATATAATGTGTTTTTATGGTAGACAGCCAAAATAAAAGATATGAACCTGAAAATTAGCATAATATGGGACCCTTTAGGGCATTTTGGAGCCAACCAGTGTTGTACTGATCACTTACACAATGAGTACAGTACGTCATGTGTATAGTTTGACCACATATATCATTCCAACTCCAGCCTCATGGTCCATTTGAAAAAGGTTACTTTCTCAATAGTTCGTACTAAAACCCACATCCTATTGTTGCCTCACTAAAGACTTCCTAAATAACCCATCATTTCATACTAACTGGAAATCAACCAATCTTACGTGATAATTACTGAAAAATAGACTTTTTTTGCTTTTTAAAGCTTGTGCAGAAAGCAAAACCTTTTCACACATGATCTCTTGTCTGCTTTGCTACCTGCTCTTGCTGGTGGGGAGCTGTCGACTTGGCCTCCTAATGGACTGGCTGGGCTGGACCTTCATGGAGGCGCGTGGCGAGGAGCGTGCAAAATGCTCTGGTGGAGGTGGCTTCTTGGGAATCTTCTTGACCAGTCGGCTCACCCATTTCTGCTGCTCCTCCTGGGACAAGGCCAGCAGCAGCAGGTTCTTGGCCGTAGACACGTCGTAGTTCACTGTTGGTGGGAAAAGTGTAACTTTCAGTTATAGTCTTCCGTTATCTTTATTAGTAACATAGGTATTACCGAAAAAGTCACAATTTCCTTTTCACATTTTCACAGGTTCATAGGTCAGTCTGCATGCGAATGCACCGGCGCATCCTACCTTTGCACGGTGCAATGATCTCCTCCTTCTTGTCCATGTGGTCCTTGTGGCACTTGATGTGGCAGCGCCGGCACTCCAGAGCAGGCGGCGGCTTGAACATGTTCCACAGCGGCTTGGTGCACGCCTCGCAGTTGGTGGGGAAATGGTAGAGCGTGGGGATGAACTCATGGCCCTTGTGGCAGATGTAGCTGGATTTCTCCCCGATGGCCAGGGGCTCCACAGGAAACTCGGGCTCCTTTTTGCTCTCGCCTTCATTGGCATAAAGAATCTGGAGAGTTGAAAGAGAATGAGGACAGCATTTGTGTCTCATGTCAAGTCATTATTTATTGATCATCCAGAACTTTAATTTTCAAGACAGCACATTTCAGTACAAAACCATTGAAGCGGTGCTGAGACAGACCTGGAATATCCTGGGAATCTCTTTAGCATCAGCACGGTACACATCTGTTTGAGTGACAGGTCTCACATGGAAGAGTTTGCTGGGAGAAGAAAATAAGTTCACATCCTCTTATCACAACAACTCATCTGCATCTCAGTTCAACAGCGAATGTCCACAAGACATAAACTCATGAACAAACTAAAACTGTCTTTCTGTGTTAACATACTCACTCTATATCAAGCACCATGTAGGGAATGGACTGCTCTTTGTCTTGCTCACTGTTGTAGAAGAGAATCTTCTTGCTGCTCACTACAACATACTAAAGCAACAGGACAGACATGATAAGGTTATGTTGATCGTGGAGAGACATGTGACATGATGTTGCACATCAACAAAGCAGCTTCATTCTCTATACCTTTTTCTCCCATCCAAACTTCTTGGTGTTGTTTCTGACAGGGAGAGAGAGCCAGCCCTCCAGCCTCGTTTCTGAGTAGGAGAAAAAGAGATGCCGAAGTTACACTACTACTCACATTATGATAATCTGTCAGTGTTACCATAAACAACATTTTCCAACTAACTAAAATACAGGGTAACTGCCTTCATTTTAATGTTCCCAAATAAAAAGCTGCTTTTTCTTTACAAACTGCTAAATACAAACACCAGTTCTAATACAAGGTCTAATCCAATTCTTTTTGACTGTATTTATTAAATGAAAATTCTGCAAAATTACTCAATTCAGCAGCAGCAGTCAAAATAAAAGGAGAAAAAATGCTTTCAGAATAACACAAATACTTATCTAACTTTTTGGAATGTCTGACTCTGTTTTGTTGTACGTATAAGTATAATGAAATACACATAAATACATATTTATTTTCATCTTCGGGTAAGGTTTACCCAGTGGTTGAGGTCTTACCTGTGTACGCATCATCGGTATCAAACTCCGGCCCACTGCTGACGCTGGTAGAGTCCATTGACTGAACGCTGAGCGACAGCAGGCGGTTCCTCAGCTGCTCGATGTCACTGTCCTTACTGTCCAGAGCCATCTGCAGCTCGATACGCATCTGGCTCTCTTCCGACAGTTGCTGCACACAAAAGGACGACAGAAGAAGCAAGGTTCAATCAAAGATACTGAAGAAGGAGAGACGATCCTGCTGCACATGCTGGTCCAGCCTTTAGAAACTGTTACTCATGGGCAACTTGTGGGACTGGGGAAATGATCTTCCACATCTGTACAACTGCCTAAAATTACATTTTAATGAGGACTGACTAGACTTGACATCAGAGACAAGAGAAGAAAGAGTACAGGTGTAAAAGGAACTCAAACTGTGTGTGTGTCCTACTGACCGCTTGCATTTCATTGATCTCCCTCTGGTATTTGATGATGGAGCTGTTGAGTTTTTCCTTCTCCGACCTCAGCTCCAACTGTAGCTTCCTGTTCTCCTTCTCCTTCCGCCGCATGTCTGTGTCGTTGCCACGGCGGCTTCCTCCGCCACGGACCTCCTTCCTGTTCATGATCTCTGCCAGCTTATTGACGGCCTGTAGACGGACATACACAGTACCAAAGTTCGTACATTAGCTTGTTTACAGAGTTGTCTAGTTATAAGACAGCTTCAGGATCTGCTTCCTTGAGAATGAACCCAGCTCCAGAGGGTTTAGTACCGACTGGGGCAGCTCTTTAAAAAAAAGTTCCCGTCTAAGTGCATGTGACTAAAAAAATAAAAAAGGAGCATGCGTGATACGATTAGCTTAGGTTTAGTTGTCACTATGCTAAAAATAGACTTACCTGTGTTTTCAGGGTCCTCTCTGACTGCAGCTGCTTCTCAAATGCCTGCTTCATCTGGCTTATCTGCTGCTCCCAATCCTTTGACTTTTCTGATTCTGGAAAAAAAAACAAAAGGCACAACAATGATAAAAGTAAACCCTGATAATATTTTGCTCCTGAAATTTGAAGTTAAATTTGAAACACTACCTTCTATTGTCTCCTTCAGTTTGTTGTTCAGCTCCTCCTTCTCATTGGCTAGGTTGGCGACGTCACTGGTCAGGGTCCTATTGGCTTCCTCCAGCTGCAGGAGGCAGGAAATTCTGTCATGTTCACTATGTTCTGGGTTATGTGCACTGTCTACGCTGTCTGCCACTGCCACCTGTTGTCCAACCTGAAATCTTCAGTCGGTAACACAGTGTCTTTATACAGCTCGAGAATGCACTGGATTTACACAGTGTAGTTGTACATATTGCTTCAGTAATGAGGCGAGCTATCCTCTGTGTCTGATGTGATGTCAGGAAAACGTTGTTAGCACTGCCTACAATAACAAAACCCTCTCAGATCATCTGGACTTAACATGTTGACTGTGAGGGCAGGAGACAGTTATTGTAACTCACCGAATTGATGGTGATGTCCTTCTCGGCTAGCTCCTGACGATGGCGGGCCATCATCTCCTTCAGTTCCAACTCCTTCATTATCTTCTCCTTCTCCAAGTCCGAGTACTGCTCCTCAGCGATGGAGCGCGCCAGCTGCTCTGAGTCAGCCTTTGTCAGTGTGATCTCGAGCTGAGCTGCCAACGAATCCCTGAAAGAAATGAAACAAGTCAGAACTATTAATCACAAACCCAGAATATACAGAAAATGTCTCATTCAGTGACATAAATGAACAGACTGCTACTTCTTCATTTTGTCTTGCTTTTGGTTAATAAAGTTTCTCATTGATGTTTATAAAGTGGACTAAAAATAAAATAAACATCAACAGCCAAACTACCTCTCCTCTTGGAGCTCCTGCAGAGACTGCTGCACATCTTTGTAGAGTTTATTCCTCTCTTCACACTCCTCCTTTAGTTCACGAACCTGGGTCTTGTACAGCGTCTGGAAAACACATCAAACAGGTCAGATACACAGCACGCTCACAGATTAATGCAGCAGCCTACCACCGTACATTTCCACTGGGAAGAACAGAGAAGTAAAAAAAGTTTCATAAAGGCATCCTGTATGTGTTTCCTGAGTTATAATGAATATATACGGATAAACCAAAAAAATTAAATAAACACTATGATCAAGGAAAACACATACTGTAATGCAGGTTCCATTACGCATTAGATTATTCCATTTACACAGATCATGACTTCTCTATATTATTAATTAAATACACTAATGGATGTCCACTGAACTGCGAACAGTGATTCTTTTAACAGCTATTAGACACACACAACAACATGCATTAGCTACTGAAATGTTGTTCTGATGGCACATTAATACCCTCCCACTCAGCAAGTAATATGCAGAACAACTGTGTTTGCACTTAGTCATTTTACATCCACGTTTGTAATTATGGAGCGAAATAAAGACTCACAGAGAAATACTGTTCAGCTTCTAACTGGTCCTGTAATTCCTTCATTTGCCCGTCTGTGTCCTGTCTTTCTCTGTAGTCAAAAATAAAAATGTCAATTTCCCATCATCCTCTTTATGAAGCCTGAGTACAAATGCTAGAAAAGAGTTTCACAAAAATGTAAACTGACTTGCGCAGCTCTTGGTTCTGCTTCTCCAGGCTGCGTTTTATGTCCAGAAGGTGATTAGTTTCCTGCTTGAGTTGCTTCTCTGAGGTTCGCAGAGAGTTGAGCTGCTGGTTCTGGGCCTTCAGGTCGTTCTGAGTCAGGTTACGCTTCTGGGTCTCCTGCTCAATCTTTAGCGTCAGGTTCTTCACCTGAATGAATGAATAAAACAAAGGGAGATGAGGAGTGGCGGTGTTTTTCTTGTCTAGAATGTTGAATTTGCTTTTGTTATCTGTGTAAATTTCTACTGAATTGCATTTTTTCCTCTGCAGCTCAGACACATTGCTGCATACGCTTCAGACTGATGTTCTAAGATCTGTGTCTGTAGGTGGCATTTAATATCTAAACACACACTTCTGTTCCCCTGCACGGAATATAAACACTCCCTCACCTCCTCAGTTAGGCGGTCCTTGTGTCTGCGCAGCTCATCTAGTTTCTGCAGAGCCTGTTTATAGTCCCAGTCCATCATGCTGCTGTGCTTCTCTAGCTCCAGTATTCGGTTCTCCAGCCGAAGTTTGGCGGCTCGCTCCTCTGCCAGCTTCTGCTCCATCTCTGAATGGGAGTTATTTAAAATCAATCAATATATTTCCCATATGCTTATGTTAATCAGTAGCGACAACTACGCAAAGCTATAATAATCGGCTTGTAGCAATGCTTTGAGATGTTGATCAAATTATTTCACGAAGTACATATCTTGAATCATTCCTTCAGAACATCTAATGTGCAATGGTACAAACTAGGAAAACAGCTGTGGGACAACTTCCACAAAGGAAAGGGTTGGTGCCCCTACCCTTCATGGACTCTGACTTGGCGCCCTCGATGGTTACTTTGATCTTGCTGGTGTCTGCCAGCAGTGCCCTGGTGGCCTTGTGAGAGGCCTCCTCCTGCTCCAGCTCCTGCTGCAGCACCTTCAGCTTGTAGGTCAAATCAATCTCCTTGTTGCTCATCTCCTGTACAAAGAAAACAAGGGCAGTCCATTGAAACCCTACAGAACAAACCTCAGCTAGCCCCACCACACATCTACTAACATAATAATGGCAAAGGCTGAACTCACTCAACTTTATGCAATACTTCCTGCAGCAGAATACAGCTCAGAAGAAGAGCAACAAATCCAAATAATCTAACATCATTATCAAAGACTTAAAGCTCTGAACTAATTACTGATTTAGGCCAACAGGCCAATACACTGTTTAATATGGCTTATTTTAAAGTCTTTGTATTAACTTGACTGACAGATTTTTTTCTTGCATTACTTCAGACTTACAATGGAATTAATATTTACAAACCAATGAAGAATATAGTCTGAGAGACGTACAAATAAAAAAAATTAGTTGTCATCTTTAGTGTAATTTTCTGGATTACCTTCTCCAGATGGGTGTGTTTTTCCTGAAGCATTCTCTTCTCAGTCTCAGCTTTGGACAGAGCCTGTCTCTGCTGACGGGCCTCCTCCTCCAGGCCAGAGATACGTCCTGCAAAACAAAGCCAAGAGGGTTCTCAGAGACGCATGTTTCAAAAAGAAAACAAATTGCCTTCTACTTTAATTGTCATTATAATCTCTTGCACAATCCCAGCAAGAAGTTCACGGGTTTCTGATTTCTCATCCATGTCCTTATTGCATGCTTACACTCATATGTGGCCAGCCAGACTGGGGCAGTACTGGCCAGCCTATAAGTGTAAGTGTGTACACACGCACACATGCGCACACACAAAGTGATTATTCCAAGAAATCAGCTCAAGGCAATAATTAGATTATGAATATTTACATGGTTCAAATGAATGCTCTTTCCCAACATCTCAGTTCATTGGAGAAAGAGAATGAATTGCAGATTCAATTACACTGTGCTACCTCATTCAATTTGTAAATGCAACATCTGGTCGCTGCATCTGATGACTAACAAGAGCAGTCTGACCAAAGCCAGTAAAGAAAGCTTACTGAGGCATTTACATATCGAAACAAATGGAGACTGAGCCAAAGACTGGGCGTGTTAACGGAGCTGTGTTTGCTTAAGAGAATGACCTCAACTCAATTAACACAATCAGATAAAAAGCTTTTATACGACAGTTTAAATAGCCTTAGTACTGCCTGAATCCAATTATGGTTGAATTATTAGCCTTGATGCTAACATACTCCCTCATATAGTTACAGAATGCATGCCGGGGGCTGAACTGTGCAGATCAACCACAGTCTGCTACAGATGCATACTGACCAGTGGAGCATCGGGCTGACATTTAATTGAAGGGCTTGGACAGGAGAGAGAACATTTCATTTTTTACTCTCTATTTTCAGATCTGTTCAACCAGTGTGACAAAGAGGGGATAAGCCTGGCTCTGAATATCATTTGTATTGGTTATCATTGCTCTGTAAAACACCTCAAGACAAACCTCTTGATTAAAGCTCTTACAAAAATTCAAATCAACTTCACACACACACACACACACACACACAGTGAATGCGCTGTTTGCTGAATGGGTTCTGCAGAGCCCCTTAGTTAAATCTTAAAACCAGATAAAAAATTATGTGGCATCTTTCTGCTTGTTAATACATACAAACATTGTTATTGTGACTGTTGCTTACAGGCTAGAAATCTTTCCAGATCTTGTATTAAAATGTCACGTGTGTGTCACCCACCCATCAGGTCGCTGATGGTCTCCGAGCCCTGGCTGTGCTCCCTCCTCTCTGTCTCGAGGGCTGCCTGCAGGCTGATGCATTCCTTCTCCAGACTCAGCTTGCTGCGCTCCAACAGGCAGCATTTGTCCTGCAGCTCGCGCACGTTGGCCTCCAGCTGCTGCAGCTGCTTGCTGCTGTCCGTCTGGGTTTTACGGAGCCGTGTCGCCGCCTCAGACTCAGCCCGTAGCAGCGCGTTGGCTTCTTCCAGCTGATGGAGACAAGACAACAAGCAGAAAAAATGTTTGAAGATCTGCCAGCAGTTTTATTTAGTTACTCTTTCTATTTGTTTACAGTTACATTATGTCCTGTCACATACAAACTTTCCAATCAAGTAGTTTATTTTGGAAAGAAAGAGGATTAGTGGAGTATATCATCCACAATTTAGTACTCCTTGTTTAAAGGCTTTTTACATTATTTCTGAAACATTATTGTTCATTTTAAAGCTTTGATTACATAAATAATCTCTCTTTATGGGATTATAGTGTACAGTAACAATTGTAATCCAGTAGCTCATATGTAATTAATCTCTAAATATTAATATTTGTTAAGAAGTTGGATCACAGCTGCTAATTTAACAGCTGCTAATAATAATAATTTGTTTTACTTTCCTGTCAACAATCTTTTTTTTTTTTTTTTTTTTTTTTTAGTACAATAGGTGGCTTTTTAGACTCTTCAGTGCCCGCAGCATCATATAACCTTCAGTGGCTGACCTGTTTCTGCAGGTGAATGTTCTTCTCATTGGAAATGTGTGAATTCTGGTTTCTTCTCTTCATGTCATCCAGCTGATCTCGAAGGTTGTTGACTGCACAACACAGAAGAATACGGAGCAGTATATATTAGGATGAACACTGTCTCAGTCAAAATGTAATTGAATTTGTTATAATTCTTTAGAATTTCAAAATAGTTGACCTTTTAGTGCATCAAGTTTCTTATGTACACTGTTTTACAAGCATTCTCAGGTATTAAAAAAAGTATTAATAATAATTAAAAAGTTTAAATCAATGAGGACCTTCAGTGTAATTAGTTCACATCAAAATGCGATGAGTATTATCATGAACATTATACAATTATACCTGAAAAGCAAAACAAAAGAAAGTCCTATAGACTTGGGTTCCTCTGGTGAGCCTGTTTTCACATTGTTTATTTGACCAGGTGATGGCAGTATCAACCATATTATCTCACTCTTTAAACTTCCAACAAAACTCTTGTAGTTCAAATGAAAAGCCAAACAAGATGGATTTATAGTATTCATTCAGGAAGTTGCCAAACAGCTCATATTTCACTTGATTACATATAAACTGTTTTTTTTACTTGCCACCAAAACGAGCGTGTGCTGCTGCAACACATGACTTGATAGCTTTTAAAAAATGTCACATCAAAACACACTTTATGGTGCATCAAATCAGCTGCTGTTTCTTAAATCTATTTCAATGTCACACTCTGCAAGTAAAAAAATGATTTTATCAGGCAGCGGGTTAATGAATTCATTGTGTCACATTAACATCTTGTCTTAATATAATCTGATCATATTAACTTGATATTTGCTCTTAACTTCTTATGCAACAAAATAAATCTATATGGAACCAGACCACCCCCCTGTCACCTTCATTCTCCAGGCAGCGCTTCCTGTCGGCCTCGCTCTCAGCCTTGCGGTGGCTCTCCAGGCTCTTGTGCTGCAGCAGGGCTTTCTCTCTCTCTAGCTGCCTCAGACTCGACTCCAGATTCTTTCTGCTACTCACCTAAAATCAATCATTAAATACTTTGCTCAACATGTCCTACAGGGCTGGTTTCACGGTGCTGTGACTCCATTACTCGCTTTATGAAAAATGGTTCCTGAGAATCCAATCGGGCCTTAACACAAATCCAATCCCAATAGACATTTTAATGTGGCTATTAGAATTCGGCAAGCGCTCCAGCTCATACTCACTGGATATGACAAATCAACCGAAACATGCTCAAGTGAAGAGAATGAAATCATTATTCTGACTTAAACACAGTTTTTGGGGGAATGGGAAAGGGAAAAGGGTGAAAGGGGTGAAAAAGATGAAACTTATACGATTCCAAAGGGAATACTGGGTCATTGCACCAGCAAATACTGAAAGTAGGACACAGACAAAATATGCAACATCTCCAACACTAACAGGTGTCCGTGCTGTACATTCAGCAGTTCACCGTTTGCACAGCTTACCTCTTCCTCAAGCTCTTTGGAGATTTTGTCTAGACGACCAGTGGCAGCTCTGCAAAAAGAAAACACAACATTTACAAGAGCTTAGTGATGGTCGCTGTGCTCAAGCCTGCGAGTGGTGAAACGTGAAGAAAAGCTAATACGTTTCTACAGCTCCTGTACCTGTATTTGTGCTCAACCTCATCTTTGACCTGCTTCTCATTCTTCAGCTGTACCTCCAGGTGGTGCAGTTTCTTCTGCAGTGCTGCTGACTGCTAAGAGAAAACAACCAACCAATCACACATGTCCTTTGCAACCTTCACTGCATGTCATCCATCTTTCCTGTGACTCGACTGTATTACTCAATGAAGCAAGAACAAGAACTGGAAAAACGTTCACAACAATCTGAAAATCACAATCTGAATTTAACTTGCTAAATGCTCTCCTATGTTCACCAGCTACTTGTTTAGAGCTCGGCAGGCAGCGTGCAGTGGGTCTATCAGAGCGTGTTCACCACTGATGAAAGCTACGAGAGTGAACCAGAACCAAAACCAAAACAATGAGTGGAAAGATGCTAAAACGGTCCATTGAGTTGAGGAGAACAGCGGAGTTGGTACATATAGTAATTCTCCGTGGGTTTGTCACAACAAGCAACCCTTTCACATCAACGTGGTCATGTGATCCATAGTTAATTTTATAGCAGCTTTTATGTTTTGACTTGAACATGGAAGATTTCAAACTTTCAAACTCCTGTTTTGCACTCAAATATCACCATTTGCTCAAACCTTTCAGAATAAAATAACATTTAATAACATGTTACTGTGTATGTATATGGTATATAATTAAAGCAAGAGCTCAAGAATTTCATCGTACTCTTATTCACATAATAATAAAGTTGAACAGTTCTAAAGTGAAAGAATATAAACAGGGGATGACAAACCTGAAAATAAAAACTGGGCCTTTGTTGTTGAGGTAGTTAGATTGTTTAGGCTGTTCATTTAGGACTGAAGTCAGTAAGAGATTAGCTTTTAGCTCAGCCACTTATACCGAAAGCTGCTTAAGTATTTCTGTGTGGCTTAGAACACTGAAATTCTAACAAAAGTACAAATAAATCATAGGATCAGAAAAAGAAATCCTTCCCCGAGTCACTTCCATCATAAGCCTTAATGACTTAGAGTACGAAGCTGGACTGATCGCAATGTCAACAGGCCTGTTCTGTGTGGTCATGTAAACTGACGCCTGACTATTTCACTGCTGAGAAGCATGGGAAGTGCACCTGGCAGTCTTTGTGTGTTTGGAAATGAAAGTACTTACCTCTCCTTTCGAATTCTCATGAGCAACAGAAGAATTGTTGGAACAATTTAGTAACCTGAAGAAGGAAATGAACAAAATCAACACTAAGTCAAGACCAGAGACAATTTTTTATGTATTAGAAGTCCCTAAATGTTTGAGTGACAGCTAGAAAAACAGACGGCTTACTGGTCTTCTTTGAAGTAAGTGAAGCCAACGAAGGGTAACTGATTTCCAACAAAGGCCTTAGGTGTGGGGAAAGTTTCTACATCGCCTTTGTCATCTTCAATCTCATCAAAATTACTGGTGTCTATGTCACTGCTCAGCTCTGGGACCACAGGGGCAACCGCTGAGGACGGAGTGAGAGAGAGAAAGAAAGGAAAAGGGCATGTGTGAATTGCTGGAAAAGGGAAGTGCTGAGTAAACAAAACCTGGAGTTTCAGTCTAATTAATACAGAAATTCTATCTTGTACAGCTGCTGTTCCAAAAGAATTCTTGTTCAGCGTTTGAGTCACGTCAAGGGCTTGTTTTATTGGCTCAGGTGGAGCAGCTTGTTGATCTGTAGTGATACTAACTATCTCTGATGGTGTCGAAGGTCCACTGGTCGTTCTTGAAGAAAGGGTGTCGCTTGATTTCTTCCACGCCGTTTCTGCCCAATCGCACCTCCCTCAAAACAAAGAGAGTGAATGAGTTGTAGAGCAATGACTATATCTACCCTTTGTCCTCAGTTCAACAGTCTCTGTAGCAACAGGCAAACATGGCCTATTGATACTTTTTATTTTTTCTGTAGGAAATTAGACGTGAATAAATTAAAATCTAGGCATAATATACAGACTCCGATTTCCTTTGGCCTAAAGCATCACAAACCAAACCTGTGGTAAACATAAGTGTGCTGCATGCAGCTCAATCGCATCGACGTGTTTATGTAATGTCTGAGTATTGCAGTACAAGAATCCTTTTAAAAAAGTAACCGCGTCTCCCTTTGGGCGTCAACACCATCAAGACTGTAACTCTTTATACCTGTCAGTCAGGAAGGCACAGATGATATTCTTGGCATCTTTGGAGATCTCCACATCATCAGGGAAGTTGAGGGAGTTTTTATGGTCCATGATCTTACTGTAGGTTCCCACCAGAGAGTCGGCGTAGAACGGCGTGTCACCTAACAGCAATTACAGTAAAATAGGTTTAATGAATCTACAGATGTTTCTTGGAGTGACATTTACTGTACAAGATGAGGAATAGTGTCCCTTACAATGTTTTTGGCAGGTGTGGAAAAATGCTGTAAAGTAAGAATGCTTTCAAAAATAGACATGTTAATAGATTATATTTAGCAATTACCAAATGGAATGTGAGAGAACAGAAGAGAAATCAACATTTGGTGTGACCATCCTTTGCCTTCAAAAAGCATAAATTCTTGTAGGTACACTTCCACATAGTTTTTGAAGAAACCCGGCAGGTAGGTTGGCCAAAACATCTTGGCAAACTACCCACAGTCCCCCTGTGGATTTAGGCAGCTCCAGTTGCTTCCCTCTCTTCATGTCATCCCCAGACTCGATGATGTTTGGATCAGGGCTCTGTGGGGGCCATTTTATCACTTCCAGGACTCCCTGTTCTTCATTAAGCTGAAGATAGTTCTTACTGACTTTCGCTGTATGTTTGGGGTCTTTGTCATGCTGCAGAATAATGAGATCAGATTCCTCCCTGATGATACTGCATGATGGATAAGTATCTACTTGTACTTTCTGACCAAATCCCTAACTCTGTTTGCAGAAATGCCCCAACTTGTAAGGAACCTCCACCATGCTTCACTGTTGCCTGCAGACACTCATTTTTGTACAGCTTTCCAGTCCTTCAGCGAACAAACTGCCTTCTGCTGCAACCAAATGTTTAAAATTTTGACTCATCAGTCCAGCGCACCAGCTGCCATTTTCTGCATCCCAGGTCCTGTGTTTCTGTTCTTAGTTGAGTCGCTTGGCCTTGTTCATGAAGGCCACTTCTGACCAGTCTTTTCATCCAGACAGTGGTTGGGTGGACCAGGGTCTGCAGCTCTGAGCTGATGGCACTGCTGGACATGTGCACCATGTGTCTTTAATCTGCTGCAGTAAGTTTCTTTGGCCGATCACTGCGTCTACGGTCCTCAATGTTGCCAATTTCTCTGTGCTTCTTTAAAAGGGCTTTGACAGCGCATCTGGAAACTGTTCCCGTGTGTCTTTTATTTATTACGCATCCACTTGCATTGTTATATCTCATATACAATACAAGTGGATACTTGTACTCAGTCTATCATACTAGGTTGTTCATTTGCCAGTGTTTAGGCTGTGTTACAGGGCATAACTGTGGGAGGTTTCATTGTTTTCCTTTTCTATAGTTCCTTTCCTATGTGAATGCCTATTCTCCGAGCTGGGAAAGGATCCTCTGTTCTCAAAACATAGGTGACATTGAGCTAAATTGTTAGACTCCTTTGTTTTGGGCCAGACGTTAGAAACCTCTGATCCAACTGATTAAATGTACTTCTTTGTTGTTTTTTCATTTAATAGATTAACCAAAGACAACATTTTTTCTCCAAGGATATAGAATATTTTCCACAACAGAAAACCCTGTCTGTCTTGAAATGTCTGCCTGGAGAGACCTTGCTGAAGTAGTAGAACTACCTTGTGTCTCGTTGCGGTGTTCAGTCTGGTTGTGGTGTATAACTTTGGACAGCAACCTCACCTTGTTAGCAGAGTTTGGTTGTTCCTCACTCAGCTTTATTCCTCCTACACAGCCGTTCTGTTTCAGTAAATGATTGTGTTTCAACCTAAATATTGAATTAATGATCATTGGCATCAGTTTGGTACACTTACTTAATCATACACCTTACCAAAAGCCTACAAAATCCCTGACTTTGTGCAAGTGTACCTAGAAGAACAGATGCTGTTTTGAAGGTAAAGTCACATCAAATATTAATTTGATTTAGATTTTTCTTCTGTTTACTGACTTTGCATTTTGTTAATTGATAAACATAAGCTATTAACATGTCTATTTTTGAAAGCATTCTTACTGTACAGCACTTTTTCCACACCTGCCTAAAACCTTTGCATGCTACTGTAAATTTTCAGAAAACACTGCTTGACTCTTACTTTGTAAAACCACTAAGACTTCTTTAAATGTTCACTGACCAACAAGCATCTCGAAGATGAAGACTCCTACGGACCACCAGTCGCACTCTCTCCCATAATACCCATCTCCTCCCTGGGATTTCAGCACCTCAGGAGAGATGTAGTCTGGAGTCCCGACAGCAGTATCACAGTGCACCATGCCGGTCTGGAAAACACAAATCCAGGAATCAACATCCTTCAAAAAATAACAAGTATTTTTGACATAATAGCCTAAGATTTGTCTCATGTTAAGATAATGGGTAGATATTAATCTAAACATAACAGTTTATGAGACGTGTCAGCAGCAACCAAAGCTTGCTCTCTGACTAAGCAACCCTTTAGTTCAAAATCACAAAAATACAGCTGACTGCTGGAATGGCTGATTTAAGTACTAAGACAGTTCTGTTACGCAAAATATAAAGATGCGTTCATAGACATGAAGTTTCAACAAGCTTAATACAGTGAATTCAGAAGCTCTATTAGAGTGTGCTTCACCATCAAGCAGCTCAGTCTTCACAGCACATAAACACACTTATGTTTACTGGAATTTCTGGGACCAAACCATAGTGATTTATAATAGTGTATATAAACTTGCGATCACGGCTCTACAGCACTGTGTTATCTGCATGTTATGCTTTTAATATAAGGGCAAAGCACTTTGTTATCCACCTTGTTTCAATACCAATGTTAATATTCTATTCTGAAGTTTCAATGACGGGATATACAGTAACTCACAGAGTCCATCTTCATGCACGTGCCGAAGTCGGCCAGCTTGAGGTGTCCGAGTCGGTCCAGTAGCATGTTGTCCGGCTTGACATCCCGATGGATGAAGCCCATGGAGTGAATGGCATCCAGGGCCATTACCACCTCTGCTGTGTAGAACTTTGCCCATTTCTCTGGCACGTCGTAGGTGCTGGTGAGGTTGACCAGGTCGCCTCCTGGCATGTATTCCATCACCATGTAGAGGTAGTGCTCATCTTGGAAGGCACAGCACAACTGAACAACCCAAAAACAAGCTCTCATTACTAAGATGGCTATTTTGATATAGGCGGCACACGAAGAGGTGACAATGAGCACCAATTGATCTGCCATAGCTGAATGTATTTCTGTTAGATTCCTATGTTATTTTGATCATCAATAAATCAACATAAAGAAAATCATGCAAAATGTAACGGGGATGCTACACAGTCTAGAATATAACTGTGCAAGCCATAGAAAAATTCTATCAGAATCAAAAGCTTGGCAGTAGATTAAATGTCATACCTGGACAACCCAGGGACTGTTGGAAAAGGCCATGATGTCCCTCTCTTCCCAGAAGAAAGCTGAGTCTGAGCGCTTGATCATCTCAAACTTGCTCAGTAGCTTCATGGCGTAGACCTTCTGAGAGGGTTTATGCCGGACCTGAAAGGCGGTGAAACCCAGTTATTCAGAGTTGAGTACATGAGAATTATACAGAGAGATTCTTCACAGTCTAACTTCTATCCTGAGACACATTTTAGCCAAATGGTGAATTACATGTTACACAAAAAAAATTACATGAAAAGGGTAAATAAATTCACAGAAATTACAGCACAGCAGTTATTTCCGTCATGACAGATGACGTATTTTCAATTAGTAAAAAAAGAAGTAGTAAAGAGTGCTGTAATTACAATGCCTTAATGTGTATTCTCTCAGAAAACCAAAGCAGTGTCTTATCACTCTACAGAACCCGTGTTAGTGACAGCTGAAAACAAAAACTAATACTCACCAGTTGGACTTCACCAAATGCCCCTCGACCAATGACTTTAACTCTGTCAAAGTCTTCAGACTTCATCTGGAGATCTCGAGTCTGCCCTATGACTTTCTCATCTGAGAATAAAGATTCCATTATTAATGTTGTGAATTCACCACAATAACAATTTTCTGCTTTATACAAAGGTACTTTATCTCCCTCTCTATTAGTCGCACTGGCACATAAAAACTACTTACATCTGTTTAAGAAGGTTTCAATGTTTTTGTTCTTGCGTAGTGCAGGGTAGTCCAAGTCTAAGACCAGGGCGTTTATGGAGTCCTGCACAGAAAGAAAAATTAATAATCAGCCATGATTGACATTAAACATGGAACAAAGTATCCATCCATCCATCCTCAACAGCTAACAGCAGACTGTTATGCATTTTACTAAAACCCTGAATGCTGGAGACAATCTACATGATTTGATATATTAAACAATAAAATTACAAATAATTAATTAATTTCCAGAAGAGAAATCAATTTAAAATGTCCCTTCACAGGACAGCGGTCGTTAATATGTTCAAACTGAAACTAAAAAATATACATGTATTTCAAATCATACTGATACTGCAGTGTTATATATATGTCAATATCAACAAACAAATATATACGGGCAAGGCAGCAATGTGTATGCTCAAAACACATACAGCATAGGACATGGATGAAGTAGCTAGAGAGGGTCACCTCACTATCAGGTAGAGTAACAGTGCGAAACAGGACCCTGCCGTTTCCTGAGTGGCATCAAATGGAGTCTAAAATGATGCAGTGCTGCACAAAGGGATTAAAAAAATTTAAACTAACTCCAAGCTACTCTTATCACTTCTTTCATGTATACAATAGCGTTAGTAACTAAGCTGCTACAAGCACAACCTATGACACATTCTTAACAAAGAAGAGTGTTGGTCTTAAAAGGTTACATCATACTACAAGTCACTGTGTTGCAATTACAACATCACAACTACTCAAGGATAAACAAAGATGTGTGTTTTCCATTCATCAGCATTCATTTGCACACAAGAAGGGGATCATTAGACTTGTGCAAACAAAAATCAAAGCTTAAGTTTATTTAAAATTCACTTGTTATTTACTTAATTCCATAATTCAATTCTAATCATTTACCATAATGCTGGCCCAACCACAGAGGAAATGTGTCATTTCTGACTGACTTACTACACTCTTAACGACCGCACTGTAGCAACAGCGCAACTGAAAATGTAAGATAAAAACACAAACTATTCCAGACTCTAATTTACAAACCATTAAGCTAAGCTAACTGGCACATTTTACCCAATAAAGCCGGTGGAATGCAGGACTGACCGGGCATCATACTGCAATGCTCAGGCCTACATTCAAACTTAACATCAGATATTAACGGAGTTTATATTCTGTATATTTTCTCACCACTGCACAGAACAAAACAGTTACACATCAATGCTACCCTGCAAGCCTAAATGAAAAGCAACAGCTTCGCCCCGGAGTTTCATTCAACAGTGATCGACTTGATGGACTGGATCCATAAACAACTACATGCAGAGAAAATGGTGTGAAGTGAAGGCTTTGTCCTTCCAGGGAGAGAGACAGCGAGACAGCGAAAGAGAGCCAGAGAGAGAGCCAGAGAGCGAGCAGGAGAGACAGAGCTAAAGAGAGCCAGAGAGAAAAAGCGACAGAGAGAGATGACTAAGTTTTTGTCATCAGAAGCAGCCTACTTGAGTCTGTCAATTATATTCATCTGCTGTCACATGATGAACACATTGTTTCTGTGACCTTTTGAAAGCAGTCAAAGAGAGATGATGTCTCACAGTATGTAGTCACCAGTTTTAGCCTGAACACCAGACATTTCTTCTCATGGGTTATGATTAACTTACAGGAAATAATGTGACAGCTGATGTTATTAGTTAACACATCCGTTGGTTAAATCGAATGAATAGCAAAAGAATGCTTCATATTTCTGGCAAGTTGAACGTTTGTAATTATGGTGACTGAAGAACTGTATGCGGGAAAATAGTCTTTAAGAAAATTTTTATTGCAAAAGCTGTTAGTTTACACACAAGTTGTTTACTTTCATGAGATGCAAGACAACCGGTAAAGCATCTACATGCAGCTCATAGTAGGTGCAGCAGCTGGTAGCTCCTTTAGACTTCGCTACACTTTATGATCCACCTGGCCCGATCAACCGGACTAGGCACCACAGAGGAGGAAGAGAGGAAAGAGAGCCGGGATAGAAGCCATGCTGGCCCAACCTGGACTTAAGACTCCTCCTAAAAGTCTGGTCTGGACGAAATGAGACTCATGCTGCCATGCAACGGAAATCAGAGAGTGTTGTGCCCACATCGTTCAGGAGACCTGCTCATCAACATCCCGGACCAAGCTCTCGCTGGGGCGAACCAGAGCGCAAGACTCAATGATGCTTGGTACTCAAAGTCAAAATGGACTCCAAATGTCAGACTTTTTATATGAAGATGAAACCATATTATCTAGGGATGCACCGAAATGAAAATTCTTATCAGAATCCGAATATAATGAAAAAAATTGCCCAACACTTAAGTACAGTATATGCACATTTTATCCCCATTTATTTTGCCTTTTTTTAATCACTGCATAAATTAAATAGTCAAAATGTGCTTTTTATTCAGTGTTTCCCACAAGATTTGGAGAGACTATGGCGGGTGCGTCCGAGGCCCAAGAGGGTCCGAGGTAAAGTAAGTTACCTGTAATCATGTACTTTTAATGTACACATGTAATATGTTTTATACTTTCTGTGAATATAATCCAATTAATCTTATTTCCATCCTGTATAGACACCTTATTTTGAAAACCGGACGTTGTCACGTGTGTATCCTCGCGCTAAATTCATCAAGTCCGACCCAATTTGATAAATAGTCGTATGTGGTTCTCGTATCATGTAACATGAAGACTTCACAGCCTCTCTTCAGGTAGGACTCTCATACTGCAACACTTGTCTTTGTAAAGAGAGAAACTGACAGGATAAAGTCGCTAACCTGCCTGTCAGCTCACTCTGGTCCGTTTCAGTGGATTTACCATAAAGGCTTGAATACGTGTGCACTCCAAATTTAGGTGCGGCTAGCATAATCGTCTTCTCACAAACGAGTGACAGAAACACTCAAAGCGGGTCAGACCGTTTGTTGTCTTTTCTGTAAAGTCAGACTGAGATGGAGTGGATGTGCTAGGAGACAATTCAGAAGAACAGTGTCTGCAAACGGCAATTTTTGCATCTTTCTCAGACACTTTAAAATGCTTCTACACTGCTGACATGTCAACATAACGGTTCGGTAAAATTTCTTCGGTCTTTTGACTTATTAGGCCGAACACCGAAAGTGCTTTTTTTGGCCGATTAATTTTGGTGGCCGAACATTCAGTATATCTCTAATATTATCATCTTGTTGCTGCCGTTTACATTCAGCCCAAATGCAAATTCAAAATAAGTACTGCGGACTGTTCTGGGTGTTTACGTTTTTGTACATATGCATATAAATAACGGTATATATTGTGGGGTGCGGCTGGGAACTGGACTGCAGCACTGCAGCAGCATATTAGGTCAACTCAACACAAGCTTACTATTTGTAGCATTGTGTCACTTTCTAATGGACACAGTTTGACCCAGGGCAATGTAGGGAAACCATTAAATAAGCAAAAGACAAACCAATGCAAACCCCTAATTGTTAGTGTGTTACAATAAGGAAGTCATCTATCAACTTTTGTCAGCTACACATTCCTGAACGGTCAACGAGGAGCTGTTTGAAACACTGGACCAATCCAACAGGGAACACAAGAAGCCCACTCTGACCCAGTGTTCTAAACTGGATTCTTTCAAACTTCGCTCTCCCGTCATTACGGTGCTAGACAGGATGGCAAAATCTGTTTCATGTTTCCCTCACTTCCTTTGTACTAATTTTTCCTCCACTTTGCTCGTCTCTGTCGCCCTTTTCTGCAGCTCTCCCTCCTTCTTATCTGCCTTTCCTCCTGCTCCCTCCATCGTTCTCCGCTCGGCTGCAGTCTGTAGCGAGCGGTGCACACTGTTTCATCATATCAACTCCACTTCCCCATTAAAGGACTGACCTCACACAAAACTACTATTTAAGGGAAAAAAAAAATGCACACGTCGGAGGGGGTGGAGAGGGGTTGCCGGGTGAGTGTGCACATGCACGCGCACATCTTCCTATGAGCATGGCAATACAGGAAATGATCCACCCCACCCTGTCATGAAGCCGGTCCCTGTGTGCAAGTCATTTCCTCTGAGGCAGCATTCTCTGCTACTGCTGCTGCTCTGTATTCATCTACAGCCAAAAAAAAAAAGTACATATGCATGGCAGCTCCAGGTATGACCACATATACAATGAATCCACTACACTGTATCTGTATGTTTAGACACACGATTTACATTCCATCATCTTCAACACCTTCATAGCAACAGTTCACTGAGGTCAGTTTTAAAGGTCAGACTGCGGTGGTAGCTACATTACCATAACACTGTGGGTGTGTCAAGCTACAGGAGAAACAAAACAACTGCACTAAGCACAGGTGATTTACTGTTTCCATTTTCTAAAGTCTTTGCACTAATTCAAGTGTCAGACTTGTGTGAATTTTTATTTCCTTTAAAACTACTTTTTTGGTCAGTTATGAGGGAGAAGGGAGTCTGTTGTTTACCATATGTTACATCGTTATAACTGGCTAAGCATCATTGACTTTCTACCTGTCTCTCAAAATAATTACAAACTCTGATTACAGCGTCTTTGGGTGTTCTCATTGCTGCTTGGTCAAACCTTTTTTGAAATGCAGCTGACGTAATTTCCGTTTTAGTCACAGTGTGTGATGCCAGCAGTACATCTGGAGCAGGAGCGTGACCAGTCACTGTGCATCAGGCAGCGGTGACAAGGCTCAGATATCATTTTCATCATGCTACAGGACTCAAATGAAGCATGCATTTAGTTTCCAAATGAAAGCTTGAGTATTTATTAAGTAAATGATTTAATACGGTTATCATTGAAGGACATGGTTTCATAGCAACTTCTGACCCAAGAGTTTTTATAACGGTGACCTTAATTTCCTCCCGTCAGTATGCTTCCACAGGAGCATGTTCATTGATTGTTTATGTTTCACAGAACAAACATGAAAAACATTGTTTACACACTTTACAATAAAGTAAAAATATAGTATCCTGAAAAAGGGATGTTTCTTTTTTTGCTCAGTTTAGTTCAGAGGTCTGAAGTGTTTTGTGAGGAAAAGGTCACTGTCCAAGAGCCATTAATAATCAATCATGTA